AGAGCAGCTCTCTTGTCGGTGCGATGTTTACCTTATTAGCATACGGTCTTGTCTTCACTTCTTGGCGGCAGCCCCTGCCTAGGTCAGTTATCTGCGCTCAGATCGAATCGGATCAGGCCGTAGCAGCTGCTGATTCATGCTAAGATCTTGGCTACATGGCGGCCACTGACTGCCGCCTGCCCACCCGCATGTGGAGTTCGTTTGGGCGTGTCGCTAGTTGTTGGGGTGTGCGTGTGCGTGTGTGTGTTCAATTGATGTAATATGGCTACCGTTGTTGTTATTGACACAGTTTCTGGCCTCGCGCACAGTTGTTGCCTCTGCCTTTGGGTTCAGCTTAGTACTTTAAGCTCTTACGCTGGGGATTTTGTGCCGTGTCATAGGCCTTGCCACTTGGCCGACGACTTTTCAATTTCACAGCGTACTCTCAAAGGCATGTCGCTCAGTGCTCTGGTGGGCAGACAGCCAGCCAGCCAGCCAGCCAGTTAGCTAGTCAGCCATCCGGCCAAGTTGATTAACTTGATTGGTAACGCAAATTCGCATATTCGCCAACACACATACACACACATACGCACACGCTCAAGCGGCCTGGCCCAAGAACTTGGCGGGAAGGCGGAGCAGCAGCAGCAGCCAGCTTAGCGCTGTTAAGTAGCTTTCCATGTTGGCTCCGTTTGCTGTCCAATTCTCTTGGCTGGCTGCTTTTCGTAAATGCGCTAATAATTCGACAGTTGTGCTGGGCGTTGCGTCAAGGACGGCCATTCATCTGTTGTCGGATCTATACTTCTACTTATACACATATATATATTTATATATTGAAATTATTAAGTAATTCGCCAGCTTGTGAACCCGTTTTTTAATTACCTCTTTATCCCTTTCTTGATCTTTTTTTTTTTTTTTCAGTTTTGATGACAGCCTCTCGTCGTCCCGGCGACGCAAGGAGCGATCCAAGCGCTCGCATCGCAAATCGCCCGTCACTGGCCGGCGGCAGCATAAGTACCGTTATAGGGAGGAGACCTCACACTCCAGCTCACGGCGCCGGCATCGCGATCGCGCCAAGGACGAGCGCGACAGCGGGCGCAACAATCGCCAATCGCAAGCTAAGGTAAAAACTTTTCATTTTCTATAACAACACCCAACAAAACAAACGAACGATTTAGGCTGAGCAATCAAACAATAATTAATTGAAAAATCTAAAAAAAAAAAAAAGTTATTATTTAAATATGGTAAAAGAAAGAATAAGCAATACAGTAATATTAAGAAACTATTGTGTATAGTGTACATACACAGACACACCTACATACACCTATGTATGATCGATCAAGTTTTCTTAGTATATATTTTATTTACCTCACATATCAGAATCACAGCTGGCGTATTCGTCGCTCTCTGCTTGCCAAATTTCTTGCAATTTTGTATCTTTAATGTGTGTAGTGTGCCCCTCGATCAGTTATCAAATCACCGCCCGATACGATGCTGTTTTTTAAGCGCTATTTGGAAAAGTCCCAGCTGACTGCCAAACAGTTTGAGAGCTCCCAAATTCCATGCTATTTCAAAATGCGTGAACTGGCCGCGCCCCAACGCATCGATCACTATCGCGATCTGTTGCTGGAGTGTTCTGCGCTGCGCTTTCTGCCGTACACAGAGGATTGGATTGTCATCGAATACTTTGCTGATCACGATAGTGATTACCTTGTAAGCTGACAGAAAACCCCTTTCGACCCTATCCAACACCTGCCCAAAAACCAACTGTTTCAATACTGCGCCGGTGTCTCGTGTTCTCTCTTCTTTGTTTTGTTTTGTTTTTTACCCCCAACAAAATGCTCGTATTTTTTTTTTTCGAAATTGTACTCGCATTCGCACTATCATTCATGATGACTCTCACTGGGCGCCATTGCACTCACTCATCATCAGCCCGAGTCTTATCTGTTGCGGCGTTGCGCTAATTTTGCGATTAAATTGTAATCATTCGTAAGAAAGTGACGAGCTAAATATATAATCAAACTGAACTCTCTTTGTGGTTCTACACTTGAAATGAGTTGCTTTGCCACAATAAATATATACATGCAATTAAATAGAAAATTAAACGTAATCGTAAGGTCTGAAATTTTAGTTTTGTGGTCTTAATAGATTAAATCCATTTCGTAATCAATTCATTTTTATGAAATGCAGTCAAAGTACATAGCTAAACCAAACTCAGGCTGCATATCCAATCTAATCTTAAGAACCTAAAGCATTTCTTTTTTTTTTTTTTGGTAATATTTAATATGACTGTTCCAAGAGGAGGAATTTTAAGTATTTGTTCATAGGAAAACTAGAGCGATCGCATAATACTTGTAAATTCTACACATGTGATTCGTTTCGATTGTGTTTTGTCGTCTGCCCTTTGGCGTGAGCTGATGATGATAATCTGTTAAATTAATTGCTCTGCCCTCGGAATGCCTGTCGCGGGTGTGCTTGTTATTTTCGTTCAATTGATCATTTGACATTAACACTCGTTGGGTGGGGCGGGCTGCCCCGTTCGGTGGTGGTGGTGGCCATTGCGACGGCAATTGAGCGGCTGAGCAGACCAGACACACACAGAATTCGTAGACTGTCGCGTCGACTGGCGATCAAAGAAGCTCGTCAAGATTCAGTACTTTCGGCAATTGGAGCAGCATTACAAACGGCGGCAGCATGTTGCGCAGGAGACGACGGCGCCAACTTCAAATGGCAACAATAATGGGGACAACCGGGAGGCGGCCATTGATAGGCCTCAGGTCAGCCGCTGCCAGCTATTGAAGCGGCAACGTAATCTATTCGATTTGGTTGCACTGTGCGATATGCCCGTGGACCGATACGCCGGCGACAATTGGATTCTCGAGGAGTACTTTGTCGATCACAACGATGACTATCTAGTGAGTGAGCGAATGGGAGCGTAAACGTTTGCCCCCTTTCCCTTTCCCTTTTGCATGGCTGCATGGTTTGCTCCCTACACAGCATCCGCTCTCAGTCAAACACACACACACACACCCTCTCTCTCACACTCTCGCTCTCTCTCTCTCTCTCTCTCTCTCTTTGGGGCTACAGATCGTAAGTACTGCGCCTGTCCGTGGCCAGCTGATCGAATGCGCGCGCAGCTGCTCCACCTAGCGCCTGTGTTTGCCATTTACTCAACAATAACAACAACAACAACAAAAACAAAAACAGTTTTCGCCTTGGGCCGCCGCCATTGGGGAAATTAAAAATATACCACATGCTAGCAATCAGAAAATCCACAACGCTCGGGATATTTTTTCTCGGTTGAGCATTTTCCAAATCAGAAACAGAAACAGATTCAAATCTTCGTTTGTCGGTTGTGTATCGTTCTCGCCCATCGTACGTCGAGGCCTTTGCCTAACGTGTAACGGTACGTGTTTTTACACGCGTCTTTTCTCTCTCTCTCTCTCTCTCTCCCCGCCCCTCTCGCTATATTTCGCTCTCTACACCCATCTCACTCTGGCCCACTAACTGTCGCGAATTTGTTTATAATTTGTGCGTGTTTGTGTGTGTGTTTTGGTATAGGGAAAAATCTTATAAATACATGTTTAACGATTACTTCACATTAATGTCAAATGAAAACGCATTTGGCTTTGAGGAAAAGTCAATACGCAACTGCATTAAAAAATAAATAAAATACAAATAAAAAGCAATTGTTAAGCATCGAGCGTGACATAATCAGGCAGTCCAACAACTAAATAGAAATAAAAAATAAAACCTGAGAAAACTTAAGTGCTTTAAAAATAAAATCAAACCAACAAAAAGTACTACAAAAGTGCCGCAAAAAAAAAAACAACAACAATTACTATAAAGTATTCTCTTCCAAAACTGCCCCAATTTTACGAAATGATCTTTTGATGCGCCTTGCGCTTAGTTAAAAAAGTAAAACAGGTGTAACATTTAAATTGGAGCCCGAAATTTGCACTTTTTTGAGTTGAAAGATACAAAAACACATTTCGATTAGAAAACGAGAGAAAGAAGAAGCACATCAACGGACAGCACTGCGGCCAGGCCAAGCAAATCAAAACAAAAACTTCAAACTAACAAACGGCAGCAGCATCTCATGCAACCACAACAACAACAACAACAACTTACACAAATGGAACACACACTCATTTAAATATATACTATATATATATATATATGCACGTGTATATATATAGTATGTGCATCAGAGATCTGCAGGGATTATTCATCAGCCAACAGCAGCAGCAGCAGCATCTAGCGGGCAGTTCCATCATGTTGATCTTTGATGCTGCCACTAATTCGTCTTCATCTTCTTCTTCTTCTGCTCGGCTAGCAATTTTCTCTAGTTATTTTTGTAATGTTTGGATTTATTTTTGGTACGCGCGTTTATTTCCACAAAAACATAGCAAAAAGTCCAAGCACATATTGCCCATATAAGAAAAAGACCCAAGCTATGGGAAGTAGAAGACATTTCATATATATAGATATATGACAGGCAGATCTTCTGCAAAGGTGCGACAGTGAATATCTAGTATAACAAACAAGAAACTACATAAATAATTATAAATAAAATGAAATGAAATTTTGATATATATATATCAAAAGTTTCAAATTCGAATTGAGTATTGATAGTTTTGAATTAAAAAATTGCGTCTGATAAACACAACTGTTTACATTCGGCAAGTTCTTTGCAAGAGTTCACACTGTACCAAGCGCACACAAATGCACAGATTGCCATATATTTACATATGTAGCACATACATGACTACTGCGCCAATTTACGTGCGTTGTCGTCTTTTTTTTGTTAAAAATAAAAACAGATTTTGAACCGAGCACACGATGGCAGGCAGAGGCAACTAGTAGCTAAACAGCTAAGAGATCAAAACCGCTGGCGAGTTCTATATAGAATATATATATATATATATATATATATATATATATATATATAGATAGATAGATGTACTTCCATATATATTTATGTATATATATCACAGGCAGGGCCGTCACTCACTTGGATACATACGTATGTGTTTAGTTTTCCGATTGGTGTGCTCTTGCTCCAGCATCTCTCCTACAACACGCTTCCCATATATAGGGCAAGGTGTAGGCATTTGGGGGCATTGTCGGGTGCAGGCGTTAGCCAGGAATTGGCAGGCTGCTCTGCGGCGCCCCGATCAATGAGCTCATTGCTGTTTACGATATGCATATGTATGTGTCTGGTCTGTATGTCGAACTCGAGTGGCCCAGCCAATGTGCCATTCAGGTATAGACAGCGTTTACATATTATATGTGTGTGTGTACATATATATATAGATATATGCTTGTACTTGTATCGCATCGGGCGCCAATAAGCAGGGTAGAGGAAAAGTGTTTTTCCTTTTCGATTCTGTTGTTGTGGTTGTTGTAGTTGTAGTTAGTCTTGTTGTTGGCAACTCACCGAACAATTAATAAGTCAAATCGAAACTAAACGACTAAATGCATTTGCCAAAATGCCAATGAGGCATTGACATTGAGCGCCTTGCTTGCCCCACAACCTACCGATCCTCCAATCCAACACCATATCGACGATCTTCAATCTTCACAGGGCTATCGAGCAGGTTTCTTTATAGCAAACGCCAGCAGCGTCGCGAGTCGCGTCGAGCAAGTCGAACCCAACGCAATTCACATTGGGATTGATACACCAGTGAAAAGTTAGATAACAGATTCAAGATACTCGCAGTTATCATATAAATATATCTATAAATATATATACACATATAAATATCGCGTATATTGGCAGCCGCGATGTCAAACGAACTAAGCGAACTGATCGCCCTCAGCTGCGCGGATCTCACTGCCCGACCGGAGGGCAGTGGCCAGATCCAGTTAATTATCGATTCAGAGCGTCGCCTGAGCATTAAGCAAATGACCGCCACGGAGCTAGCCAATCTTCGGGCCGCAGCTGCCGCCGAGGCCGAGGCAGAGGCTCGTGCCCAAGCCGAGGCCAAGGCGCGTGCACTGGCCGAGGAGCAGGCGCGTCGGGCCGCTGAGGTAGAGGCGCAGGCGCGAGCACGAGCCGCTCTTGAAGCTGAGCAGCAGCTGCATCGTGTGATGGAGCGACAGCGGCTGGAAGCGGAACAACAGAGACAACAGGACGCCACACCAAGTCCATCGCACAAGGGTGTTCTGCCGGCTGCTGAGGCGCCACGTGATCGTCTCATTTCACTGCCCAACATTTTGGATGATGCAATGGAAATGCATTTGATGAACGCAGGCGAGGGCAATGCCATCTCTGGCGATTCCTCGCCCACCAAGAGCACCTCGCACCTGGCCGACTCCATTGAGTTGCTGCGCATGCAGCGGGCAGCTCGAGCCGCACGCTCCCATCATCGCAGCCGCGAGCGCAGCACGTCGCCAGCAGAGCGAAACCACGAGAGAAGCGCTGCACCCGAACGCCTGCACAGCTCGAGCATCAGCAGCATGGACTCTGCCCCCGCCAGCGGCAGCGTTAGTGTCAGTCGCCGCGGCAGCAACGCCAGCGCCATGAGCACTGATCTAGCAGCGGAGCTGGCAGCGCCGTCCAAGTTTCCGCTGTCGAAGACGGTATCGGCGCCCAATATGAATCGTCGCCGCAGCAGCTTATCGGCGCTCTTTCCCGGCCCAGCACCGCTGGTGGCGCCCGAACCGATGCTACACACCAATCCTGAGATGCCGCCGGCAAAGGACGCACACCGTCCGGGTGGCCAGGAGGATGGATATCGTGAGATACCCAGCGGTAAAATGGTGCATCGCACAAAGACACCTCCGCCCGTGGGTGCCAATTTAGGTGTGTGCCTCAAGCGGGTGACAGCCCCAAGCGGCTCGGTTACCATCAAGCCCAAGGATGCGCCCATGCTGGGCGTAGTGCTGCGCAAGGTAGAAAAGAAGACGGCACCACAGAAGAGCGTGCTGGACGATGACAAGCCCCTCTATCACCTGTCCATTGTGCGCAGCGATAACAAGGAGTACAAGCCGGCGCCAAAGCCAAAGCCGAAACCTGCACCGCCGGCGGCAAAGCCATCGCCGGGTGGCATTCTTACCGGGCCACAAGTGGTGCGGACCGTCAATCGTCCGGCGGTTGCCGCCAAACCGCAGCGCCCACAACCTGGAGTGCCCATAACCATAACGAGAATCGAGGGCGATAAGATTATTATAATCAAAAAGATAATTGTGCCGAAGAACAGTAAGATACCGGAACAGTATCTGCAGGTTGGTTGTCTGTCTGGTGATCTGTTGTCCAGTTCTGCGTCTAGTGTCAGTGGGTGTCTCTCTCCCCCCACCCCCTCTCTATCTCTCTCTTTCTGTATCGAAATGTGTTTTCATTTGGCTCGTTTGCTGCTGCTATCGATGCTGTTATCGATCAAAAAAACAATTATAAAATTCCATAGACACGCACAAGCACACACACACACACACACACACACGCTGGTAAATCGTGTTGTATTAATATTAGTGAGCTTTTAGTCGGAAAGCTCAACGTGAAGTGACTCACTAAGCTTTAAGCTTGCCAGAATTTCTGTATTAACGGTTACCGTTAAGAGCTTAGTATTTGTAACTGTGAACTAGTGCTATCAACCCTTGGTTTGGAACTAGTTCACAGCTCTAAATTCCTTCCACGCAGTTCGTGCGCGTTCCTCCAGTTGCTTAAATGAGTCAAGATGCTGGCAAAACCGCCGCCGTCAAATCAGCCCAGCCGGAGGCACAGACTGCGCTTGTTGCCGCCACTGCCGCATGCCCCAGCGTCGCAATGAGACCAACTGGGGACGCATTTGTGTCGTCGTCTTCGTCGCCGTGCATAATGCAAAAACCAACTCCGCCGCCCGCGAGCGGCCAGCAGTTCTTTCAGGTCGTTTCGCCGCAGTTCGCGTCGGTGCTGTCGTCCAGCTTGCCGGAAACCAAATGTGCGGTTCGCTCGCCCATCTCTTCGCCGCTGGCGCCGCGCAAGAATCGACCGCTGCTGCCAGCCAGTCCGAAGTCAACGCCGCCTCTGCCGCGCAAACACCATCCAATGGCATACAATGCGTCCACTGGGACCATCACAACACCTGCGCGCCCTATGGCCACCATAGCCAGCAGTCCCGCCTCAAGTATATCGCTGTCATCCTGCAGTTCGCCATCATCGTCGCCGCCACCGCCGGTGCCCTGCCGTGCGCCCAAACAAAAGCCGTGTGCAGGCGGCAAAAATGCTGGGGAAATCGATTTGGACAAGCTGCTGCAACAACAGCAACAGCTGGAGGAGAAGTCGGCCGCGGCCACCAGCAGCGCTAAGCTAGATGCCAATTTCTATGACGCTGAGATCGAGATGATGAACAAATATTTGAAGAGTCTGCCCGACTACAGCGAACTGGATCGCAAGCTGCATCAGGAGTTCCAGGAGTGTGAAGATCTGTACGATCGCCTTAAGCGCCAGCAGCAACAGCAACCACTTACCAAATCCAACTCGCATCAATCTGTGGCGCCTAAAACGTCGCAGGCGGCAACGCCAAGCGTTGCCAGCGGCCTCTCCAAATCCTCCTCCATTAATTTCGCCAACAACTTGACCTCCAATCGGACGCCGCGTCTTGCCTATCCTTCGATTTTCGCCCAGGCGAACCCGAACGAGCAGCCCAAGCTGCAGCGCAGCATATCCAGCTCGAACATGCCCATGGGCACGCCCAGCTGTGGCCCATTACGCTCACAAGGAGCGCAAAAGAATGGCCTGCTTACCGACTCGAATCTGTCGCTTAACAAACAGTTGATGAACGATTTCTGGAGCGAGAACCTCTGCAGCTCACAGAAGCGTCAGACGCCGAAGCGCACGTTTTGGAACTATGAGAAAATCTGTGGTGCGCAGCTAGGCGATGCTGGGCAGCCCTTCAAGGTGGATGCCAAGACGGCCAAGAAGCTGGCCATATTTGATCCCACGGTCGCCGAGGCGGCCCAGAAGGAGCTGCAAAAGCAGCAGCCGTCTACGGCACAGCAGCCACATAACCATCGCCTACAGAAGAACGCCTCGTTGTCGCACTTGGATCTCAAGGTCAGACAGGCCGTCACCAAAGACGATCTCTACAAGCTCATCGTATGCAACGAACAATCGCCCACGTTGGCAACGGCAACTGCGACGACGACGACGACGCCTTTCACCAGCCGCGTGCCCGTCAAGCAACAGCTGCCGACGCAGCCGCTGGCAGCTGCTCAACAGCTAAACAAGAGCGTCTCCATGACGCATGTTTCCGGCAGTCCGGCGGCGCCTCTGCTACGCAGTTCCAGTCGCACGCACATACCCTGCTACATGAAGCATCTGCCCTCGCTCAGTCGCAGCACATCCAACTCGGCAATATTGCTGCCCACAACAACGACTGGCACGACGCAGCCACGCAAGGAGCCGCCTGCAGTCAAGCAACAGCCAAATCCAACGAGTAAACCGAATGCTGGCGTGCTCAAAAGTTCCAGCAGCTCCTGTGTGCCATCGCCGCGGTGTGCGGCTGCGCTCTTCCGCCGACCCACAGAGCCGGCCAAACAGGCGTCGACAGCTGTTGGGGCAGCTGCACCAGCGCTGGCCACGTCCATTGCTGAGGCCTCTAACGAAACAAGCGCCTCGCTGGAGCGCAAGTCGGAGAAGAGCAACAGCACCATCAGCAGCAGCAGCTTCACCGTGACCAACTGCTGCACCACCCATCTGCCGCAGCTCTCAAAGTTTACCTCATCCTTTCACATACCCTCAACGGTTGCAGCAGCCGCACAACAGCAACAGCAGCAGCAGCACGGCGCCAACTTGGATCAGCCAGCAGCAACTACAGCGACAATAGCTACGGCAACAACAGCAGCAGCAGCAGCAGCAACAGTAGCAGCAACAACAACAACAACAGGAGGAGGAACAAGCTCATCGGCAGCCACAAAGCGTCAAAAAGACGTCGACAACAAGCTAGAAAAATGTTTAAATGACATGCTAAAGCTAAAGAGCAATAACAACAATGCAACTATGTCACAATCGCTGACAGCTGAACACAAAGAAGATGCTGCCGTCGTGATCAAGAGCAGCAGCAGCAGCGGCAGCGGCGCCGGCAAATTTGCCAGCGAATCGCAGATACCCGTGCCAGTGCAGCTGTACGATCCGCAGAAGCCGCTAATGCAGCAGCAACAGCAACAAAGGATGGCCTATCCCATAGGCAAATCCAACTCGACCTCTCAGTTGCCCATGGGCTATCAACGTCTACTGCAGCAGCAACAACAACAACAGCAGCAGCAGCAACAACAACAACAACAGCACCAGCAGCCACAGAATTATCCGCAGCAAAAGCGTCCGTTTTTAAATTGGAACTCATTCGCCTGTTCGGTGATGAATGGCAGCAGCGATCCCTTCCAGCAACACCAGCAGCAGCAACAGCAGCAATATCAACCTCACAAGCTGGAGCAATCCTATTCCTCCTCGCACCTGGCCAAGCAGGCATCAAAGCCCAGCTCCGGCTTGGCCATGTTCATGCACAAGAACACCAACAAGGAGAACAAATTTGGACAGCCACTGCATCAGCAGCAGCAGCAGCAACAGCCGCAACCAGCTGGCATGGCTCCACAGATGTACGGCAGCAGCTACCAGGCGCTGATCAATGCAAAGCCCGTTTATCCACGCGCCGGCGCCGCGCCGCTGACCCATTCGGCATCCTTTAGCGCTGCACAGCGACCCAGCATGATGCAGCCGCATAATTTTGGACTCGGCATGATGAGTCGCAACTACTATAATCTGCCCAAGCAACAGCAGCAGCCGCACGAGCGTAAGCCGCTGCAGACCTTCGATCCGTATGCGTATCTGAAGCCCAGTCAGAGCCAGGTGATGCAGCCGGTCAAGTACCAGGGGCAGCCTCAGCCTCAACCACATCCGCATAAGCAGTTTATCAATGCTTCCGCTTCGATGTCTGGCGGTGGCGGTGGCGGTGGCGGTGCGACGCTTCAATACGATCCGAATACAAATACGCAATTGTTTTATGGCCCGCTGCCGCCTGCATCAGCGGGCATGCAACCGCAGGCAGCGCAGCAACCGCAGCAACACCATCATCAGCAACAGCAACAACAGCAGCAACAGCAACAACAACAACAGTCACTACAAAGCAATTCTGTCATATTCAGCCACTCAAAACAACAACAACAACAGCAGCAGCAGCAGCAAATTGAAATGTCCAAGTCCGCTCTGGGGCTGCATTTCATCGAGGTAGATTCGATGCCAAACTATTTTGTTATTGTTTTGTATCTTGGTTTAAGCGTTTGTTTTTGTTTTTAATTTTGATTTTTGTTGTATGTTGCACATGTGTCCGGAATGCTGCCGCCTTTTACTGCCAACTAACATCATAACAACAAACAAACGCTCGACGGGGCAGCTCAGCGTCTCGAAATAGACCGCTGACTCATTGTGCTCCAAAAGGCCGCCGATTCTTCGCTCGTTGCTTTTGGCCACTTCGCGATCTTTGGGCTCTTGGGGGGGGGGGGGGGGGGGGCCAAGAACAGAATTTGTCGATTGTTGTGACGCGCACTTCCTGTGCGCGACTTGCCCCTAACCTGTCCGCGCTCCTCTTGCCACCCTCCTCCACCCCCTTTGAGCGCCTTGTCGGCACGCTCTTGTGGCCTCTCGCGTCAGACTCTTGCACTTGCCTCGGACGAGCAACAACGTTGCACAATCGACCAAAAAAAAATCAAACTGAAATTCAATGTCAATTTTGTGGTACGCTAAAAATAGCCACACACTTAATTTATTTTGTTTATTTAGTGAAAAGAAGAAAGAAAAAAAAAACATTCAAAACACTTTGAATTGATTTCACTTTAATTTTCCAAAACAAAAGCATAAATATATATTATTTAACGCCTGATGCTAATTTCTGTTTAAATATTGCCAAACTTCTTCTATTTATAATTTGAACATAACTCGGCGCAAAACAAAACTCACGAAATGCCAAACAATCGGCGAATGCCAGCCTCTAAAATATGTAGCAACAACTCGCACATAAAACATACTTATGCGAACATTCCCATGAGTTCTCTTTCTCTCTGAACTGCTGTGTAGTGTCGACTTTGGATAGCCAACGAATCCTGATTACCCTTACTCCATTCACAATACGACAGGTTAATTGGTTGGGCATTAGTTTTGAAACAGACTTACAGAAAATCTATAAAGAAATAAATAATTGGAAAATTGAACCCTTAATATTTCTAAAATGCCTTGCTCAAATCATCCTACTTGTATTTTTTAAAAATCAATGTGAAGTTTTTTAAAATGAAGTCTGCCTCCAGTTTCACAGGATATGCAGATGTTTCGTTTTGCTGAAAGATTATCCCCTACTACAAAAAATAATCTGATTTCGTAAAATTTGTATTGGACCGCATTATTGCCACGAACTCGGCATAGAGTATTCCCGTGCGGCTCTAAGCCAATTGACGTTCGCTTTGGCGTCTGCTTGTGGTTAGTTTTTTTGCTACCTAGCAAACAATAATAGAAACTGGCGGCTGTGCAGCAGCTCTCCCGCAGTGGCCACAAGCGCGCCCGCCCGGTTCATAGATCGAAACGGAGCGTGTTCTATGTTCCGCCCTGAGCACACACTCGCCAGCTACTTTGGCGCTGTCGTCGTTGCGATATTTTTCAATTTTTATAATTAGTATTTGTGGCGTGCGCTTTCGTAAACGTTGCGCTGATTTCGGATTGGTTTTTTTCTTCTTTTTTTCTTGAAAACGCAAAGACGCGCTGCTTGAACAAAGCCAATTGAAAATAAATAATAATAATAATTAATAAATTAATAATAAGGTTAAAGAAACGCGCAAAAGTTCGACCAACGAGCGCCAGCTGGCAAATGTCTCAAAGTGCGTGTATAAATCAGGACGAAATTTGCAATAAACAAATTGAAATAATTCACCAAAAAAGAAATTGAAATTTAAAGTGGAAATCGAATTTGAAATCGCAATTGCCATCGGAAATTGTCGCTGCTTCTGTTGTGTGTCTATTTCTGTCGAATAGCTGCCAAATATCGTACAATTTCAATTATTTTTACAACACATGAATACGCTCTTTATATGTAAATACGTATATTCTATTATACTATACTTAACATAATATATACAGTACAAAAACATCGAGTAAATGCCAAAAACAAAAATCTCGCTATAGCGCAGCAAAACCATTTATTTTAGTACAATTCATTAAATAGTTCAAGTCAGAGGAAGAACTCAATTCGCCTGCTAGATAAAAGGAACAACAACGAATCAGAGCACTCCGATCTGTCGTCTAGCTCCTCGCACGCGCACATGCTGTGCTCTTCTCACGAATGGATATCTAATTAATATTATCGAATTTTCATTCGAGCGAAAAAGTAAGAGTGTAACGGATAACAAAACCCACGCACAAGGAAAATAGAAAATGGCCACATTTTTAAGTCGTTTTCAACGCGAAAAAAGCGAAAAGATTTTGCCAAATGCTGTGAACACCGCAAACAGCAGCAGCAGCAGCAGCAGCAAGAAAACAGCTGACATGGAGGCAGCGACGCCGACGCCGACAGCGGCAGCGGCAGCAACTGCACAGCCGCGCCAGCAGCGACGCTACATGCGCAGCGCGACGGCAGCGAGCGTAACGCAACTGCTCTCCGAAAGCTGCAACAGTTTGCTGCAGCGCTTTCGACGCAATCCGAGCGAACGACCTGATAACAAACAGCAGCAACAACAACAACAACAGCAGCAGCAGCAGCGGAATCGGTAATCGATGCAGAAGAAATGAAGCAAATAAATTACATATATTCGTACACACACATACACACGTATAAATTATTTTTAATTTTGCGGTGTTTATTTTTTTTTTTTTTTTTGTTTCTACTTTTGCCGCCTTTCGTCAAACAACAAAAACTCGGTCAAAATGTTGCCAGACGCGCGTCGCAGCTCTCATCATTTATTTTATTTTCATTTGATTTTGTTTTTGGTAATTTTTTTCGTCGTTAATTTAAGTATGTAATTTGCCCCATTGCCGTTTGCCGTTTGCCGTTAGTTGCAGCGCAGCAGCGCGCTGCTTCGTTTCTGAACGCGTTCTACTCTTTAGCAGGGAGCCAATTATGTAAAGATCGTGCCGAGTGCGTTGTAAATCGCGTTTAACTTCGTCTTTTTGTCTGTGCAAAAGTGTGAAAATTTATTGTGGAAAATTATCAATTTAATTTATCATTTCTGCTTTTTACCGTCCAGACTGGAAAGCCTATACTAACAATAGCCAACAGTCAATACAAAATAAAGCGAGCGAGTGAGAGATTATTGTAGAGTTCTTGTTGAGACCATCAATTGAAGTGCAAGCATTTACATAAGAATAATCATTCATCATCAGAATTACAGTTTCTATGGTTTCTAGGCCATTTATCTAGCCCAATGACATCGAACCTATGTAACGATGCATATTCCCCAAGTATATGTGCACAATATGTACTTATCTTTACATATTTTTATTTAATAGCAGGCCAATTAAAAGTTTTAATTGAAAAGTTTCGTTTTAACATTGTGCGCAAAGCTTTACACAAAAAGCTTTCAAGTTCGCCAGCCTGCCTGTCTGTCTCTCTTGCTAGCCAAATGTTTGCCTGTCTGGCAACTCTCCTCTTCCTCTTAGCACGAAAGATCAACGCGCCACTGTTCTTTTCTCTCGTTCTCGCTCTCACTCTCACTCTCGCTCGCTGCGCCTTTGATGCATTAACTGTATAATTATTTCTTTTTTAATGCGCGCATTTTGAATTTTGAATATGCAAGCATGCAAACGTAATTGTTTCGTCTTCTGCGCGGCTTTGTTCATTTTGTGTTTTTGCTCATTAGCAAAGTTCAAGGCTTTTCCTCCAAGCATTTTAACCGCAAGACTTTCGATCGTTTCCTTGTTTCGCTAACTGACGGAAATGGAAAGCTCTGCGATCAGCTCAGCAGTAATTAAATGCATTTTCTGAAGAAGCACACAGCGAAATAATTCATTTATCCACCCACTCACACATTTTTCTTTTCCGACTCTCTCTCTCTCTCTCTCTCTCTCGCTCGCTCTCTCACTTTATGTGGCATTCTCTTTGTCCAACCCGCCCGCACAGCTGCTCCGGCTGCTGCTGCTGCTGCTGCTGGGCAAGTGCGCAATATTTTCACACTTTTTCACAAAAATAAAAACGATTCCTCAATATTTTTGGTAGCCGCGCGTTGTGTTTTCCTATATTTTCCCATACATCCACTGTGCGTCGTCGCACGAATTTCGATCGAATTTTCCTCAGTTATTATTTGGTCCGTGTCGTGGCAACGCGCGTTCGTCGCGATTCAGGCGCGTGGAAAATACCAAATAACAAAATATACCAAACACCAAAAATCGACACTAAATAGAAAAAGGGAAAGCTTTAAGTGCGTCATAAGCAATTCTTGTTTTGTTTTGGGCTTTTATAGTGCAGCGCCCATAGCCGAGGATAACAGCAGCAGCAGCAGCAGCAACAACAACAACAACTGCAACAATAAGGAAAGCAACGAAAATAGACGCAGTGGCTCCAAGACCCCAACGAATGATAACAACAGCAACAACAATAACAGCAATAGGAGCAACAAAAACAAAGACAAAGACAAAGGCAGCGGCAGCCTCACAACACAACACAGACGTCGCCGCAGCTCGGAAAAGTCCGCCAGCGGTCGCAGACGCCCGGAGGCGGAACGTGAACGGGGCAAGGAACGCGATAGGGATAGGGAACGTGATCGGGATCGGGATCGGGACCGGGAACAGAACGCCATGAGCGATCGTCACAGACGTTACTATGCTGGCGGTGGCCTCGGCTACCATCCCATTAGCACAACCAGCGGCAGCGCTGTGGGTGTGGGCGGCACCCATATGGGCCGCTATCAGAAGAGCTCAACGACGGCCAATCCGCTGCGCACTCATCTGAGCCCCGTGGGCAGCAGCTACTATAAGCCGGCCATACGCCCCCTGGGCGCCGGGATGCGGCGTGACCTGGACGACGTTAGTATGAGTGGAGCGTGCAGTGTGTATGCCAGTGGAAAGCGCTGCGTGTTATTCGATCGGAGCCAGGCAGCCAAATTCATCCCGTGACTCATGGCCAGAGCATTTCTTCACATTTGGAAATCACTGAAATTTCGTTTGCCCTATTTCCACCTGTCACCATGAGTCACGGCTAAGTCCAGTCACTGTCCCAATTCTGTCACAGGTTGAAGAAAGCGGGTTGGAGGTAGCAAAAGATCGCATCTTCAATGAATGCATCGGCAACCCCTATTGCTCCATAGTATACCTATATGTGTAGCAGGTGTATATACTTATGATGATCGTGCGCAGAGATGTAGACATAAATATGTATGGATTTTCTATTTGCCCACACAAACTATATCTATTCTATATCTTCCTACTTGCCGTGTGCGTTTATTTTTGATTCCAAGCAAATGTCCATGCCTCGGGCAGCTCACCCTGCTCCCATGTCTATCGCTTCGCTCTATCTCTCTCTCTCTCTCTCTCTCTGAGTTCTCAGCTCTCTGGTCCGCATTAAATGTATAAAAAGCTATTCACAATTTCACGATTTTGGCATTTCGTATATATAAATATACATATATATATAAGGTATACATCTATATATATAAAAACTGTGAAGGTCGGCCGTGGTTATTTTGTTTAGATTTTCACTAGACGTTCTAAATAATATAGACGCCCCTCCTCGGAGCAGCCGCCCAGCGCAGTTCTTCGGCTAGATGTTGTGTTTTTTGTTAGAGAAAGCGACTGGATTCGACGCTTGAAATGCGAGTGAAATTATGTGGAATTAAGTTGCCCAAACACTGTTATTAGCCAGTGCCGAAAAGGCCATTTAAATGGGTATGCGAATTGCGAGTGCGTCGTCTTCTTCTCTCTAGGTCTAGGTCTACTCCCAACTGGCTTCATATGTATCTGCGTCTGGCTCAGACAGAGCGTGAAATGTTTGACGAACGTCTTCGTTTTCGTTTTCGTCGTTGTCGTTTCCATTGGTTTCACACGAGCGCTGCTAAAAGCACTTTCCTTATCCATTAAATTCCCTCCCAATTGACTGGTTTCTCTTCTTGGGACGCACAGCGTCGCGAGCTGCTCTTGGACAAAGACAAGACGCCCACAGTGTCGGCGGTCTCGCGGCTGGAGAACAAATATTCGGACATTTTGGAGCGTGCGGCTGGTCGACGACGTCACGAGGAGGATCGCGACAAGACCCTGGAACCGGATGACTATGGTGGCCTGTTGCGCAGCGCCACCTCACATCAACTGGCCAAAGCGAAGCTCTCGTCGAGCTCTTTCAATGCCGCCGATCGCAAAGAGCGCACGCCCTACAGAACGCGCGCCCAGCGGCAACGATATATGGCCGACTCCACAGACAGTGGCTACCTGACCAGCGGCAACCGTTTGCTGGACGAGAATTATCCGGTGGACTATGGCCACAATCGTTATCAGCCGCATGACTACCACGACGCACTACGCGCTGGTGGCGCCACTGGCTACTCAACAGGCCGATATGGTCGAAGAGCCGGTGTGGAGGATACTGCGCTCACCTCTGGGCGATTGTCACGAGCCTATGAGCGAACCAAGACCGAACTGCCGGCGACAGACTCGCCAGACGCTGGCCACGCGGAGGATCACGTTATGAACTGGCGCAGTCGCTTTGCCAACCGTCGAAGGGAGCAACCGGCGGCGCCGCCGCCACCGCCAGAGCTAACGGCCGAGGATCGCGAGATTCTAGCTGATGATCGCTCCTCGGAAGACAATGCAGCCATTCTAATGCTGCTGCGCGAAGACAATCAGTTCCTGGAGGCCAAGAAGTTTGAGGAACGCATGCGCAGGCGGCGCGAGCTTAAAGAGCGTGTCAAACGCATGGAAGAAGCCGCCGCCGCCGCCGAGGCCAAAAAGACTGAAGCAGCAGCCGCAGCGGCAGCAGAAGCGGAGGCAATGGAACAGCAGGCAGCCAAGGAGGCCGCTGCAATTGCAGCAAATGCAGCGGAAGCGACAGCAGCGGAGCAGGCGCCCAAGAAAAAGTCGCGCAGCAAAAAAGTAACTAACGATGATAGCGATGATGCAAGCAGCTCATCCACATCAGAGGCTAGCTCTGATGAGGTCGATAGCGAACCCAACAGAACAACTGGTGTCCAACTAACCAACACGGCTGACACTTCACAGAAAACGAAAAGCACAACAGACAAGGCCAACACTCCCACCAACTCCGTCAATGGTACTTCGATTATCCCCATAACAACAAGCACAACAACAACAGCCACAACAACAACAAACAGTAACAACAACACGAACTCATCCACCATCCCCTCTGCTCTCTCTAACCTATCTCTGCACGACACGGCAGCGACAGCGACAGCCAGCGGCAGCGGCAGCAGCGCCAACAAAAAAAGTCATTTTCTGCTCCACTCAGATCGGAACAACAACGACCTGTCCAAGTATAGGCCGAGCAATCTCTTGCACTCGTCCAGCTCCGGTGCGCTCGCCTTTGGTGGCATTGGCGCGCGCCTGGCAGCGGCGGACACGCGTCGCCAGCAACAGCAGCAGCTGCGCTATCAGGGCGCCAGCTCCCGCACAGCTGCTGTGCTGAGCGATTTCGAGCGGTACAAGCCCAGCAGCGGATCGAGCTATCTGCACGATAACTATGGCATCAGTAGCCGGCGCTCCAATGCTGCGGGCAGTTCGCTGTATCCGCATCGCCAGCAACTGGATCCCTACCAACAGCACCAGCAGCAGCAGCAGCAGCAGCAGCAGTCGTCGGCCTTGTCGTCATCCTCGTCGCATTATCTGCAGCAGCACGATCACTATCTGCTGTCAAAGAGTGCCACCTCGTCGGCGCTGTTCCATAGGTCACGCATTCCAAAGACACTCTCGACCTTTGTAAGCCACTCGACGCATTATTCTATGCAGCTTGAGCTTCTTGCAACGCGATCCCGCAACTCACCCAACCAGCCTGAATACACTTTACAGTACTGCTAACTAACAGCGCGCCATGTTAACACTAACAGCCGTATGTTAATGCGTTCTCTCCCTGCATGTAAGGAAACTTGATCAAATTAATTCTAATTATTTCTCGATATTTTCAATTAAATGCTTAGTTTTTCTTTTACCATATACCAAAACAATTAATCAATTTATAATATATATATTTAAATATCAATATATTCAAAAAGACAAGTAAAAAGTATACAAAATATGTTCCGAAAAGACAACAACAATATGTAGACGTAAGCGAATGCAATTTGTTTTTGCCCATGCGTTTTATGGTTCGTTTATTTATTTATTTATTTTTTTTTAATAATTTTTTTTTCCTCTGCCCAAAGCACAAAAGCTTTTGTTTTTGTGCATATGCCCGTATTTACATTGTATGTGTATACATACATACATATATGTGTATATATACAAAAATGTTATATGATATTTGTTGTACATGTTTTATATTTAAAAAAAAAAAAAAAAACAAAAAATATTAACCATTTATGTAAAACACAAAATCTCTCTCTCAAAAAAAAAAAAAAAATTTGTCCGAACTAATTTTCTTATCGAACAAACGAAACGTATTTTTCTCGTGTTTTTTCTGAATATGATGATGAAAATCACAATGATGATGATGATGATGATGATGATGGGTTGATGTACAAACAACTTGATGATGATGAAATGATGTAAATGGTTGGTTTATGGAATGTCTGGGCTGTGCGGATTAATTGTGAATTGCGCATATTTGTGATATGATGAAAATCGGATATCCGGAATCGGAATTGTTGTGGTGCCAACGCGGGATCCTCTGGCGGATTATGTGTTGAATTGATGAACTCTGATTGCCTGGATGTCTGGACGCTGGCGACCCATAAAATGTGTTTTTTTTTTTCTTTTTTCTCTTTCTTTTTTGTTTCTTTTTCTCTCTTTCAAATTACATACTTTAACCACACACGCACCTTATGTATTCGTCTGTGTAACTGCCATCAACTACAACAACAACAACAACAACAACAACAACCACGCCCCCTGCTACAACAACGTTCTCGCAACCCACTACCAAATACGCTCAAACATAAATCGCTAAATATTCGTCGTCGTCGTCGTCGTCTGCGTCGCCGCCGTCTTCGTCCTCGTCCTCGTCCTCGTCGTCGTCGTCGGCCTCGTCGCCCTCATTGTCGCCACCCCTCCCCTTCTGAATCGACGGATCAATGCACCTTGCAATCGCACCACCATCGCCACCACCACGCCAACCTCTCGTCGAACGCTCGCCCCATAACAGACAGCAAAGCCCGTCATTCAAGATGATGCTGATGGTCACTTAATTTACCACAACGGAGACATTCTCCATCACAGATGTTCGTGACAATTTTTTCGTTTTTAATTTTTCTATATGTTTATGTTTAGAGATTATCAGAAACTTTTCAAGTTCAAAAGAGACATTGAGTAAAAACTGCCGCACAATAAGTCTACACGTAACTGTTATAGTTTTCAACTATCCAATTTTTCTTTATTATTTCTTAATTATCTTTCGACAAAATCGTCGTGTCGCAGCAACACATCGCGTGCGCCTTTAAGACACGTTTCAAAATGCGCACCAAAACACTAAACAAAAAAGTTCACATCATTTTCACCAGCAAAATTTTCCGAAAGTTAAAGAAAAGAAACTAAAAGTTAATTTTCCAGTTCAACTCAAATTAAAACTTACAAATTTTTTTCTTTTTGCCAGTCATAATTAAATTGAAGTTTCTCACACAAACACACACACACACACACACACACACACACACACACACGCACACACACACTTACACGCAGACACTCGAGTATTTTATTAAATTTCCGGAACTTTTGGCGCATAATTAATGAAATAATATTGAAACTGAAAACTTTTCCGCATACATTTTCTTAAAAGCAGTTCAAAGTTAGAGCATATTTTTGTGGTATTTTTACTTAAATCCGAAAGATGCCCAGTTACAGGTTTAGATATTAGCGTAAATAATTAACAATTATTGCCGTTGCATTTACATTAAAATAAACGACTACAATACGCCTCCTTTTGCCACTTTTCAGATAAGATCATGGCCACACTGGGCGAAGGCACTTTCGGACGTGTGGTCAAGGTCAAAGACATGGAGCGGTAAGTACCAAAAAAAAAAAAAAAAAAAAAAAAGCAAACCCTTCCCACAGTACTTGACCAAACAGCCTATTTATATTTAATGTATGCATATGAATGTGTTTCACAGTGATTTTTGCATGGCCCTGAAGATCATCAAGAATGTTGAGAAATATCGTGAGGCTGCCAAGCTGGAGATCAATGCCTTGGAGAAGATAGCACAGAAAGATCCGCATGGTGATCAGTAAGTTGGCACTTAAAGTTCTTTTTGGTATATATATTAATATTAATTAATCTATTCCCCACTTGCAGCCTGTGCGTCAAAATGATTGACTGGTTTGATTACCATGGACATATGTGCATAGTTTTTGAAATGCTGGGACTGAGTGTTTTCGATTTTTTGGTTTGTATTGCTCTAGCTGTCAACTATTAGATGGGAGCACAATGTCTTATATTTACATTTTGTAATTGCAGCGCGAGAACAACTATGAGCCGTATTCTCTGGACCAAGTTCGCCACATGGCCTATCAATTATGCTACTCTGTCAAGTTTCTGCATGACAATCGTTTAACCCACACAGATCTCAAGCCGGAGAATATACTGTTTGTTGATTCGGATTACACGTCTCACTATAATCATAAAATTGTACGTATGAGTGACCCTTAGTTGACCATACTTGAGTTTTATATATTGTACTTATCGTGTATGCTCTTCAATAGAATCGCGAAGTGCGCCGCGTCAAGAGCACAGACGTGCGCCTAATTGACTTTGGTTCGGCCACTTTTGATCATGAACACCATAGCACAATTGTCTCGACGCGCCATTATCGCGCGCCGGAGGTCATACTGGAGCTTGGCTGGTCACAGCCCTGTGATGTCTGGTCCATCGGGTGAGTGCGGCCCGTTCTTATATAAAAAACAAAAAAAACACTTTGCTAATTTCTTTTCACTGAATTTAGTTGCATTCTCTTCGAGCTGTATTTGGGCATCACGCTATTCCAGACGCATGACAATCGCGAGCATCTGGCCATGATGGAGCGCATCTTGGGACAAATTCCATATCGCATGGCACGGTAATACAATGCAGCTCATGCTTTTTTAACTCAAGGCGCAGTATTCTTCATCGAAATCAATTAATGTGTAGCAATCACACTCTTTATAGCAAAACCAAAACAAAGTACTTCTATCATGGTAAGTTAGATTGGGATGAGAAGTCCAGTGCAGGACGTTATGTGCGCGATCATTGCAAGCCCTTGTTCCTCTGTCAACTGAGCGACACCGAGGATCACTGCGAGCTATTCAGTTTGATTAAAAAGATGCTGGAGTACGAGCCCTCGTCGCGCATCACGTTAGGTGAGTTTTTGACTAAAACTATTTTATGCTCGATCTAAATTCTTGATTTTTACAGGTGAGGCCCTGCGACATCCGTTCTTTGACAGGTTGCCACCGCATCAGCGGGTTGGTGAAACGGGCATCAGCAAGCAGCCCCTTTCGTCCGGCAGCAGCAGCCGTGAGCGCTCGCACAGTCTGTCCAGATGAGAATTACAGCGATTTGGTTATTGTTGACAGCAGCAACAACGTTAATCAAGCACACAACTACAAATATGCGTACACACACACACACATACAATGAGAACAGTCATCAATCAATGTAATCCAACATTATTGAGCAGCAGAGCGCAGCGGAGAGCAGCAAACAATAACAACTACAACTACAACTACAGTAATATTAATATATTAATGGCGAACCTTAATTTAAGTTCTAAAGTCTTATTTAGAAATTTTGTAACTTGACTTGTATGGAAGACAATTTCTACACAAATAACCCAATCGTTAAGTAAATATTGATTGTGTGCCTGCTGCACGCGCTGCTCCATTAGATCCTGTGCATTGTCTCATCCATCAGCCAATCGTGTTTTGTTTTGTAATGATAACCAAATCGTGCATAATATTGATAATGCGTCCTCCTCTCCCGATACAGACGCCGCCAACCTAAATGTAAATGCCACAGAAATGTGCACAGTCTTACCTTGAGATAAATAATAGATCTTCAAACACGACTGCAATGTTTAAAGAAAATCTATAAAAAAGAAAAAAAAAAAAGCTACAATTGTAAATGTAATACATGTATAAGAAAATCGATAAAGCGCTAGTTGAAATGCAGCTCCATGTGCAAGCTGTCATTTGCCATGGACTTGCTTATAATCTGTAATTAATTTACTATTTTTCGAGTGCGTGAGATGTAAGCTAATGCAAGAGCCATTATACACACACACCCATAGCTAAACCCTTAAATCGATATCATATGTAAAGATCAATTATTATGACGCCTCCGGAGGGTCCACGACAAAGAACAAAAAGCAAACGCAGCGTTTGTTTTTATATAAATTATGTAGCAGCCAGAATCATTTTCTCTTAGGATATGTTTAATGTCTAGAATCGGCGCTGTTTGTTTAGTTTATTTACGTCAACATACACCCAAACACACCCACACCAACACATATACACATATATTTATATGAAAAGAACACTGGCAAGTGGGGAATGCGAGAAGTATATAGATACATATACTTAAAATACTTAATTCAAATGATTGTGAGTTAGTTTAATATTACATAAATATTAATTATTACATTATTTGCAATTAATTAACCCGGTCTACCAGCATATAAGATCTACAAAAAAAAAAAATATACAAAAATACAACTATTATTGTCAAGTTATTTAAAACTGAAATAAATTTTAAAAATATTTTACTCGAATTTTTTTTCATATACTTTCTGCTTTCAGAACAAACTTAATATTCATATTGATATGTTAAGCCTTCCAATTTTAGCCAAATTTTTATTTGTCCAAAAAAATGTGCAATTTTTTATTTCTGAATTTATTCACCCGAGATAAAACAATTATATATTTTTTAAAATCTGAACTCGGGTAAGTCCTATCTTGAAAAGATTTTCGGTTTGCGACTTGTGAAACCCAGATTAGATTCAAAATATTTGATTTCCGAACTGACTCCAATTTACCGGAACGACGAGTTTATAAGGGTTTAAATGTAGAACTTCTGCTTCGAATGTCAATTGACGGTGTTTATCCGTACAAGTATAGATATGTATACATTGTAAAGATATTTCTTTATTTTCCCGAGATATTCAGATTAAAAAAAAAAGTTTTTAAAATCTTTAAATGAATATAACTCGGGTTAGTGCAGTCCAATTCTGAAAATATGTACCATAGAATAGATTGGAATCAAAAATGTTCCTTCAAACGCTTTGAGATTTTTCGGGAATATTTTTAGCATTTATTTATTGTTTTAGTGGATTTTCGCTACGTGTTTAAATGTCAATTTGTTTTTTGTTGTTTGTTTTCTAGAATTTTACAATAGTTTAACTAAATAAATAATAACAATTTATAAATATAATTCTCTTTTTTGTTAGGTTCTCAAACTCGTTAGCTGAGTGTTGTTGAGTTTTTTGCTTTAACGTAAATAATTTGTTGATATTTCCCATTCTTTAAGTATTTCAAAATTAGAATTAGTATCAGTTATATGCTTTTGATTTATGTGTTTCTCCTGCAAGAATTTTGTTGGATTGAGCCAAAAACAAGTAGCTCATCGAAAGGTGCATAAATTGGCTGGTTATAACTTAATGGCTAAAAGTCGGCTTATGCTATCTAAATATAAAAATAATAGTTAAGTCTAAAGATTGCAACGAAAACAAAAAACCTATGCAAACTATATACTTTATACGCAATAAATAAATATGTACCTAACATTTACAATCTGTTCATTATAATGATAAAAATAGGCATTCGCTCCGATCCTGCTTCTATCCTCCTATGTAAATATATACAGAAAAACAAAAACAACTGAGTTTCGCGCTTTGGGCAGGCGCACTGCTTGACAAAGCAACAAAAAACTATTGTTCTCTTATTGTTTAAGCGTTTTCTCTCTTCTTCTCTCTTCTTTGTAACTTCGTTTCCTTTAACATTTTTATATTGTTTTATTGTCTATTTCAAAGATGTGGCATCGCCGCACAGGCGCAACTAAGCAGATTCGTAATTCGATAGAAAATTATAGAAAACAGCGACAGACAGTTGGGGCTGATATCTAACTACACACTTAAGTATGGATGCACATATATATATATATATATATATGTATATAGATATATGTATATACTGTTTGTGGCCAGCTGGCTCTACTTGTGCCCAATAACGAGCGTATAGTTTGCTGTGGTTACTGTCGACGGCAGCGCCGACAGCGCTGGTCATTTGGCCAGCTTCAGGATCTCCGCTGCTGCTGCCGCCGGCGACGACGCTGCACTCGATGCTGACGGCACGCCCGTTGGCGGTGCGGGCGCTATCCGTATGGGCTTGGCACGCTGCTGATTGAAGAGTCCGCTCAAAGTTGCCGCTGTGCTAGCGGAGAGCGTCATGGTGGCGCCCCCAACGTTCGCCTGCCCACTTAACGTCCCTTGGCGCTTGCCCCGCGCCAACCCATGGCCGCCATTGTTCGTTGACGTGGGCTGCTGCAGCTGGTGGCCAATTACTGCGGATGCTGTTGCTGCTGCTGCTGCTGCTGCTGTGGTTGCCGATGCTGAAATGTTATCCAACTCAGTCATTGCTTCTTGTATAGCTTGCTCGAGTTGCGAGTTCAGTTTGCGGCTCCTTTGTGGGTTGGTTGGTTGGTTGGTACATTGTGGTATTGGTGGGTGGGTGGGTGGGTGGTTGGTTGGTCGTGTGTGTGTGTGTGTGTGTGTGCGTGTGTGTTGTGGTTGTGGGCAGTTTTCGGTAGGTAGGAGGTGGTTGTAATGATGATGATGTTGAAGATGATGATGATTGATGCATATACACACATATTGTTATACACACACATATGCATACGCAAACACACACGTTGCGATTTTTTTTTTTTGTTTTTGTCAGCGCATAATAATAAAAAAAAGAAACAAGAATATTAATTAGCAAAATTAAAATTTAAATGGACAAATTAAAGTCGAAACTAATTAAAAATGCATTTGAATGCCAATCATTGCTACACTGCACAACAAGTTACAAGTTATTCGCAAATGCAAATGCTACAAAATAATCAACTTTTGCAAAGAAAATTCAAATACTAAATATACTAATTTCTAAATATATACTGCAAAAATATCTGAATTCAATTCTCTTGTACTGTGGCGGCTCGAATATTAGAATATTAGCCTTAAAATTTAATATTTTACTTTTTTCATTTTTAAATATTCAAATAGTCTAATTCATTTTTGTATGAATTGAATTACAAATTTGATTGCTGTTTAAAACAGACGAATTATAATTTTCGAATCGCCACAAGATCCAAAATATTTATATGTAACATGATAAATATGCTTGAAGAAATGAATATATATATAAATAAGCTGGGATTATATTAAGGAAAAAAGTTTCGTCATGTTACATTAAATGCTACATATAAAAAAAAAACATTACTTTAAAAATCTTTGCATAATAATTCTACTTTAAAAAATAACTTATTAAAAATGTTTTTTTTTTTTAACAGTGCTTTTTGGTGCAGATCTAAAAAAGAAATAAATCAATGTTTAAGTCTAAGCCAAATCTATTCGATTCTGCGTCGCACCGGAATCTATAACACTTGGACACCCCATCGATCCCCATCGATCAAACCTTTCTCTCAGTCTCATTCTCTGTCTCAGTTGGCATATTTATTTTCACCCACTTTCTCATGTGATGCTCACTTTCTGGTATCCTTTTGCGCCTTGTGATGCGCCTCCAAGCCTTCGGATAGGCTCTGCAACAAGTTGACCGGAATTAGCTCGGAGCTGGAACGGCCGTTGCCACCGAACCATTGCACCCACACGTGATCGAACTGTTGCGACGGTGTACAGACACCGTCGGGCATCTTAACTATCTTGCCTGGCCAGGCGGGGTGTCCACGTGCCGGCCCCCAGATCAGCTCGCCAATGGCAAATGTTCGCGGTGGCAACAGTGCCACAGTGCCAGTTGGCGAGTTTCTTGCCAACGCGCGGTGTTGTCGACGTGCCCGTTTGGTGGGCGTGCGGCAGGTGGTTTTGAGTGGTGCAGCTTCATTGAGTGCTGGTGCATCCGAAATGGTCGGCAGCTGCGTCGTGGTGGGCGACTCTACATAGAGATTTGGATGCAGCGGCTTGGTTAATGTAGCCGATACTCAATACTCAATACACGATACACGATACCCAGTACCCAACACCCGATACCCGATTCCCGACGGTAGACGAAACAGAACAGAAATCACACAACAAAAGCAGAGTGCAGAGGGATGCGTGGGGTGCGACAAGTGCTTGACATGCATCAGGTGTGTGAGTGATCGGTAGCGGTGACGGTGGTGTTGGTGGTGTGGGTCAGTTAGTGAATGGATGCAGTTAGTGGTTGCTAATGGCATTAGGACACTGGCAAGGTCTTACCCTGGTAGTCAACGCTAACTACTTTCTGATTATGGATAAAGACGCTGTGGTGGCTGTTCGAGGTAGCGGAATGGGGCTGATGCGGGTGCTGGTGTTGGTGCTGGTGCATGGCTTGGCGACCTGATGCCGCCGTTGTTATTGATGGTGTTGACAATGAAGTTGACGATGATGATGAGATGGACAGGGCTGTAGAGCTAGCCAAACGCATACCTTGACCCATAAGACCCACAGAGTGGTTGCTCTCCGTCGCCGTCGGCGCCGGCTGCGATGTGATGTGAATACGCCGAATTTTAGGCTCCGAGGGCTTATACATGCTGCTAGGCTGGCTAAACACGTTACTGCTGCAGATGCCTGTGACAATGACAAGGGATTTAATCAATGAACTGGCATGGATAGCTGTATGAAACACTTACTCCTCTCGCAATCCGTGGAAGAGGGCGACTGGCGGCTCTCGGTACTTTGTGGCGAAATGGCCGCATCAGGCTCCGAGCTGGAGACGCACTGCACCTGAAAAACAACGAGAATTAATATAAATGCAAGATCCCAATTGGAATCACAGCTATGCTGACTGACCATGTCGCCGCTGCCGCTGCTGCGATGGCTGGGCGGTCGCTCGGGACTGCGCGGACTGCATGTGGTGGTATCCGGCGGACTGGCGGCGGTTGCCTGGCGACTACTATGCGACTCCGAGACGAAACTGGTCGCCTGGGGTGGCTGCAGGCTTATATGCTGCTGTGGCTGCGGCTGCTGCTGCTGAATCTGTATGGTGGCCGTGGGACTGGCCTGCACAAAGGATGCGCCGCTCTGCTGAGCTGTGGGCATAACCAGGCCCATGGGCGTCGAGTAGATCTGGCCAATGGGACTGAGCTGTCCATTGGCGCCCACTATATACTGCTGGCCACCGCCGCTGGGCGATATGAAGGAGGGTTTGTTCTGCGGTGAGGGCGTGCGCAGCATCACCGGGCCCTGGTGCGTCAGCAGACTTGTCGTGGGCATATTTTGTATCTGCAACAGGGTTGCGTCCGGGCCCATGACCAGGCCAGCGGGCATAAGTAGCTGCTGCCCAATAAGATTCACCTGCTGCAGTATTTGTCCGTTCTGTAGCAGCAGCTGCTGCGTTTGAGGCGCCGCCGTCGCTGTTTTGTTGACTACAATGCCTTGGATGCCTGGACTCAGCTGGAATTGCTGCGAGAATTGCGGCGGTGGCGCCGTAGCTGCAACCGCCGCGGCATTTGCCGCCTGCTGCAGCAGCGCTGGCGCCTGGCTGGGTATGCTGGGTGAGATCTGTGGCGAATGCGCCTTTGCCGGCGACCCGTTAACACCACAGACCAGCGGCGGCGGCGGTGTGCTGCATACAGAGCTTTTGCGTTTACGTGTCCGCCGCTTAGCCTCGGGCGAGGCAATAATGTGGGTCGCTGGCTGTGGCATACCCAGCAGCTGATGTGGCTCCTGCTGCTGCGTATGTTGCTGCTGTTGCTGGTGGTGGACGATGTAGCCGCCATTGGGCAATGTGTTGAGCAGCACTGTCTGTGGCGCCGCCGCGGCGCCCGCCTGGCTGATCTGACTTATTTGGCTGGCCTGCGAGCTGATTATCTGATGATGCAGCAACTTGGCCCCGTTAGTGTTGAGTATCGGCGAGGGTTGGCTAACAATGTAACCGCCACCAGGCTGTGCGTGCAGCTGTGCTGTCTGCGCCTGCCGCTGCGGCTGTGCAGCGGTTGCCTGCTGCTTACTGGCCGAGGGTATGACCAGCAGTTGGCCGGATGAAGTCATGATCAGCTGGTTGCCGCCAGCATTGCTCGCCATCGATTGCAGGTGAGCCACGGTGGAGTTGGCGCTGCTCAGCGTGGTGCCTGGTCGACTGATGCCCGCCGTGGTCGTAACAATACTGCGTGTGAGCGTAGTGGTTCCATTAATGGCCACCGGCTGGCGTTGACCCACCACGGGCTGACACTGTTGCCGCATCAGACGCAGCTGGGCTGTGGGCTGTACCGTTGCCTGTGTTTGGACCTGGGGCTGGCGCATCTGCATCTGAAGCTGCGCCTGCTGCGGCTTTGGCGAGGCGGAGGGCGTACTCTTGGCCGAGTCTATAGAGTCCGTGGGCGAAGAGAGGCTGTGGCGTGGACTTTCGTGGCTGGTTGAGATGGCGCCAACTTGCTCGGGCCGCTTCTCTGCCTCGGGCCCGCTGCTGGACACTGGCGACTCCTGCGGCGCCGGCACCACTGTAATGCTGGTGATTTGGGGCTTCTGTGGGCGTGCAAATGCAGCTGCCGTATCAACGTGCAGCGAGCGTGCCACATGGCCAGACGCTGCGCTCGGCTCCTGCTCCACTTTGCCGCCGGCAAAGAGCGAGAGACGGCGAATGCGCTCCCTCTGCTGCTGATTCTGGGAACTATGCACAATGGGCTCTTGGGGCAGAGCTCTGGCCGTGGCCGAGCCCGTGGAAGTAGCTGTGACAGGCTTAGCATCTAAGCCCACGCCCAGCGTATTGTGCAGCAGCGTTGTTTGCTGTTGCAGATAGCCCGCGGGATCATCCTTGAAGTTGGGCTGCTGGGCTAACGGAAGAGGAGCAGGGTTAGACGCGTTTGTCGCGGGCTTTATCACATGCGTTGGGGCAGCTATTGCTGCAGCTGTTACTGGAAGAGGAGCAGGAGCTGCTCGCTTTGGCGCGCTGTCCATGCCAGTTGCTTGACTAGTTTGCATCACGGTCGCTGCTGTGCATATGGGCGTGGCTGCGGCTGGAACTGTTGCTGCATATGATGTCCTGCACGCCAGCTTAAAGTTGTTGTTGCTGTTGTTGTTATTGTTGGTGTTGTTGCCATACTTGAGGCAATCAGCGTCTGAAATATAGCCACAATTCAAAGGGAAAAGTCAGCAAAAGATTGCGAGCGTCTCGTTGCTTATGCAAAGTGCGTCGTCCTTAAAGTGCCCGCAACGTGTCCCCCAGCAAGCAAAGGGCGTTCCGCAAAGGTCGCCACTTGCCACTTGCCACTTGCCGCTTGCCGCTTGCCACTTGACGAAAACAGACAACAAAAAGCGCCAAATGCCAAATGGCTGCGAAAGCGAAGCACAATAAAATCAAAACACGAAAACGTGCACCGCAAACTTATGAGCGGAGATCTGGAAGGGAACTAGAGACTGGTTCTAGCCATAGCTGCGGGGAAGTAAGGTTCAGATGGTTCGGCGCTCAGATAATGGCAAATTTAATTAAAATGCGAAATAAAAAGGACAAACACTTCGCTGCGACCATTACCTGCCACATTTAGAAAAGCTCAAAAATGCTTTCAAGTAAAAAGAAAAAGCATTACATTTTTTCGAAAAATTAAATGCCCGTGCAGATATATATTATTTATACGTTAACTAAATAACTAACAAATTTTTTATTAAAGAGCCATTGTTGAAAACAATGTGGAAAAATTGTTTTAGTTTAAGCTATATATTTATATCGGTTCAATCCAGACGAGGAAATGAAAATGATTTTATCAAGATTGATTTTTATGACAGGGGTATTCAAGAAAAAGTTTTCTAATTTGTCGTAATCCGTTTTTAGCTGAACAAGAGTTCTAACAAGTATATACCCTTACATGCAAGATAATATTCTTATATCTAGCACTTCATATATTCGCAGCAAAATGTATTTAAGTCGAAGACTACAAAAGCCTAACCCAATCCCGATTCGTCTTTATAATCTAATAACTATATTAAATAAGGGGCGTCTAGTTGGGCGCTGTGCAAGTCCAACCCTGTGTGGACCGACCCTCTCCTCCCTCCCACTCACATGCAAACACTTGTGTAAGCCGCAGTCGCGAAAATTTCTAAAACGCAGCAAACTTTTGCTTCGCGCCGCAATTTGAATGCCCCCCCCCCCCCCCCCCCCGCTAACAGAACAGAGAGTGCCTGCGCCTCTTGGCCAGTGGGCGTGGGTGATGGGCAGATCGCAACGGACGCGCATGGCTAAACTTTGCCGTCAAGTCCCTTTTGTTTCAATTAACCTTTTCATTTGAAAGTTTTAACAATGTTTGCCCAGCTGCCGAGCACCATGCACAAATGAACCCCACGCCCCGTGGTTGGGGTCAGCCGCCACAGCACCACCTTCTGTGCGGCAAATTGTCAGCCCCACGGCGTAGAGGGCGGCAAGCGCTTAAAGGTGACCCCAAACGCATTCAAAATCCCTTCTTTATTTTTCGTGCGTGTGACTTGCTTTGCGTCTCCTGCAAAGCGGCAACAGTTTTGTCATATCTCAAATTGAAATCCGAACGCGTTGAATGCCACAAAAGCAGAATTGAAAGCCAGACGTTATATCAACAGGGCGCAAGAGACCAAACGGATTTAATGTACAGGGCATACCCTTAACTAGAACAAACACTCTGGGATAGTTTATAAAAAAACACAATACTTTAAATTGCAGCGAGTTATTTGCTTACTCTACCGATTTTAATTGAAAATTGTTTTTATAGCTACCAAAGCAAGTTATGTATACAAATTACTGTGTTTGTTCTGTGTCAGCGATATATGTGAAAAGCTCTTAAGCCCAAAATTATTTAAAATGCCTAAAAAGGGTAATAGGGAGAAGGGAAGGAAGCATCTACGACCGAAGTATACGTATCTTTGGTCAGCATTAACAGCCGAATCCATCTAGCAGGAAGGTCCTCTAGAACGTAGGTCTTCCTAATGCCCGCGCAGTTCGATAATCGATAAATGGCCTCATATCCAACAATCGTTAAGAAAGATATCGTAATCCTATTTTTTTTAGCAGAAATCTCTATGACTAGCTCTTTGGCTAGTCACCAAATTTGATATGTGGCTTCTAGAATAGAATCAAATTCATTTTCTGCTCCATTTGGTGTTGGCAAAAGAAGGTGCAGGATATCTCCTAGTCGGGCAACGACTAGGACACTTTTACCTCTTATTCAGGTATATTAAAGAAACTCGCTTTCTTTTAGAGAACTGTCCAACATTTTAGTCAACTCTCTCTGAATTGTAATTGCAAACTTTTTATAATTACCTGAGTAATTAGAAGTAATTTAATTTAATATTTAATCCCTTGCAAAGTTAACAAACTTCCGTTGATTAAACAAACTGTTGTTTAATTAGTTTAGTAATTTGTTAAAGCTTATTTTTCCTTAGTCAATAAGAAGCATAATTGTAATTGCGAGCTTGTTTGTAATTACTCAACTAATTAAACATATTCTCTTTTTTCTTTTGGCAAAATTATCAATTACATTACTTTACATGGCTGTCGAGCAACGCCCTAACAAGCGAGCTCAGACAGCGCTAGAAACTTTTAACACGGATTTGGGCAATAAAAATGCTGTTTAAAGTTTCTAGCCACTTTCGTTTGTGGCCAAAAATTCGTACAGTTAGCGCTGGTTGCCAGTAACTTTTTCATGCCCCCGCCCCTGCCCATTGTCGGCCACGACTGGCTGCTGCGGGCGCTCTGAAGTGGAAATGTTAAACAGTTGAGGGTATTTAATAAACATAATATTTATGTTTACAAATGCCCAGATCCATGCAGCTGCCCGGAGCTATACGGCAGATGAGGCGACATTCCTGAACGGGCTTTTGACTGCACAAACATGTTCAGGTCCTTTGACAGGCGCGTACAAAGGACGAAGTAAGCACACACACACACACACCCACACACACACACACGCACACAAGGGCCCAGAGAAAAGCAAACAAACAGCGGGCGAAAAAAAAAACATGACGCAAGCCAATGCAAGGAGAGAGGAGTTGTCGGAGGGGGGCAGCTGCAAGTGCACTTGCTGTCAAGGCAACGCTGTTGCCACGCCTACGTCCTCAAAGCGCTGATGCTTAAAGCTTGTTGAACTCGCCAATCCATTTGTTTTTTTTTTTTTTTTGTTGCTGTTGCTTTGCTTTTAACATATGTGCGTATCATCCTTTTTGCAATACTATGCTCTGTCTCTCTCTATATTCCACTCTCTGCATCTATCTATCTCGCTCTCTGTCTCTCTCTGTCCCTTTCTTCCACTTGCAATGTGTGCTTTTTCACTTTATCATTGTCTAGGCAGTGTTTTCCACTTGCCAGCATGCCAAGCACATTCCAATTGCATCCGTTATGCATGTGTCTGTGTGCTTGTGTGTGTGTGTACGTGTGGATAGGTATGCGCATATGTACATAGCATTGTTTGTTTGCACCGTGTGCTTTTGGCTCCTGCTGTGCTGCCTTTCGCGAGGTTTGCTTTACTTTTCTCGGCCTCGCCTGCACTTATCGCACGTATCTACACTATTTTCAACTGTTCTTCGCTACCCACCGCCCCCACCCCTTGTCACGCCCTACTTTCCCTCGAGCTTGACGTCGTTTTTGCAATCGAGCAAAATATGCAGTTCTCACAATTCTTTTGCTTTAGCATACTTTAGTGCGCAGCAAAGGCTCGGCTACCGCTGGGAACGTTTGCCGTTGCCCATTTTGCCAGGGTTGTCATGGCATTGAAAATGGAATGCACACTTTAATTAGCAAGATTTATATAGGGTTCTTTTTTTGCCTGTTTCAGTCTATACCAACGTTGGTATGTTGAAATGTACTATTTTATATGCTTGGCATTTTAATTTTGTCATGAGATGTTTAAGGCATGGAGAAAGACTTTTCCGACCCCATAAAGTATATATATATATTTATATATTTCACTGCGTTCTAGTTCTTCAACATTAGCTATATTTTTAATTTATATATTTTAAGACTGAAAGTTAACAGCAAATGCTGTTAACACATGCAAAAATCTTTACAATTGACTAATTTGGATTATTTTAAGCTCCTTGATTTTCTGTTGAAGCTATTTCCAGTTAAGTCTATCAAGGACTCTGTACTTGCCTTATTATGCATCAAAGGCAATATCTGTTTAAAGTACAAGGCTTGATATTTAATTATATACTGTGGCACTGTGCCAACCCTATTCAGTCAAGCACTAAGCTTAAATATAGTGTCGTTTGTCCTGCCCTGCTTTTTGTTGTTATTGCTTAACGTTGATTAAAGTTGGTCTACAGTTTTTTTTAGCTGTCAGCCCGCGCACTCACCTTTGTTGGCCAGTTCAAGAGTTGTTGCCGTTGTTGCAGTTGCTGACGTTGTCGTTGTTGTGGCTGTTGTTGTTGCTGCTGTTGTTGAAGCTGCTGTTGCTGTTGTCATCAGCGCAGTAAATGCATCGCCAACAGTGACAGCAGCTGTTGATGTTGCAGTTGCTGCTGCTGCTGCTGCTGCTGCTGCTGCTGTCACCGACATTGTTGCCATCATTAAATCCTTGACGGGCTGCGGATTGTGCACCTTCTCCGATTCGAGCAAATGCCGTTGATGCGAGCAGAGCGACGTGGTTGTCGCATTTACGGTCTCCTGGCCGCTACCTGGCGACACCTTTAATGGCATGTTGGGCACCTGCAATTAACATAATGCAACAAATTGCCACATTAGCAATTAGAATTCAACAGCTCTGCGATAATGGATTGTGGCGCCGTCGACAACGCATTTGCGATTCATGCTGTCAATTTGAAATCGAAATTTTAATCACACACACAGGCACAACCACACACAGCTGGGATACACATAGACCTGGGTGCTGTTATTAATTTACATATAAAACGTGAGTCGCATTGGCAAAAACTCAACAAACGCCCCATCGAAGTTTGCCGTCCAATACGACGCTTTTTATACCCTAGAGTTATATAATAGACGGGTGTTTTTAGTTTCCTAAATCGTTTAATTTTCTCTGAAAAGTTTATTTATACTATTGATCAATCAGAATTATACCCTTTACTCTTAACAGCATGTCAGGTGCAGTCTTTTGGGATTGACAAATATATAAAGACAGAAAAACATATCCTGGTTCGGACTTAAGCTTTAAATGCTACAGAATGTACACATCTATAAACATATATAGATCACTTTTTCTTAACGTTTCCAAAGAATAAATATAGGGTATTGCTAAGTCGTTAGCCCAACTAAATGTTATTTAGTTGTTTGTTTTGCTTAGGTAACCTTCAGCACATAAACTGCAGTATAAACAAATACACAAACAAACCAACACACACACACAAAGACACACACACACACACACACACACACACACGCAAGGCAGCTCGGAGCAAGCGTCCAATTAGCATTTTTGTAAGTAGATACCTGAGACAGACCCAATCGAGTATACCGAACACATGTAATCCAATCAGATGCTGCAAATTGCGCTTATTGAGTACATCAAAAGATTTGATGGCGCCATAGCAACGCCTCTGCCCCGACCCCAAGCCGACTACAGGTGCATAAGGCTAGGAATTTATGCAAATGAGTCATTTGGGGGCATCGATTTGCACGCCTCGAAGCATGACTGCGACCCTTTTTTGGGTCTGGCCGCGCCTTTTGTGTCATTTCAATCAGTGGACGGCAATTGCTACATTGGCCGCTTAAGCGCTGGAAACGAGTCTCTACCAATTTGGTCAACAATTTGCGCAAAAGCACTCGCAACGAATAAACGAGCGAACTCAAGTGAAAATTCCATGGTCCAAACTTGGATAAAAAAAAAATACATAAAAACGTTTAGCTAGAAACAGCGACAAACAAGTCAGATTATTCCAGCCGGATGCAATCGACTGCATCAATACTCGCTCACGGTCTAAAAACAGATCGGAACAGAAGAACTTTTTGGTCTTTAGAGAAGCGCCCAATGCGAGTAAAAATATAATCTAATTCTAATCTATCTTACACGAATATATATTCCAAGTAACAATTCTCTAAATTCAATTGCTTTTAAGGGACAATCGGACGAGATTGCACGGACGCAGTTTGCACAAAACTAATATACTCATTTCACTTTGTGAACCAATGTGCTCTTGCCTTAAAAGTCCGATTGTAACTGCATAACAACTACAAATGATGTGAACAAAAGCTGTACAAGAAATCAGAAATCCATTAAACTTTCAGCAATGCCCTCTCTTACAACTCACTCAAGTGTGTGCCACAAATTCATAGCCAACTAAAGAGCTACAAATACATTTATCTATCTCGAGGCGGCACACATTGAAGTTTATTAATTTGACACGCCCAAGCCAGATAGGCATTATACAAATTCTCTTGGGCGTTTCCAATCTCTGGTCCCAAATATTCAATTCCCAGTTGATGACTTCACCCAGAACGACACTCAACCCAGACGGTTGTTGTTGTTCTTGTCTTTGCTCTGTATTTTCATATTTCAGTTGCTGCTGTGGCTTTTCATATTGCCGTTGTTGTGGCTGCTATTGCCACTTAGTCAGAAGGCAGTCGGCCTGCCTTGCAAAGGCTGCCACAAAAAGCAAATATAATTTCAGCATTTCAAACGCAATAAAACCTACCTCCCGCAACCCCTGGCGTCGCCTAGACAATGAATGAGCTTTCGAGTTGCTGCACAAACCTCAGAGCCGACTCTTCCTTCAAACTCAACCTCGCCTCGAAAATATGTGGCAAATTTTGCATTTGCAACAGGGTCCTCGTTTTGGGAGTCCAACTGTCAGCTTTGTAAATAATATGACATGCGAAATGCAACACAGACAGAATCCTCTCACATAGCAGCCGAGTCCTGGTCCCATGCCCAAGCTGGACTGGGAAATTAAATGCGAGCCATTGTGAAATTTTCAAAATATTATAACATATATGCACAATAATTTAAATGTCATTAAATGGAAAAATCATTTATTGGCAAAAGCCATGCATGTTGCGGCAAAAACAACAACAACAAGCTGAAAGTCTGCATTATGGTTAACCATATCATTCAATCATTCAATATCTATTATTGTGTTCTGCTGAAGAGCATGAACTATCAAAGGACATAAGCCAACTATCAAAATATCGAGATAAAAATTGCAAATAAATTTGGGATTAAAGCCAAAATCGATATGACATTCCGCATTCATTCCCAAATATGAGTAAAATCTAGAGGTACGATCGGGATTATATCCATAATGAAAATCAATTGTTAAAGAAGGCGCTTTTTATTGCAGTCCACATTTTTGTGATTTCTCCTGAAAAATCCAAATGAATTGAGAATCATTTAGATAAGATAAAATATTCTATATAACAATAAATTGCTTCAATTATTTAATATATCATTTTTTTGCAATAGCAAAATATTATTTTGCGGTAAGAATTTAAGTAGCAGCAGAATCCTTTGGATTATATAATTTCTCAATATAATCAAATACAAATTGAAGGAAAGGCTAGTTCAGATTTGCAATGAATATCGAAATATGTGTAATGTTCATTATGCCTTGTTTAACAAATGCCCTGGATACAGGGTATAGCGACGGGGAGTGTAATTAATTAATACATGCATAATTATACATTATCCTTATGTATAGTCTTGTTTATTGTACAAATACATAAAAAGTTATGTGTGTTTACAGATGGCATGTTCAAAATGCATTTTGCATATATTTGACATATTAACTGTCGCTGTTTTTGACAGAAACGAGTGGAAGGGAGAAGAGCGGGGCCAGGCAGCCAGGAGACAGGGGACACGCCTATGTGAAACACGCAATAAAATGCCAAACGACAGAGGCAAAAATACCAACAAAACATTGCACTTTTGCATGCATAATTGCGACGAAATTAAAGCAAAATGCGCAGACAGCGGGGGGTTTGGAAAAAAAGAGTGAGACCTGAACGGTCGCTATAATGGTGGTGGCAAGCGTTGGGCAGGTGTGAAGCTTGTGCACAGGTGCATGGCCGGTGTTGGATTTCATTAACATCATAATGACCGTCGAGCGCTCGACGCCAGACGCCAGACGTCCGACAGCGTTAATCCTGGCCGTTGCACAACAATGAGTTGGTCGCATGTACACTGACGCTTTCTTCGTTGCAGCATAAACTCGCCACTCCCTACCGCCCTCTCGCACCCTCCAGTCAAGCACACACCAGCCATTTTTCTTTAGTTGCAGCTGACGCTTTTACTCTTACTCTGGCGCATTTGAGCGCACTCGCGACAGGAACTTGTGGCACTGCCGGATGTGAGTAATCGCTCAGTCACGTCGACAACGTGGCCAACGTTGCGTTGCTGCGTTGCCGTTATCCTGCAGGACATTGCTGTGCTCCAAGATTTCCGTGCCGCACTGGACACTATGCCATGCATGACGTAACCCGCAACGGAAATCGCTCTGCTCGCATGCAATGTCCTGCCTAATGGACGCCAAAGTGTAGAAGTCGCAGCAGCGGCAGATGGAGGCATGTTGCAAGCTTGGAATTTTCCAATCAAAACAGCAGATTTAAGTAAATTCTTGTATCCAGAACCTTTGCTTTGTCTTTACTTTCTACAATATTTGCCTTTGACCTGCTGTGTCCGTATTATTTTCCACCTTTCTGCAGTATTCATTCAACCAAACTGTTTTCATTTGCTATGTCTTGCCTCGAAGTCAACGGAAAGCGGATGGGTTACTGCAGTTTAAGCCCATCTGTGGCAACATATACATCATGGCGTACTGCATCACGTCTGTCGGGGCACAGCTCATTTGACTCCACGCCCTTTCCCGCGTAATGCCACGCTGTCTGCTCTCGGCGCGTACAACATTTAATTTGGACTAATGAAGTTTCTATAAAAACCCGCGTAAGTGACTGGCAAGGAAAAGGCGATGCGGCAACCGTGGCAAACGATGCAAAGCAAACCAAGCTGAACAGCAGTAAAAACGATTCCAGCTCGAACCTCAGCCAGAAATTCAATTTTGGCCAAAAGTGAACCTGAAATTTGCGCGGCAATTGCTCTTCCTGCTTGCAATTGGAGTGACGTGCAAATTGTACAGAAATGGGAAAAAACAGCAGCAAGCAATGCGTTAAAATTGCAAAGTCTCATCACACCCAGAGATACCCTCGAAATAATAGATTTGTAGTGCATGCTTGATCAAGCACTAGATACGATGTGTACTCAGCATTTGTAGTTGCTGCCATAAAGAGGATATTTCTGTAACTATCTGCTACCAATCATTAACTAAACAGCATACCCTATTGGGTGCTTTGTGCTGGGTATGCGAGGCACAACTGACACATCGCCTCGGCCCACCTGCCGTCGCTGGCCCAGCGTTAATTGTTTTAGTTGTTGTTCCATGAATATGCTAAATTGTCTGCTGCGTTTTGCGTCAACCCGTTGTTGCACGTTCCGCCCCGGCAATCTCTCACCATGCTGTTCGTTCAGCAAATGTTTATAAATGCAAATTGGCCGAAAAGTGCACCAGCAGCAGCAGGAGGAACGACACCGACAGCGTCACTTTCTGAACGTGCTTGGTTAAATTTTGTGTAGTAGGGCGTGCGGGCGGACGGGCAGCATGGTTAAATGACTAAAGCGCTTCACTGGGATTGACTGTAGCTCACTTTCGGTTTCGGACAGGCACTGGCCAGACAAGTGCCACCAACTTGGCCCTGACATCTCCAATCGTGGGGCTGATGTGGGGCAACGGGCAGCCTTCACGCTCAAGAAAGACAACCAGCTGAGCCGTTGGAAAACAAACTTGGCTTGGGCGCAGGGCCATTTAAATAGCATCATTTTGACTTTTGTGGCTTGAGTGTGAGTGTGTGTTTGTTTGTGTATGTATGTATCTGGGTGTGTGTGTGTGTCGTAAGCGAAGCAGCAACAACAACAACAATCCCCATTGCGTTTTAATTTTTGGTTTTATTTTTATTGAGAGCTGTAAATTTTGAGCTGCCGTCGACGTTCGACGCTGACCTTCTCAAGTTTGTTTGCTTATTGTTTCAGTTGTTATTGTTGTTGTTGCTGTTGTCCGTTTGCATTGAGCTTGCGTCAAGCTGACGCACTGACTGACAGACTTACAGACAGCTAAAGCGATCTGAGGCCGGGGCCAAAGTTTTATTTGTTTGTTCAACTTGCTTTACACACATTGCGTTCAACGTGCTCAAAATAGAACCCAGTGGAATACTTAAGGTATATATAGATATATATATATATATATATTTATATATAAATATACATATATACATGCTTAGGTACACTTAAAGTCAGCTGGGGCAAAATCAATTGCAATTGTTTCGCACTTATCGGCAAGGCGCAGCATTTCGTTTTTCGTGTGCACTTTGCGTTACGATTGGAAATTTCAATTGCAAATGATTGTTTAATTAGCGTCAATTGCAGTTCAGCTATGTGAGTATTAACTGTATGCATGTGTGTGGGAGATACAGAACACGTTCAAAGGGTAATAAAAATGTTGAGTTGATCGAATCAGGAACTTATGTATGTGTGTTTATTTCAGCTGAATATCTAACGAATTAAGTATACGCAATGAATATTGCGCATACGACATGTTGAACAGCAATCATTTATACGCAAACAGTAATCAAACAGAAACACATCTGGGTGTGTTTGTGTAAGCAATTGCGCAAACCAAAGCAATGCCCATTAAATAGAGCAATATATATTATAAGGTCAAAAATATATACGTGTGCATATCTCAAACATATTACTGTATATATGTTTCAGTTCTTTTATACTTAACGCCAACCAAGCATACTTTCCGTTAATCGGAAAATAAAAAACGGGTTTTTTTTTTTGTTTCAATGTTGGCCTTCTAGGCGATTCTCATAAATTCAACTAAGAGAGATTGATTATAAGCGTTGGCAATGTAATAAACATAATGTATATTCTATGTTCATTGTTACCCTCCAGTTTTTTGCTTCTTATGTTTAAATTTACAAATATTTCTTAACATCAAAACTGACCTATTTGTGATGCCAAGCCAATTATTACAACTTTCCGTTACTTTATGATAACCTCTTAAGTCTATAATACAACTATGTACTAGTTTAAGTAGGTTTAACTCAGCCTAACTTTCAGTTTTGATAAAACTTTGGCTAAGCAGCAAAACTGCTGAGCTTAACTTTTAGTTTTGATTCAACTTTGACTAAGCCGTAATTTGTAGGTATAACCAAATAAATATTTGCTAAAGTACTTTCCCATAGCAGTTAACTAAGTCACTCAACTTCAGTCACATAAATCTAAAGAGATCTGAAAAAATAACATATATTATAATTTGCAGCACAAACTCCGCAACGTGACAGCAAGCTGGCGTTATACGATATGTTGTTATGGAACATGTCTAATGCGCCGTAAAGCTGGCGGCCCGTGAGTGTGACACTCGAGTGGCAACTTTCACCCAACACGCAAGAAACAATCCCTAACCTACCACACCTCGTTGCAAGAGACACAAAGGCAACTTAAGCGACAGCAAAATGGCAATAATCAAAACAAAAAAGCGAACAAACCAATAAACAAGCGTAGACTTCATTATGAAGCCACATCAATCATTGCCAAAACGCGATACCCAAGCGCCTAGAGGGACGAGCGGGTAGGGCTGAACGTCCAGACATTAGGTGAATGTGCTGCCAAGAGACGTCGACAAGAGCTGCAGAAAAAAGCACAGTTGCCATTTTGCCACAACGATGTGCAGATACACAGACATAACTAGGGAGAGAGAATGACAAAGGGAAGTGGCAAGCGAGAGGCAGTAAGAGAGTGGGGGAAAGGGGGAGAGAGATCTGCAGCTGGAGCCAAGACAGTCAACGACTTTGTGGTCAGCCTGGTGTGGCAAGGGGCGAGTGGCGGCCGGAGGGCTTCTTCGGTGGCACAATAAAGTGTTTAGTAAACAAATTGCGGCTGCCTTTTGATAATATGCACGCAGTCAGCTGAGCAGCTGCAGCGCAGCCTGCAAGTCACACAAGAGGGGCGAAGTTAGTGCGGGGAGTGGCAATGGGGATAAGTTATAAGTGCATTGCACCGAAAAATCGATTGACGAAAACCACAAAGAAGACAAGAGCGGCACGGGGGGCAGAGATGTGGAGATGTGTGGTTTAGAAAGGTTTAGGTAATACTTGTGTGTGTGTGTGCGTGTGTGTGTGTGTGTGTGGGCGATGCAAAAGGACATTGATTGTGTGCGGGCGGACAGAAGTGCGAACAGACGGACGGGCGTTGGCGCCGACGTCACGCAAAAACCAAAGAGAAAACCATAAACTTAAATTAATGACCTCAGTCGAGGCGCAGCTGAATGGCAAGGACCGGGACTGGGTGCAAGCAAAACGAAAAGTCAATAAGAGCAAGAGGCAGAGCAGACCAGAGCAGAGCAAGAGCCAGAGCCAGAGCCAGAGCCAGAAGATGATGAAGACAAAGAAATTGTGGAAAAAGCGGAGCGCCTGCACATAGTGTTATTGTACTTTGTATGTGATTTACCGTTGCAGTTGCGCTGCTCCAATTGGAAATGTATCTTATTGCTGGCGATTTCACTGCGATTCTCAATATACACACATACATACACACACACACACACACACACATCAAGATGAAAATGCTTGTCAATCCGGAGCAAGACGGGCGGCGGCAGATGGTCGCCCGTTTTGAGCGATCAAAGCTGGCTAAATGATTATGCAGTCGACGTCGACGTTGACGTCGACATAGCCGATTTGTTGTCAAACTGGTTTTACAAATATTTTGCGTTCATCTGTTGCCCAAGCGATGGGGTATGTGTGTGTGTGTGTGTGTGTGTGTGTATCTGTGTGTATATATAAAGCCATGCGGCAGTTACATGGCTGCAACGCTTAGTGAAAGTCGCTTGAATGCCGTTTTCTGTGTGCCCAGGCCGCTGCCCCTACCACTGCCTCTGCCTAGAGCTCATTGCTAGTTAGCTCAATGCGCATTCAATTAGGTTTAGCTCAGGCTTTAGACTTTGACTGCCAGCTAACCCAGCTGGTATTTACAGACAATTATGAGACAAACTAGTTGGATTTACTGCTGACTTACCTGGGCATTAAAATCGAAAAAGTACTCCGGCCTCAGCGGACACGGCAGGCCGCATTTGCAGGTACCCTGTGTTAGCAAATAGTCCTTGATTTGGAATTGTGTGCGCAGCGTTTTACCCGTTGGACTGCAATAAAAATAGTAACCATGCATAAGTAGTGAAGGTGGTGTGCTTGGAAATTATGTTATTCATTATTTATTAGTTAATGGCACAATTTGTTGTATGTAAATGCCAATTACAAAGTCGTCAGCAATAGCTTAACTGTGGCCGCAACTAACCCGTCCCAGTGCAGGCAATTAACCCCAGCCATGCCAACAGTTAACAGAGTGCAAAGGCTGCACGAGCAACACGCGGCTGTTTAACTAACAGCTCATTAACATAAATGGGCAAGTGACGCGCCCGTTCGCATTAACATGACAATGTTAAACGATAGTTGGCAACTCGCGCATATTCTTACATGTCTGCATGTGTCTGCATGTATGTGAGCACATACATAAATTAATACCAATCAGAATTGTTCGCTGTTCGTTTTGATCGCATGTCAAATAAGTGCGCACCGCTCAGCGCATAATTCAAACTGGTTTTTATTATATATTTACGCGCAGTTTTCGCTCTCCACGTGAGTTTCTCACCGAGCCGAACACTCGTGGAATTGAGTCGCGTGATTTGACGATCCGGCTCAGAAGTGGGCATACAAATCATTTGATGCGCTTATTAAAGTACATTTGTCTTCGCTCTATCATTGAGCTACGGAACTCGAATCTCAAATAATGTTATAGTTTTCCCAACTGGTTCAGCAGATCTTTTGTTATGCGATTTCGGAAATCTAGTTCTACCCGCTTTGCAACAATTGCTAGCTGCCTTTTAGGGTATTCGGTATTCCTGCCCGAGCGAAAACCACATTCGTAATCCGTTTTGTGCTTATTTCATATTTACAACAATGAAATTTATAAAAAAGGAAAGATTTAAATTTGAACAGCATTAAAATATGCGCAGAACCAAAAAGCGAATCCAGTGAATCCAGTTTATTTTTTTTCTTCCTTTTTTTGACTCAACTCTGTCCAGCCCCTGCCCCTGGAGCAGGGGCCACGCATGACCGCAAATGCTGAAAAGTTCTGCTCGCTTTATATTTTGCGCATAAAAATCATTGGGGTTAAAAAACATGGCAAAAAAAAAAAAACAAAAAAAAAAAACAAAGTAGAAAAAAAAGTGGAAAAAACGACGCTGGCTGCTTATTAATTATAAAGTGTGAGCATGTTGATGGAATCAAGGGCGCTGCCAATGATGACGACGTCGAGCCGCACTTGAGCCCAGCGAGGCATCTGAGCCAAAAAATAAAAATGAATGTTGTATGGCAAAAGCTGCGACTGAGTGAGGGGTAGAACCTTGCGACTGCTCTTCAACTCGTGTGTGAAATCTGAATAATGCATAAAGTGTAAAAGCGGCAGGGGCACTAAACGGAACCGAACGCAACGCAACTAAAGGATGGCAACAACAGCAGCAACAACTCTGCACAGAGACGACAATCTACATAATTGAGCGGCAACAACAGCAACAAGCGTGTTGCAAGTTAAACGAGTATGCGAGAATTGTCAATTGAGTAGCCCGGCAGCAGCACTGGATGAGTTTTGGACTGGGACTGGGACTGGGCCGGATCGTAGCCCATGGTCAACGCCGCCGCATTGGTTCTCATCAATGGGCCTCACAGAAGAAGGGAAAAAAGGGTCGACTTAAAACTGGTTTGGTTTATTAATTATTTTTAGCTAGTTGCTTGGCTGTAAGCTAAAATCGATGGCAAGTCAATTGGCAGACTCTGCGAGAAGTAGTAGCGGGGGGTTGGTTGGGCTGGGGGGTATTGGCAATAAGCATCATCAACGCCAAAGCTTATAGCTCAATTTGTATGCAGCTGGCGTGGCCCACGGCTGGCTTAAGGGCCCACAATTACGACCAGAATGCTAGCGGTAGTCTTTTCCAGCTTGGAGCTTCGTTTGACTCATTAAATTTTGTATTCACACAAAATGCGCTAATAACATGATGGAGCACCAAAGCTGAAGTCTTATCCATCGGAAAGGCGTTGGACTAACGAGTTAAAATAATTTAATAAATGACACGCACAAAGCGCGTCAAGTGGCCAAAGTGGCCGGTTGAATGCGCCCCAAAGCACGCCGTGACGCGACTCTGTCTGAGAAGGTGGAAAAGTGTGTACGCCTCTGTGACCTTGAAGTGCACCCTCGAGCCAGCCCAGAATGCGGCGCGGCTACCAAGACACCAGAGCGGAGGGGCATGCGCGGACTGGGCCTATTGCTAAATTAATAAACCCGACCAGCGATAGCACAGGCAACGCCAAGCGGGCCGAAACTGTTCAAATATTCTGCCACAATTGCGAAAGGAGCGGAGGTCAGGTGACAGCAGAAGCCTGATTGTTGTTGTTGCAACGTTAAATGTAAGGACTCAAGTGTTTAATCAGCGATTGTAACTATGTAAATTAAATTGCTTTGATTAAATTTTGTTATTGTGGAATCCTTTCAATGCTAGGTGATATGGCTAAGGGCCTACGATTAACATAAGTTACACTGTTATTAACATGAATTCCTACAGATGTTAAGTTAACATGAGTTATATTCCTTATAGATTTTTCAATCAAATTTGATAGCAAAAGCTATTTTTAGCAAACTCATAATAGTGTTGATTTAAACTAACTATTGACATTAACAGTTAAGTAAAGCCATAAACAATTTCGCAGATCAATAAACATTTTGATGCCCAAAATCGAACTGAGAAAAACCGATAAAAATGTTTATCTAATTTTTTTCTCCAATATTTATTCCCACGAATCGATCAGCGACAAATTTGTGTGGTGGGCGTTGCCAAAATCAACAGAAAATATGCAACTGACGGAAAAGTGCACATTGCACAGGTCGGACGTCTGCAGCCAAACACTGCAGGCGGTAGACATAGACATAGACAAAGACGTCGACGACAACGGCGGACCGCCGACTGCTTATGCAACCTACGCGCTGTGTGAGTTGAAGCGGACGCACACAAACGCAAACACAAAGCTGATGGACAGACCTCATGGCAGCGACGGGGATTGGGCCTGCCGCACCGTAAAGAAAATTAAAAATTGTCCGACTACGTCTGTCTGTCCGTCTGTCTGTCAGTGTGACTTTGGCAAACTATTCCGCATTCTTGTTGCAGCCAGATGAACGGCTGGCGGCCTTGCGGGGCGCTTGGGTCGCCTCCATTCCAGCTGCCGGTTCTAATTTATGATTTATGTGTGTCCGTGTGTCGTTTTGGCTTTTTGACGCGGCACAGTAGGCGGGCCCTCGCTTTGACCTGGAAGTGTGCATGTGTCACAATTCTCTCTCTCTCTACATATATATATATGTGTGTGTGTGTGTCGTGTCCTTCTGTGACGTCACGGCGCGCAGTCAACGACTTGAAAAGGCTTGCGCAACAATTATTGATTTAGCTAAACCATCTGCCCTACTTGCCGATCCTTGAGCACAATCGCCGCTTTATGCACACAGACGACGCAGAAATGATTGCAACATTCTTTCTTTCCGAGAAAATAGCCTTGGAGAAGCGCGTCAATGCACGCGGCGGGGCAGCCAAACAAAAAGATTGTATTCATTTTGCCATTAACCCAACCCCCGTGGCACAAACTTGTATTCAGCAAATGCTGCTTATCTGTTCCGTTCTGTTCAAATGAACGAAAGCTTGCAAGAATTTGCAAGGGCAACAGCAAAAAGAGAAAACAATACAAAACAACAAAACTTTCAGCAACTAGCAACAGCAACACGCAACGCGACAGTGTGGCAGCCGCAGCTGCTGTGAACAATGACAAACGCTGGACACGCAACAAAGCTTGACCAGGCCAATTGAAATGTCCCGAATGGGCACTGGCCAGGAACAGATAATATAATTATGTTTTTATTGCGGCACTTAAAATGGTTGCAGTTGCAGCATGCAAACCTATTCTATGAATGGCTAATACCAATTATCAAATGTTGGCCAACCGATTGGGATGTTGTTTAGGTTTTATATGTGTGGAAACAAGGCTGGAAACCGAGCTTTAAACCAAACAAACTGCAAACATTCTCAAGAATCAATATTTGTAAACCGATTTTACTACATTGAAGTTGAGGAAGATTGTTGCTGTCAGAAACATTTAGTTATTAGGCTTTATCCCATAACATTAATTGGTCTAAAGTCCGGTTCTGTGGATATTATCAATCTATCATAATCCTACAAGGATTCTGGACTCGGCACTTCGAAGACAAACGCGTTTTCTTGTTCAAAATAGTTAGGCATATTTCAAAAGGCAGCTATTGATTAAATCTGTTTCAGTCCCACCCAGCATATACATATATAAATATGTTGTATATGTTCTGCACAATCTTGAGGATTTTCTAAGAAGGCGAACATCTTTTTTCATCGTTTCCTGTGCTTGAACAAGCCAATCGCAAATGCAATGCCTCGGGCATTCCAAGGCTATGACAGCCGGATCAAGCTCTCCACTTCAGGCATTTATAGAATCAACGATTATCCAACTCTGATGACAACAACGACAGGCAGGGAGGCCGGCCACAAAGTCGTAAACTATTTGCACAGTGCCAAAGACTGCCCCCCCAGTACACGCGTCCCTGCACCCAGCTCTCTGTTGCCCTGCCAGACGTTTCTTGGGCAGCCGCTCGACAGCGGCAGCGACAGCGACAGCAGAACAATTAAAAGTACTTGGGCAATGGGGCACATACAGACGGGGGCTTGTTTTCGACATATTTGTGTAAATATTGTATTTGTGTTTGTAATTATGTCGGCTTGATGATAACTCGCAGATAATGCTCAGGTAAATATGCGCTGTGTACACAGCGCAGCCAAGAGAACAGGCCAATAATGCCAGCCACTCGACTTTAAATACCCTGCAATCCATGCAAATGCGGGTTAGTATCGCTTGCTATACGAAATACCGCATTAAACAAGTAAATAACTAAAGGTTAGATTAGTCAATTTAGCCCTGTTTACACTGGGAAATGCCTCGTTTTTTCGGTGAAGTCGATAAATAAAAAATCGATTAGATAAAAGCTATCGATAAACGGTAATCGATAACTGTTTAGCATATCTGGGTAAGCCTATTTTGCATGCCTTTAAGCCGATTAATATCAATTTGTAGCCCAAATGATCTGGTGGAAACGAACTATCGACAGTTTACGGCCGGGTATCTCCTAGTCGGGCAACTAACGAGTTCTTGCTTGTTGCATGTTGTTGCTACAGTCCAGCTGGGGGTGGGATACAAATGTGAGTGAATCTGACAAAACATTTGTACTGCAACGTGACTGCTACCAAAATCAAGCAACTCAAATAGCCACCCACTCGTGAGCTGCCCATCTGCCGAGCTACCCCTTTAACAAGCATTTTCTGTTTGGCAAGAAAACATTTTTATGGCTTCCAATATGTACTGCCAGACAATACACAGATTGACTTTTAGCTGGGGTATGTTGTAAATGTCATGTAAGAGACAAAGACAGTGACGGAGATTTAGTGCGAGAGAGTGAGCGGGAGGGTAAGAGACAGCGACTCACCTGATGTAGGCCACTTCATTGTTGTTGGTTAGTCGACGCCAGCCTGGAGCCAAATTTGCGCTGTTGTTGCTATTGTTAATGCTGCTGTTGATGTTGTTATTGTTGCTGCTGTTGCTGTTGTTGTTGTTGCTGCTGTTGTTGCTGCTGTTGTTGCTTGCATTATTGTTGGCATTGTTGGCTTTAGCCACATTCTTTGCAAAGAGCTGCTGTTGCTGATGTTGATTGTTCTGACTCATTTGACGCGATGCAATTGTTGCCGGCATACAGTGCGTGGCAGCAACAGTTGCTGCTGCGGCTGCTGCTGACTTTAAAGGCAACTTTATTTGTGCAGCACGCTGTTTGGTTTGCTGTTGTTGGTGTTGTTGCTGCTGCTGTTGCTGCAGCGGCGAGCCAATGGCTGGACAGACAAAAATGTGTTGACTGTGGCGCTGTTGCTGTTGTTGTTGATTTTGTTGTTGTTGTTGTTGCTGCTGCTGCTGTTGCTGCCCGGCAACATTTGTGGCTTGCATCATGTTGGCGCTACCATTTACCAAACCAGCTGGTAAGATTTGATGTTGCTGCTGCTGCTGATGCTGCTGCTGTTGTTGTTGTTGCATTGCGGCATTTGTAACGACCCGCGATACAAATTTCGTTTGCTGCTGATAGAATTGTTGCTGCTGTTGCTGCAACATTTGATGGTGATGCTGCTGCTGCTGTTGCTGCTGTTGCTGCTGCTGCTTGTACATGTTGAGCTGCTGTTGTTGATGCTGTTGCAACTCGTTCACCTGCAGCACCCCAGCAACCGATTCCGCATTGCCAACAATATTCAATTTGTGCTGCTGCTGTTGCTGTTGCTGCTGCTGCAGCTGTTGGCCAGCGGATGCGGCAGCCATGTTAATAACAGCAGCCGTTTAAAAGCGCTTGATTTGTGGGCTGCAAATTGAAAGCAATGTTTACTGGATTCAAAAGTGAGAGCGACGCGAATAACACACACACACACACACACACACGTACACACACAAACACGTTCATAAGCACATAAACATATATGTTAAATTTTTTCCTCTTTCCATAGGCTGAGTCACAACCTAGTACACATGGGATTTCCACAAAACAGTGCATCATAACCAAAATCTCAGGCAAGAGTGCTCCAGCAAAGTTTATCCGACCAGAAGATAGCCTGTACTCAGCTTCGGGTAGGGAATCAAAAAGTAAAATTGATTTGGGCTTGCTTTAAGCAGAAATGAAACTTTGTATCTCTTGGAAATAGAGGTACCCAATATTAAATGAATATAGCTATTTATAAAAGTAAGTATCGCTTAAATAAAGAGGCTTAGCTTATCTCAGTGAGCACGACAAACGGACATGAATAAACCGACTCTTTTTACAGTTATTAAGGAATGAATTCCAATATATTTTTCTGCCAGTTACATATCTCTGTACAGAATCATTACACCCGCTTTTGTTACCCTGTGTGTACAGGGTACAATTACAAATTTTCGAGGGAAAAAAAATAATTGTGCATTTTCTTTGTTTTTCTTCATATCAATACGTTGTGTGCGTGGCGCTTGGACATGTTCGTATGTATGTGTGCAATTTGAATTGCGTAGCGTGTAAATATACATGTGTGTGTGTGTGTGTGTGTGTGTGCATGAATTGGCCATTAACATACACACACACTCATACATGTTCTCACTTATACAACTGCACAAATTGTCAAGCCTTTGTTTTTTGTTTTACTATCTTTTGCGGTTGCTGCTCACCTTTTAACGTAATTTTCGGTTTGCTCATTTGCCAACATATTCAATTAATTTGAGATATTGTGTAAACGAGACGCGAGCATGTCATATTGCTGCTGCTGTCGCTGCTGCTGCTGCCGCTGCTGCCGTCTCTGCCGCAGCCGCTGCTGCTGCTGCTGCTGTTGTTGTCGCGCGTTTTTAAGCACTTAATTTCACTTTTTTTTTTTATTTTACAGCTTTTCTTGTTGTAATAATGCGACAACGACTTTTGTCTTGTTGTTTAGCTGCTGCCTTCGTTGTTGCTGTTGGTTTTCATACAATCTGCTGCTCATGACTTCATTTGGAATTCAGAAAACGAACGTCGCTCGCTGCCAGAAACAGAAACAGAAACAGAGAGCGAAGAGCGCGCAACGCGTAAAAGTAGGTGAATGGAGCATGAAGCAGCCGCCGACGTCGCAGTCGCCAGTAGACAACAACAACAACAACAACAACAACAACAACTAGCTAGAGAGTAAACTGGAGTGATAGGTGAGGAGGGATCGGTGTGGGGGGACAAAGACGGAATGAGCGACGCTCAACGCAACCCAACGAAACGTTTTGTTTTATGAAAAAGAAAAAAAAAATATTCTGCCTAAATACTTATTATGCGCGTAAAGCAGAACAATTTGCCAGACGCGACTCGTGTTGTTGCTGTTGCTGTTGTTGTCACTTTTTAATAGCATGCATGTGTGTGTGCGTGTACATACATATGTTTGTGTACACACACAAATTCCTGCATAGCAATGTTGTGCATGTGTATGTAAATTCACGTATGTAGATAATTAATGCGTGCGTCCGTCTGTCTGTCCGCTCATGTGTGGACACCACCTGCCCTCGGGTTCTGCTCTAATGATCATAATAAGAATATATCCAAGGGAAACAAGCATACACACACATGCACACACATACAATTGTAATACGTCGGAGTGACCTCAAATGCTTATCTGCATTTCACATGCGCTTTTTTGGCAGCTGCTGCACTTACTACACACACACACACACACGCATTCATACACAAATGCAACAAACTATTTGTATATACATATTGAGCTGCCAGCTTGGGGCATTTGAAAATTGTTTTGACTAAACGTTGATTTAACTTTATTATGCACAAACAGCAATTAAATGTGAATTAATTACAACGAATTCATTCGTTAGCTTTATACACGCAACATTGACAACCGAACGAACGACGATTCGACACTCGACTCTCGTACGCGCACACGAATTATTTTACTCAATAACTATGGATTTTTCTTCATTTTGTTTTGTTCACCTTGAAGGGCCAAGTGCTTTAATATCAAAGCATACGCTTTGAATTTCACAGCCACTTACGAATCGAGATTATGCTAATTATTTCACTTTTGCGTGTGCGCGCATTTGTTTTTGGAATTTTTCGACTGCCCAAAATTCCATTCACTAGTAGAAACTAGAGATGTTAGAAGCATCAATATATCAACAAACATCGATATTTCTTAGTTTAATAATAATCGTAACTATCCCTGCTGATACTATCGATAAGACCTTACGCTACGTTGCTCACTTTGCGCTTACGTTACGCATACGTTTTGTACTTTATCGTAAGTGGCCCGTTACGTTTAAAAAATCGTCCCTTATTAAAATAACGAAAATAGGATAAAATATAATTTGAAAGGTTGAATTAAAAGATTATTGTACATTTTCTAATCTATTCCCTAAGCATGCCACCACGTATTCCAAAGTTATCGAAATCGATTTCTTACTCCAATGCATCTCTGAGCTGAAAACAACAAAGCGCGCGGAGCCGGCGATTTCTGTGCCGTTTCATTTCGCAAACTCCAAACGTATATTTGTATATTGAAACATATAAACTATAATAAATTAGTGTTTGCAAGAACCCGCAACAATGTCTAACGCGACAATAACGACATGCAAGCTACTATTATTTGGCCGGTGTGTGCGCGCCGTATTGCTCAGCGTGGGCGTGCAATTTCTGCTGCTTACCGTATTTTTGCTGCTCGTTAACTTTCAATTGCTGCATCCACTGGATTGGGTAATGGGCTCTTTGCGTCTGGTGTGCAGCTTCTACACGTGGTTTGCCTGCATACCCCTGCTTGGCGCCGTTGTGTTCTACGGAATGACGCTGTCCCATCAGCATCTCGCCGAGCGTCGCTACTGCCCCACACGCTATCGGTGGCTGCTGCAAAATGGTCCTCGCAAACTATTATTTCTATTCGCTCATTTGGTCGTAGGTTACCTAACTGCCTGGTTGTACACGGGCTATTTGCACACGGACTATCGGTATGTCTACATTAACGTCTCTTCACTATTTCATAACTTTGTGTTCCCCACAGGCATTTTGTGCATAAATGCTATGGCCAGGATTGTCTGAACTCCTATCACATCTTTTTGCTGGGCATGGGCCTCTCCGCCGGCTGCTACTACTTTGCCACCGAGTACATGCATGAAGAAGCATCCATTGATTTTGACTTTGCTGAACAGTCGCGGCCAGAAAAGCTGCGGGAGCTGCTCTATGGCACCCTGCTGAAGGCGCCAATTAGTTCCGTGATGCCCACGCTGTGCTACACGTTTATCTTTTGGCTATTTGGTGCCTTTCTAAAGTACAGGCTGAGTGTGCTAGTCAACGTAGACACGGACGATCGGCTGCTGGGCATTTTAGATGTGATTACCAATGGACGATTGTTATTCTATGGCTGGCTGCTTAGCGCTCAGATAGTGAGCAACATGCATCTCATGCGATGCTTTTATGCCACGCTGCTTTCCGAGAAATTGCCAATGGTTGTTGCACGCAATCGAGTTTCCCTTGGCAGCGAGCAGGAGGTCACCGTTGTGGCTGGTCTGGGCGTCTTGAATGTGTATGTGGTGCAGTGCCTGGCCGCCAATTTTCTGTACGAAGAAGCACGACGCAAAAACTCATCGGTGCGTGCGGAAATCTTTCAGCTAACCGAGCCAGGCAATCGGCCAGCCAACTGGCGCGCCCTTTGCGACCAATGTGTCAGCATCGTGGGCAGTTTTACCGAAGAGCTTAGCGATTCAATGCGGCAGATCAGCTTGATGAAAGGCAATGAGCAAAATTTTGCGTCTATTCACAGCGACAGTAGTGCCGCTCTGCTGGCCGAAAAGCTGCTGCTTCGACAGTACAATCAAATGCATGGTATTCGTCCTGTTGTTTCGCTACCACGTGATGTTCCTAACCAGGAATGGGATACAAAAGCCATGGATAGCATACGCCATGTGCCAAATTGGTGTGAGCGTACATCGATGAAGCTGGAGAAGTTGCTGCAACAGCTGCTGCGTCGTATTCCTGGCATAGTTTATTTCTTCTCCGAGCCGGAAGGCGCCAAGACGGAATTTCTACTGGAAAATGCGCTGCCCGTTATCTGGCTAACACAGGCGTTGGCGCATATCTGCGTCGCCTCAATCAATGAGGATAGTTATGGTGTGGTGCAGGACGACTTGCCGGGCATCATTAAGGCATTGCATCGTCTCAAATGCGAATTGGACAGGCTGAGCAACGGCATGCCCAACTTTCGCACAACCAGCAATAGCTTCAATCACTTGCGTTACGCAGTGCGCCGCAGTCTCTACAACATTTGCACATCGTTTTACAAATATTTAGGTGAACTATCATCCAGTGGCGAGGAGCTGCGTCAGCTCCAGGCATTCGTTTATCAGGGATAGGAAAGCAGGCGTCATTCAACATTTCTGCACAAATCATATTTAAACATCTCTCTTTAGTAGTTCTCTTCGGTAACAATAAAAATTAATAAATACAATTACAATGTACATATGCTCGATATATACACTTGACTTTTTACCTATCTATATATATATATGTAAAGTTAACACTCATTTTGTTTAAATCAAGCAGTGATTTGGTGCAGCATGATGCAGCGAACTATTGCTCTCCCAGTGACATGGCATACATGAGCAGTGCCAAGTCTTGCTCCACTTCCAGAGTTCGTCATTTCAATAGTTTCACTGGCACTTCGGCAGTGCTCACAGCCTCTTCAAGTGATTTTTCCAGCTCGACGGCAACCTCATCTATCTGCTGGAGCGCCTGCTTGCCCTTTCGATCGCGTCCATCAATAAAGATTTGTGTTTGTAGAAAGTTAAGCGCACGGAATGCCATGCCGCCGGTGGGATCATAGAAACCCTCGTATGTTTTAGGATTTCTTGCGCTGGCGCTCTGATCTGGAGTATTGGGGTCAAAGGGCACGTACTCCAGCAGCGGCTCCTTATGCCACCGGAATATGTTACGTGAATCTAATTGTAAGACAGAACATTAAAATCATAATACGTTTATATAAGAGCGATGTAATAACTCACCCAATTCCGCCAGAACGCGCGTCATTTCTCGTATTTGCGCATCCTGACGTTCCAATCGGAAGTTAATCTCAGTCAGCGTATTGGTCAGCTGCATCTTTTCCATTTGGAAAGCCTCATTTTTCTTGTTCTCCTTGATGGTTTGGCGCGAGTACTCAAATATCAGCAAACCGGCGCCAATGGCAAAGATAATAAACTCTCCGAGCAGATTAGCCCCCAGCTCAATGGCCATGGCTTCGGTCAACGGTGGCACAGTGACGGGCCGGCCAAGATTCAGCGCCCACATCTTGGTCTTCACCTCCACCCAATTATAAACTGTAAGATAACGATAATCGATGCGCATTAATCACTTTAATCTACGTATAGACACAAATTAGTCTTACACTGAGCCGGCGGCATGCATATGTATTTCCTAAAAAATGGACTTGATTTTGCATTGGATTTTAACACATTTGCAATGGGTTTGCTAATTTGTTTGACTGCCAACACGCCAAGTTTGGCGGCTGGAAATACTCCAATAACCATTTCTTACGGTGTTTTGTATTACAAAATCTCGGCACGGAAAACGAAAGCGACTAGGGATGGCAAATAGGAAAACTTTACAACAGCTGTTTTGTATTCTAATCGGCCTGTTGTCCGATAACCGATAGTCGATAAACGATATGAAAAGTATTTACGAGTTATTGAACAAACAATACTAAAGTTTAGATTTTTAAAACGCAATTATTCTCTCCTTAGTATTCGTCTAAATGCTGATGCATTATTTTAATCTCTTTTTCCTGCCAGTCGAGCAGATTTTTTAATGAAAATATTCGCATATTTAGTTCCTCTTGTTTTTGTTTATGTAAATCATTTTGGTTCTGGTCACTTTTTGCTTGCCTATAAACAAATATTAAATATATATTTATTTTATGCATACCGTACTGCCAAACCTTACCGGGAAACTTCAAAATAAATCAGATATATTCCTAAGCCCAGTGTAAAAAGTTCGCTTAGTAAGTTTGCTCCCAAATCGGTGGCCATTTTTTCCCTTAGTCGAGGGATCCGTTTCGGTTGGGGAAGTCCCAACATGTGCATCTTACATCTTGCTTCGAAACAATTTATTAATTGTCCGGCCGGCGCGCACAAGTACTTCCTAAATATTGAATTGTTTGCCGCAAAGGTCTTTAAAGCTACGCTAACTGGCTTCGTGATTTGCCTTATGCCCAGAATGGCAATTTTTGCAAGAGGAAATGCACCGACCATTTTGTAAACAGAAATTTATGGAACGGCTTTTAAATACAGAGTTATCGTGTTTGACAAAAGGCGCAAAATTGTATGATTAAATCAGAAAAAAAAAATCCCTTTTGTTTTCCGAAGATAATATAATAAACTTTTTGTTTACCAAGAAGTAATACCTAATTGCCTGAGCTTGGCTTTAAGATTTTTAATTTCATAAGTCTGGCTCACAACTCGATCATTTAATAATTCTATCTCGTTTTCCAGTTTTTGGTTCTGGTCCCGATGGTTGTCTTGCTTTAACTTCTCATTGCGAGCTTGTCTTAATGAAATGGAATTTTTTTTTTACTAAGTCTCACATCAATAGCCTGCACTTACCGCGAAAACTCCAAACACAACAAGCTTACACATACTGAGAACACGATCATCTCGCCGAGTAGATCACTTCCTGTTTCAATAGCCATAGTTTTGTTCAATGGTGGAACAAACTTTGGTTGCTTCATGCCTAGCATACGCATTTTCGCTCTTACCCCAATCCAATGGTAGACTAAGGATGCAAAGTTGAGTTGTATCGTAATTTTAAACTTTTAACAGAGTTTCTGCTACTTACTTTGGGCGGGTGTACTGACTAGATATGTATTAAATGTTTGATTGGTTTTGGCAGTTTGCTTGATGACCCTGACAATGGGTTTACTTATTTGCCTGACAGCTAATGCGCCCAGTTTTATCAAGGGAAAGCTTACCATTGTAAAACTTACAAATTTTCAATATCATTTACATTTGTGACTGAAAAATCGGAACAATCTTCTCTACTACCATCTATATGTCGCAGAATAGGTTATTACTTATTCAAATAACTTAACTGCAATAAATTAAATTATAAATAGATTAATTATATTTAGACTTTAAAAGAAAAAGCTTACCTATTGCATTTCATAATTTGAAGACCTTAAAATCCGTTGGCTTATACATCGATACATCGCAAACACGAAATAAATCGATGCCGTTCAAAAAAAACTATCGATGTTTCTTCTTACATCCCTAGTCCGTAGAAAAATTTGGAAGTTTGAAATGTGTGTGGCAAAGTCGCTTTCAGTGTAAGGACGGAGCTGCCAGCAGAACAGTTTTTCAAGGCCACACAGGTCAGAAAATGGAGAAGGTTAATGTCGTTATTTCGGCACCTAGTGGATTCTGTGTGCTTTGCGGATCCAAAACGAGTCTCGTGTGCCATCGATGCGGCGACTTTTATTGTACAAAGAAATGCCAGCTGAACGATTGGCAACGCCACAGGTATATATGCTTTTCAATACCCGCTCTGGTGCATCCACTGGAGTGCTCCGCTTTTGGCGTTATGGAAGTACCCCCAATGCCTGCCGCTCAACAAATTGTTCACAAAGAAGCTGTCAAAAATGTCGTCCCGGCAGTCTTTAGCACAGATGATGCCAGCATAGATGAAACAAAAGCCGAGCTAACTAAAAAATCAAACGTATCAGCAAAATCAATCCCTCCGATAGCAGATGGCGTTGCGTCGAACGGGAGTATACAAGAGTGTGATAAGACCAGCAATACATACGAAACAGCGAAAAGAATTGCTATCGCTAAGCCGGCAAACAGCAACAACAATAACAGCTCAAATGACAGCATTTCAAAGAGAATGGGTTTGAAATTTAAAGGTCCGCCTCATGTGGCCATGCCTGTGAATGGAAGCGTTGTTTACGTTACGGGCTTTCGGTCACCGAATCGCTGCTTTGTACGCGACGCTGGTGAAGCCGCTGAGCAGGCACATTTAGAAATCTGTCAGAAGGTCTGAGTGTGTATATATTCATATGTATAAATGTTTATTTAATTAGTCATAAATTGGCTTTTAGGTCAACTTACTGGGCAAGGAGCTGCCGGAACTACAGAAACTAAAGGTTTATGGTTATGCGCTGGCCGAATACAATGGACGGTTTCAGCGTGTCAAAGTAATTGGAGTACGCACCAATCAGTCTGCGCGTCTCCAATACTTGGATTTGGGCTTTGCGAAACCACGAAATGGCGCTGAAATGCGCGAAATTAGCGACGAGCTATTGGAACTGCCCTGCCACAGCTTGGAGCTGCAGCTTAAGGGTGTGCCAAACTATGCATTAAGCGATGAACTAAATGAATTTCTTACACACTTCGAGGGAGAACGATTTGTAATAAACAATGTCGGCAATAAGCAAATCGAATTGGTGCATGTGGAGACGCTCAAATCGTTGAACATGCAGATACTCAGTTTTAGTTCAAATATGCAAGTTTTTGGCAGCCCATTTGATAAAAAGGCAACGCCTTTCAAGGCAGGCACTCAACAAAACAACAACAACAACAACAAATTGGAGCTCGAAATTTTGTCTACTACCGAGGAACTAAAATTAGAATCTATTGTAAAGACGTCCCAACTAGACAAAAAAGGGGCTCAATTGGTAAAAGCTATGGAAGAAAAATTGAAAAAGGATCAAACAACAAACTCTATGCAGGAGCAAGATAAGGGAATACTATTTTATGAATTAGATAACGAATCAAAGAACTCTGAAGAGAAACCCAAAGAAAATGTGCCATTTAATAATGTAGCAGTGGAAACCATTCCAACTTTAGCATTTGAATCTAGCAAAACGGAAAATGACAAAACTGAAACGATCGCAAATTTAAAAAAAATAATAGATATAAAAACTCAAACCACTGTGAAGCCTGCAGCAACAGTTATTGATAACCAGAGTCCGATCACATCGAAAACTAATGATAAAACTAATGTTGAACCTTTGCTAGTTGCTGTACGTAGCATTTACTGTTTCAAGATTTTTGTCTGATTTCTCAACATTTTTACAGCCCTTTGAAATGCGCCGTATTATGATCAAGAATAGGGAAGGACTCGATGTTTTTATTGTGGACAATGCGAACGTTTCCCGAGGCATTATTGGCGCCTTCGATAGCACATATGCGCGTGATTTCTCCCAACTGCATTCTCGTCTGTCGGAATTCAAGGACTCACAGCCCTACAGACCTATGTAAGTAGCTAAAACTTTGAACAAATTGTGTAGAGCAAAACGTGATCATAAAACCCCTGTCCATATATCCACCCATTTCTGTTGTTCTCCTGCTTCTATGCGAACTAGTCTCTTAGTATTAAAGATACTTTGATGACAACTCCCAATTTTGTTGCAGGTTATTCATTTGCGAATCCAATTCTTTTCAAAATAGAATGCTCTTAGCATCCAGGCAAACTGGACAGCCGAAAATCCTTTTGAATATATAGAGTTATATATCGCAAATGTGCTATACTTTTACAAGGCTCGGTCACCACGAAATTTATGGCTCACTCTTGTGTTTTTATTTATCAGGCTCAAGGAATACGTCATTGCTAAGTTCGAAAACGAATGGTATCGCGCCAGGGTGACTGAAATAAACGAGAATCGGGTCAACTGCACTTATAACGTAATGTACGTGGAGTTTACCAATGTATCCACGGTTACCGAAGAGGATATCCGCCGTTATCCAGCCGACTTGACGGTGCCCTGTCATACCAGCATTTGTCTAATTGAAGGTTAATGAGTTAGCAATATTTGACCTAGTGTAAACGTTAATTTGTACATTTTTCTTTTAGGTTTTCCACATCGAGCAACTAAGGCACAGATCAACTTTTTGGAGGCGAAACTGCAAATGCACAGCTTGTTGCACATCGATTCAGTTAGTTATTTACAGGATATGGCATTGATTAAATGCAATGCCTTGATCGAAGAACTTAAAAAAATATAAAACCACAGGAGAAAATTACGTTGTCAATTTACCAAATTTTGAATTAATATTTTTGTGCAAATTCACAAATATTTGTATAAATTCTGCAATCGGTTTGCTTCAAACTAGAGATATGCTGGCCGCGTATTTTTTTCGTTGCCATAAGTAACAATTTGTACATATCTATTAACCAATAAAAGTGACGAATTGTTAAACTAACATATTTTAAAACAGTTGCGTTAACCTGTCCCGACTCACCTCCGAAAACGGCCAAAGGCAGCTAGAAAATAGCTGAGTCGTCAAAACTAGTCGCAATCATGCTATTCCTCAATTTAATATATCGATGAGTCCACATCGTATGCAATGTATCGATTACAGCATGCCTTTCGATATCGCATTTCCCTAAACTTTCTATTGCGGCATATCGAAAAAAGTTCTTAGTCGCAAAACAGATCGCTCGCAACTCGCAACTTGTATTTGGTGTATACACAGCCTGTGCATTTAAAGCAAATTAATTCCAAAACAGGAGAAGCAATACATCTATACCTAAACGTTATTTTAAATACTCACAGAAGGTAATTTTTGATTTATTTCTAATCATATATTTTATATATGCATACATACTACATTTTTAAATGCATTCATACATAAGAACAGCGATATTTTTAGTCCGAAACTGGAAAAGCGTATTTTTGCATAAATGAGCAAATTGTTGCTTTTGTTTGTTGATGATGCAAACGATTAGCCGTATTATGAGAACACAGTGATCCCACACACACACACACACACACACACACAAACGTACGGCCCAGCACACTCACTCATTTGTGTGACCGGCCATAGCGCGGGTAAAAAATATGTAAAGGTGAAATAGAAGTCATTCCATACGAAAGCACACGCATACACTCTTTTGCACACATATAACGCAAACACGCCATTGGAAAATGCAATAATAATCACCAAGTGTCTATATTTTATAAACCTTAAATTGAACACCTTTATCGCCCTACATACACATACACAACAAAGAAAATGTGTTTGTGGATCCGGAATTTGCGTGTATCAAAAGCCGAAATCCCACGATGCGGCGATGAGTAATTAAACGCTGATAATAAATAGCCGGCTTTTATTCATTTAAATTTATTTAATTTACGCGCTAATTTGAATTCGAACGAAGCTAATTTTTATTCATGCTTCAGTTATTGTGACAATGTCCTTCGCAAACAGGTTCAAGGGCAGAGACCAACAGCCTTTTGGAAATTGTTAAAAGTGCCAGCACTTTCACTTAAAGAGAACTTTCTATTGTTGTTGTTGCTTCGATTCGTAAAAGCTCGTAGAGCAAAAGCTTTTCCAGTGTTGTGCGTATCACGCGGCTAGCACCCCCGCAGCTGGCGCGTTCCACGCACTCGCAGCATGTGGCGGGTGTGAGGGAGAAAGAGAGAGCATGCGTCCTATACGGTATGGAGATTATTTCATTTAATTCAAGGTCAGTGGCGGCTTTTTCTGTGTCGACAGCTGATAACTAGGAAACATTTATATTTTATTATAAGTATATATAGGTATTTTTGGCCCCAAACAGCTGACGATCAGTTTTTTGTTTACACTCTCGCGCCGATCCCAAGTATTTATTATTGCATCCGATCAGGTAGCCGGCTGACTTATCGCCAGCTTCGTGCTAGGCAACACCAGTGACAGCTAAGTTGTAAGCTTTTCGCACTTTTTTCACATATGTATGTAAACTTTTTCGTGCTGTCTCTCAGTCTCGTGCTTGGGCGGCTTTTAGGGGTGGCCTGTTGCCGCTTGCCTTTTTAGCACCACTGGCGCCGCTCTCTCGGCTCGGGCGAGACACTCGTTTGGCATTTATTTTCACCAGAGTGTCGGGGTTTTGCGCTCATTGCATTACCGACATTCTGAATGCTTTTGCCAAAATTTTCCACCAAGAGCCGTCAGTCAGTCGAGCATTCTGTGCCAGTGTGTGAAAAACCCCAGTGCGCTTAGGTTTTCAACGCAAACATTTTTGCTATACAGCGCATCGTAACCTCTTGTTTTGTGCGTATCATCCGTGTTGGGCAATACTCTAATTATAATTATCGTTGGTTATACAGCGCCAACCTAGTCGGCAATAAAATGGTTAACGTAACAATTTACGACGAGGCACCGCAGCTTAAGGTAAACCCCGACTGTGCTCTGTAATCCAACCAACGTGTCTATAAAGATATGCATATCAGCCTGTATCAAAACTGAATGTTTCTCATTTTTTCCTTCTAGTTTTTCTTTTACCATTATGCAACTTTTTTTTTTCCTTTACTTTGCTGTTTTGTTGCTGCACTTGCAAAAGTTGTGTGACCTTCGCAGATGCAGCGTCGCGCCGTTGCCGATGCATAAAATCTGCTCCGTCTGTCTCTTGGCATAGACCATGGCGCTACATCTTGCCTCTTCTCTTCCACTCTCCCACTCTCGCCTGCTGGCGCTCTCTTGTGCGTGTGGGTGCTGCCTACCCCTTCCCCCCTCCAATCACTCAGTTTCTCTCCCATCTCGCACTGTTTACTTTCGATTCGAGTGTGGGCATATCGATATGCCGCACCATAAACCCTCGAAGTCAGCACAGTTTTATTGCCCACCTCATTGACAACGATAATTATTTTGGCAATTGGCAGTCAATATGTCAATAATAATCTCGCTCGTATATTTATCGTAGCCCAACGAAGTACCGCAAAACATGGCTGCCGGAGCTGATACCCAATTGGAGCATATGTGCCGCCTGCAGTTCGACTCGCCCGTACCCCATGTCCGTTTGTCTGGCATTGTGTGCACCATCGGTCCCGCATCCCGCAGTGTGGAGATGCTGGAGAAGATGATCGCTACTGGCATGAATATTGCGCGCATGAACTTTTCGCACGGCTCGCACGAATACCATGCTGAAACGGTGGCCAATGTGCGACAGGCTGCCAAGAACTATTCGGCCAAGCTGGGATATGAGCTTCCAGTGGCTATTGCCCTGGATACCAAGGGTCCTGAGATTCGCACTGGCCTGATTGCCGGCAGTGGCACTGCTGAGATTGAGCTGAAGAAGGGCGAGACCATCAAGTTGACCACCGACAAGGCATTCCTCGAAAAGGGCTCCCTGGAAGTGGTCTATGTGGACTACGCAAACATTGTCAACGTTGTGAAGCCGGGCAATCGTGTCTTTGTCGACGATGGACTCATCTCGCTGGTGGTCCGTGAAGTGACCAAGGACTCGGTCACCTGCGAAGTGGAGAACGGTGGTGCTCTTGGCTCCCGCAAGGGTGTCAATCTGCCCGGCGTGCCAGTCGATTTGCCCGCTGTGTCCGAGAAGGACAAGTCGGACTTGCAGTTCGGCGTGGAGCAGGATGTGGACATGATCTTCGCATCGTTCATTCGTAATGCTGCCGCTCTAACTGAAATCCGCAAGGTGTTGGGCGAAAAGGGCAAGAACATTAAGATCATCTCCAAGATTGAGAATCAGCAGGGCATGCACAATCTGGATGAGATCATTGAGGCCGGTGACGGTATCATGGTTGCTCGCGGCGATCTCGGCATTGAGATACCCGCCGAGAAGGTGTTCCTGGCCCAGAAGGCCATGATTGCACGCTGCAACAAGGCCGGCAAGCCCGTTATTTGCGCCACCCAGATGCTGGAGTCCATGGTGAAGAAGCCGCGTCCCACGCGTGCCGAAATCTCTGATGTGGCCAATGCTGTGCTCGATGGTGCCGACTGTGTCATGTTGTCCGGCGAGACCGCCAAGGGCGAATACCCGCTGGAGTGTGTGCTGACCATGGCCAAGACGTGCAAGGAGGCCGAAGCTGCTCTCTGGCATCAGAATCTTTTCGCTGATTTGGTGCGTGGTGCCTCAGCATCCACTCTGGATGCTCCTCATGCGGCGGCCATTGCCGCTGTCGAGGCTGCAAACAAGGCCAAGGCAGCCGCCATTGTGGTGATCACCACCAGCGGCAAGTCCGCCTTCCTGGTGAGCAAGTATCGCCCACGTTGTCCCATCATTGCTGTCACGCGCTTCGCACAAACCGCTCGCCAGGCTCATCTCTATCGTGGCCTAGTGCCACTTGTCTACAAGGGTGAGTGTCAGAATTCTAAGCTGCATTTCGCAAATCTAATATGCAACCCCTTAAGCAGAGCCCGCACTCGGTGACTGGCTGAAGGATGTGGATGTGCGTGTCCAGTTCGGTCTGCAGGTGGGCAAAAAGAACGGCTTCATCAAAGCAGGCGACTCTGTGGTCATTGTCACTGGCTGGAAGCAGGGCTCCGGCTTCACCAACACCATTCGTATTGTGTAAGTAAAGTTTACACTAAAATCTCCAAGCTACTCTTGGCTAATTCTTAAACATATCTTGCAGTACCGTCGAATAAACCGGTCGCTCTGACTAGAGTTTCATGCATCACTGTGTTGGCGTTTAAAGCGTCTGTGCGTGCATAAATTACTGTTATTAACCAAGTTAATTTATTTAAAATTCTCAACACATATATACGGATTATTGGATATCGAAATTGAATACATACACCCGCTGCCCAAGCGCCACAGAATGGCTCGCAGCCGTGGAGCCGCTCTCACACACACACCTACACATATATACACAAATCTAAACATGCAGAATAATTTATCATTGTTAAATATAGAGTTCTTTATAGTAACAAGGATTAATAAAAACTATATGTATACATATTCTTGTGCCGATTTAAACGGTGAGCCCAAGCACACAGCTAAGCAACATTTAACCATATTGAATATCATTATCATCTGTGCACAAAGTGAAGTAGAGTATATGTTGGACTTGGATTACCAATAATATTGCGCGATTCGAAAAATTCGTTAGATCCTAGTCAGTTGAGATTTGGGTTTCATTCACTTACCCAATAACAATTTTGTTTTTTTTGTGAATTCTTTCAAAATGTTAACTCGGCATTTGGCTCATAGTACACATAGCTTCCGAAACCAAATTACAGAGAATAAACAACAAATTGGGCGATATTTAGCGTAGATTTACCGTTCAAGGGATTTTACTGGGTTTTTCATTTGGAATATTTATAAATTAGAACTTTACACAGTGTGGAGTCTGCATAGTCTCAGATGGGACTATCTTTCGCAGTGAAACGCAGCTTTTAATTAAAAACCGATCAAAATTGTCATTTAGTGCAATTTTCAAATTAATCTGTCAAAATTTCGCTATTCGGTTCATTGTTTGCGCGGTTCGCATCTCGTGCGTCTGCGCCTAAGCACAGTCTGCCGCCATGGGCACCTGTAGATTCATCTGGCTACTCCAATGATGCCAAGGCGAAAACTGTAAGTGGCAAAAAAAAAAAAAAAACAAAAATCCTTTGGTAATAGGTAAAAGCAACAACGTCTCTTGAAACATGCAGGAGGACACGCCAAAGGTGCGTCTGGATCGCGGTCCATTTGCCTCGCAATTGGATTACAAGTCCAGACTGCAATTTAATGCGCCCAAATTGGCTTACCCGCTGAGCGGCATCATATGTACTATTGGGCCGGCCACAAATAAAGTGGAAACCTTGGTTAAGCTCATCGATGCCGGGATGCGCGTGGCGCGCTTGAATTTCTCTCACGGCTCACATGAATATCACTGTCAGACCATAAAAGCAGTGCGGGAGGCCGTGAATTGCTATGCACAGCAGATAAGCGCGTATAAGCCGGTGGCTATTGCATTGGACACCAAGGGACCGGAAATACGTACGGGTCAGCTATCAGGTTCCGATACGGCCGAAATTGAACTCAAGCAAGGAGATAAGATCAAGTTATCGACTAATAAAAGCTTGGAGGCGTCAGGCAGCAAGGATGCCATCTACGTAGACTATCCCAAATTGCCCAAGATCGTCAAGCCCAAGAATTTGATATTTATTGATGATGGGCTTATTTCGTTGATTGTCAAGGAAGTAAGCGGCGAGGAGGTTGTGTGCAAGGTGCTTAATGGCGGAAAGCTCGGATCTCGAAAAGGTGTCAATCTTCCCGGTATTCCAGTCGATTTGCCGAGCATTTCGGACAAGGATGTATGCGATTTGCAGTTTGGCGTTGAGCACGATGTAGACATGATCTTTGCTTCGTTTATACGTAATGCTAAGGCCCTAGCCGAAATCCGCGAGGTGCTGGGACCCAAGGGAAAGCGAATAAAAATTATATCCAAGATTGAGAATCAACAGGGTATGCAAAATATTGATGCTATCATTGCAGCGTCAGACGGCATTATGGTGGCTCGTGGTGATCTCGGCATCGAGATTCTCACCGAAGAAGTCGTACTAGCCCAAAAGTCCATAATTGCCAAATGCAACAAGGTGGGCAAACCGGTTATCTGTGCCACCCAAATGCTGGACTCTATGATTGGCAAGCCGAGGCCCACCCGTGCCGAGGCGTCAGATGTCGCCAATGCCATATTTGATGGCGCCGACTGTGTAATGTTGTCCGGCGAAACGGCCAAGGGCAAGTATCCCGTGGAGTGCATCAAGTGCATGGCGAATATCTGCGCAAAGGTGGAAAATGTTCTATGGTATGAGCACCTGCAAAACGATTTAAGGAGCTCCATGAAAGCGTCAATGTCCGACAACATATCGGCGATTACTTCGGGCATCACTGAAATCGCTACCCTGGGCCATGCCAATGCCATAGTTATAGCTAGCCCCAGTCCGGTTGTGGCACAGCTGGTAAGTCAGTTTCGGCCAAAATGTCCGATTGTCTTTCTTACGGGCAGTCCAAGAAGAGCACGACAGACAATTATATTTCGCGGTGTGTATCCGATTGTTCCTGAGGAAATGGTAAACGGTTGCAAGGATTTTGCGCGCATTCTGACCGCGGGCATTGAGGAAATGACCAAGATGCAAATTGTAGATGCGAACAAGCCAATGAAACTTATGATTGTTAACGCCTTGGAGGCAGAAAAGATATCCTTCCGTCTCTTGTACGTTAAGCACAAGTCCGAGGAAGAAAAATGCAAGGAAGCTGCCGAAGCGAAAGCAAAGCTCATCAAAGCTGAAGAGAAAAAAAGCCAAAAACGAAAAAGTTGTGCAAAGAAGTCAGATGAAAGCAAATCGCCAGAGCAGATCGAAAGGTGTAAAAAGCTGGCAGAAAAACGGGAAAAGTTACAGAAAGCTAAAACTAGCAAGACTCCATCCAATGATGAGGAAAAATTGAGAAAATGCATGGCCATTTTGGCCGAGGCAAATAAAGAGAAAGACGAAAAGTGCTAATTCGTGTAGAAAGCCTGGTAGAACAGACTAAATTGCTAATGGGATCAATATTTTTAGTAGAAGCTTAAGAGCTTTTAAGGAAAAATTCCTTTTACTACTTATATATATATATATAATACAATATGTTATTTAATTTTGTTTAATAAAAATCCTAACGTGATTGTGTGCTAAATATCTGTCTTTTATATATTTGCTCCATGGTAGAATTCAAACTTATGAATTTATGAAAAGTTCATGTACGTTATTACCACGCTGCCAGATCAATTGAAAGGTACAGCGCTGCCAGATTGTAATCCTGAGATCTGCTGTAAAACTATCGATTGTTTCAATTATTTTCGATATATAAACAATTCATGAGTTGAGTTGATTTGTGAAATAACAACAGGTTGCATTTAACTGTAATTACAAAATCAGCAGTAGAGAACAGACGAATTGTTAACAATTAGATAAACATTAAAAATGTCACTGCCCTCAACAAAAGCAACTACGGCGACAGCAACGAACGCGGTTGTGCAGGCAGTTGAGACATATATTCAAAACCAAAACTTATTGGGTGAGATTGCCGAACTGGATGAACTGCTCTATGATTTGATCGATTTGCATAAGCACAATGAATTGGCCCTCAAACGTGTGCTGCAGTGCATCTATAACTTACTGCAGGGCAACAACAAGTGGAATGTGAGATTTGGCTCGAAGGTATTTCACAAACTCATCTCGGTTATCATCGCCGATAGCACAGATGGTGGCAGCGCACATGGTCTGCACCGCCAGCTGGTGGCCAACGTGCTCATCTGTGTGCAAATTCATGCACGCAAGTTCCCTCGCATTGATGGAAAATTCTTGCTGCGTCAGCTCTGGTCGCTAAGCTTGAGCAGCGAGCGGCAACCGCATGCAGCCCAAATCCTCGTGCAGCTTTTTGATGATTTTGTACGTGAACTGGGCGAGGAGTGCGCCTGCTCAGCCCAGTTGTATGCTGTCATTCAAAGTTTTCTGCAGTCGGAGGAGCGCGAGCAACGAAAATCCGCGTACTTTCTTTTAAGGAAACTCCTAACGATAATGCAAGCAACCGATAGCTCTGGCGGGCTGAGCACACTCGTGCTCGAGAGTCTTAAATGCAATGAGCATGTTTGGTATGCTTATGTGGTTATTATGGAGACGCTGGAAGAGCAACAATCGCATTTGGTGGTGCCCACGTTGAGCACGCTGCTGCCCCGAATCGCGGAAAGTAATCAAGGGGACGAATGGCTGATCTGGTTGCGCATTTTGTACGTCCGACTATTGCAGGACAATAACATATTGGTGCTACGCTGGACCTTAAGTTTTTTCTTTAACCGCTTCGATGTAACTAAATTATGCCGCGTCAAGCTGTTGCCCGAATTTCTGGCAGCCACCAACCGAACACAGCTGTATAATGTAGAAAGTTACTTTTTGCCAGCGGTAGATATGGAAAAATTTATGTCCCACGAAGATGACGCGCAGGAGTTTTTGGCAGCATTGGTCACAGTGCCATGGCACTCCGTTCCCCTGCACTTTTGGCTGAGTGTAATGCAGCCGGAGAAAGGTGCATTCACTAACAAAAAAGTGCTACTGCAGCTCAGCTCACGGGTTCGCACATTACGAAATTCAGAATTGCGACAAGAAGCTGGCCAGCGCGTGTTTGAGCTATTCAAGGTAAATATTACCTTTGCAATATCAAACATATACAAGTGTAGAAACAGAACTTAATCCTTTATTACAGCCCACCATAGACAGTTTGACACTGGGCGATTATATGGTCTTCATTGAGACACTATTCAACGTGAGCGATGACTATTATAATGACCATCAACGTTTAACAGAAAAAATGCGAAATTGCGAAAACACTGAGAAAGAGTTTGTTCACTTTAGCAAACGTTGCTATGAAATTATGGTTCGTAATTCCTGCATTACTATTTTAGTATATGAACTTCTAAGGCATTTGAGCAAATTGCCAAATTCGGAACACGGTTGGTGGCGCTTGTTTCCACTGTTTAGTCTAAATTACATGGATCCAGATATAAAGGAAAAATGTTTGGATTTCTATAGAACTCGGTATAATGTGAACACTGAAATGTTTGAAACTGTCGCAAGTCTTGAGGAAGTGCAGCAACATCTGCTGCAGCAATTTAAATGCCAAACGAAGGATGAGAAGTCCTTTGTGCTGGAGCATTGCGTAGATTGCTTCGTTCGGGTTAACATAATAAGCTGGACTTCCATGAAACAGTTGCACTTGCAACCATGCGATCTGCTTGAATGTGGCACAAAAGCAACGTTTCAACATTTAGCAGAAAAACTGGAATTAAGTGCTACAAGAATCGAAGATGAAGCAAATGTGCTTTCAACTTTTGTTAACTTCTCAAAGAAGCATCCAAACTGTGAAAACGCGTAAGTAAAACCAATTATATTCTTGTATAAACGATATTTTCAGATTTGCCTTTTTCCTTACTCAGCGCTGTGAGCATTGTTAAGTACGCGGCCAAATTTTTGAGCGATGACGAAAATAGGAAACTTTTGACAGATATAATTCATAACCACTTTGATTGGATAGTTTGGTCAATCTTAATCAATGGAAGAGAAGTGCCCAATTCCTTGGTTATACAAGGCATACTAGATGGCGAGGTCACCACAGGAGATGCACGGTAAGTGCGCTTGCTAATGCAAACAGATAAATATAATTATTAATTATCCACAGCATTGAAGCAGCTTACACCGACAGCATTATTGACACACCATTCCATGATGTAAAATTGCGAAATAGATATATTTATTTTTCGAAACAACAATCAGAGGATATAGTACATGCCGTCTGTGCTGAACTGCTGCGGATCAACAAAGAATTAAACGATAGGAAACCGCGTTATTTTGAAAATTGCAAAGAGCATAGAATAAAAATACGTGTCGCCAGAGCACTGCTAATGATGAAAGATCGACTCCAATGGTCCGACGATCTGTGGGGCGCAGTGCTGGCGCCCAATGATCAACTTAATATCTGCTTCATGTATGAATGTCTCGTGGCTCAGCTGCTGCCTAGCTTTTATCAGTTGTTGGAGCGAATGCAGTCGTTGGGGTCGCTCAAACCAAGTCAGCAAGTGTCAATCATTTCCGTTGCTCACATATATTGTTTGCAGAATTGGAAGTCTCTAAACTTGCAACATTTACAAGAAACTGTAAGCCTGCTTTTGCCACACACAATGGGAGCACACTATCAAACCCGTCTTCTCGCTCAATTGGTTCTACACAGTCTCGCAGTTAAGTGTGAAATGTGCAGGTAATAATTAATAATTTAATTTCCAAATAATGTCAACTAATTTGTTGCATTTTCTAGTATCGAATTCCCTATACTTAGTACAATAAAGGTTAGCATTGAAATGACTTTGGGGGCAAAGTTGCACGAGTTGGAAAACGAATCGCGCCTCTTACTACCGAAAATACTTTCTGAGCATGCTTTTCCTGCTGATGTTATCTTGTATATGACAAATACGCCATTTGATGAATATGAAAAACAGAAAATCACTTGCGATAAGCTTAAAGCTAATGTAGAAGTGGCACGAACTGCCTTTAAAACGAAAAAGAATCCAATAACAATTTTACCTGATGCTCTACTTGAGACGACAAATTTAAATGTACAGCGGAAAATGAATCCCATCAACGATATATATAACTATAATAATTTATCCAAAACTGAAGGACAATTAAATGAACGGGAATTAATAGTTGTTGCCTCCCTCATAGATAAGTTGCCTAATCTTGGCGGTTTGGCGCGCACCTGTGAGGTGTTGGGCGTTAAAACGTTGATATTGGGCGCCAAGTCTTTTGTGGACAAAAGCGATTTCACAAATTTGAGGTTTTTATATAATTTATATTGTTGCTTGAACGTTTAATTGACTCGCCTTTCTTCCAGCATGACCGCCGAAAAGACGCTAAATATTATTGAAGTAAGGCCGGCTGGACTTGGCGAGTATTTAATTGCGAAACAATCCATGGGATATAAGATTGTTGGTGCTGAGCAAACAGCTCATAGCGTTAGTTTTGCAGATTTCAAATTTCCCGAAAAATGTATCCTGTTATTGGGGTAAGTTTTAACTTATATCTAACTGTTCGTGCATAATAACAATATTTTAAATCTTTTCTTACAGTCATGAGAAACATGGCATTCCAGTGGATCTGATAGCGTTATTGGACTATGCTGTGGAAATACCCCAGTTTGGTGTGGTGCGCTCCCTAAATGTCCATGTGACTGGCTCTTTGTTTATTTGGGAATACTGTAAACAGTATTTAAACAAAAAGTAGATTTGGAAGAAAAACGCCTTCAATACAAACGTGTCCAGGTTGAAGACTATTTTTTGAAGTACCTCGTATATTTGTTGTGATAAATTTCTTCAATAAACATTCAAAATATATTTCTCAATGTACATAATTACACTTAGCAATTATTGGAGATTTGGACCGAGTGGCTGGTTTTAAAACGATGAAAAGCAATTTTTAATCGATATATCGTAGCTATCGAAAGATATATCGATGCTATTCGTGAATAAATAAACAAATTAAAAAAAAAAGACAACAAACCATAATAAAGGAGCGCATCGTAAATATCATGAGTTTCTCCGAAAATACTTCAGATTCAGACTGGTAAGGCTTGATTATAAATAATGTGTAAACCGATTAAAATGCTCAAGTATGTTTAGGAAAGAAGCAAAGGCTAAAGTGAAACTGAATAGTAAAACTGGATGTCGAAAGCAGAAATATAGCCAAAAGTTTTGTGAAAAGTGGTTAAGCCTCTTCGATCCATGGTTGAGGCGCTCCGCCGATGATCCTAACAAGCCATTCTGCCGAGCTTGTCAATGTCGCCTAGACTGTAATCGTTGTCATTTGGTCCGACATGAACGCACAACAAAACACAAAAGAAATTTGGAGTCGTTGGTGACCAAAGGTGAAGGCGCTGTGCGAAAGGAGTTAAGCGTACGCCAAGAGCGGAGTAAATACTACCACCAGAGGAAACGTGCACTAAAAGCGGTAAAGCAGGAGCCCGTGCCTACCGTTCGCGAAAATAACCTTTTGGAGGCGGTAGCAACTGCAGTAATCACCACCGATGTTGTTATCGAAGAGAGGTGCGTATCTTTCATGTATTGCTAGCGTTTTATTATGTGGACTTTTTTGCAGCCCACAAGTCTTTGAAGTAACTGAAGGATCCGCGCAGGATCAGGCACCAGCTGTACCGATTGCAACAACGCACGCAGCGCTTACGGCCTCAAACCACACAAAAATAAATACATCTAAAACAAATCCAGCGATCACCAAATCGGTATCCAATCGCAGCCCTAACAATTCGTCTAATAAAGAGGGGCTTAAGCTATTAATGCAAATCCAACAGGACAAGAACGAACTAATGGAATCTTTCCGAGAGCTGATTGGAGTTCAGTTACCACATCCGCCCCAAAGAGAGAAAAATCATGTTGATCTGTTCTTCGAAAGCGTTAGCTCCAGTGTTAAAGCGCTTTCACCGAAACTCGTAGCAGAGGCAAAGATGCGAGTGTCGCAGCTTATTTGTGAGCTCGAGCTGCGCGCCTTGAAGGATAATAGCGAAAATGGACATATCGCGGGTACAGAGCCGCCAAAAGCAAACAGTGCTCATCTGGTCACGCAGGCTGCCACCGGAAACCAAAGTATTGCTCTTCATCCGCAATTTGGAAATCTGACATAAAATTGAAAGCCGGGCTTATGATGCAAATATATTGATAAGATAACTAGGTCTAATTTGTACAGAAATTGTAAATAGATTTATTAAAATGGATATGAGTGATTTATCCCATAATAGACGTATTTTAAAATATAAAAAATCGGTATATCGCATGTATAGAATTATCGATATATCTTTGATTGGCATTGCACATCTCTATTGGCCGGCGTTGGCGAATTGTAAACAAACCCCAAGAAATAATTTGTATTTATGTAAAACGTTAAAGTAAGCATTTAAGGAAACTAGAAGCGTAAACATATCCATACCACTTTGAATAAATATATATAATGTTATTTTCCAGAACAAACCCTTGTTTGTACCATGGCGTTCAGGCGTCCTAGCATGAAAGCCAAGCCTCTGGTAAATCGTGAGGAACTATTGCAGAGCATAGTGCGAGATCGCAAGTTGTTAAACGACTATTTTCAAAGCCTGGCAACAAAAGAGTCAGTACAGAAAGAGTCATCCACCATAACGATAGCACCGCAAGCTGTGCCAATGCAACAACGCGACAGCTATGATTTGTTCTTCGAAAGCGCATGCATCAGCATTAAGAGTCTACCGCCGAAATTGGCGGCTGAGGCCAAAAGTCGCATTTCACAAATCATCACTGAATTTGAGTTGCGTGCCATTTCAGAACAAGAAGCGCAACAGGAAAAGGAAAAACAGCATATTGCCAAAACCGTGAGAGTATCTAACGAACAGGCTATGGACAGTTCATCTGGGATTGTATACGAATTTCAGGCATACACTTGACGGAGCTGTCTCTGTAATTTCTGTCAGCACACAATTAAAACACAATATTAGTATGTCTTGACACATTTCGTACATCTAAATCCCAAAATTTATTAAAATTTAAAATTCTAAATTTTTGGCTTTTTTCAAACTTTTAGTTAAACAGAAATATTTAGTTTTAATGCTTGTGGTTCAATTTCGTCGCTGAATTCTTACAAATTGGCAATGCCAAAACATCCAAAGGTTTGCATCATCGGTGCAGAAGGCTGGTAGGTTCTCAAGATACTTTCATTTTGTTTTTATTAGTCTTATGACAAGTGTCAACTTGATACATTTTAGGGGCTCTGCAATCGCCACTTCTGTGTGTAAAAATGTCGTCGATGTCGGCGAATTTGACTCCCGAGTGCACATATATGTATACGATGAGCTTGTTAGAAGTAATTACCTTTCTGAGGTGATGAATGAACAGCACGAGAACATTAAATATCTGCCTGGAATAAGACTGCCATCAAACTTGGTAAGGTCCCTATTGATATCTATAGTATCACTTGCTTAGAATATCTACTCTCAGATTGCGATCAATGACTTGATTGCCGCCGCACGGAATGCTGATATTTTAATATTTGCTACGCCGCATAGCTTTGTTAAATCATACTGTAATATATTAGCTGGCAATATAAAGAGCACTGCTTATGCCATCTCGTTAACCAAGGGCTTGGAGCATAGAGATGGCGAAATCGAACTTTATTCACATGCAATTACCCACCTGTTGGGGATACCATGCTATTCAATGATGAATGCTAACAGTGCCATGGAAATGGCACAGGGAAAACTCTGCGAAATTACTATTGGCTGCAACAATGATGCACATGCGAATCAATTGAATTATCTGTTACAGACCGAAAATTGTATGGTGTTTACCATTGATGATGTTGATGGAGTGGAACTATGTAATACACTGAAGGATTTAGTTGCGCTAAGTGCCGGCTTTATTGATGGCTTGCACCTGGGCGAAAATGCCAGAATCGCTTGCCTTCATCTGGGCTTAAAGGAAATGATGCGATTTATCACGAATTGCAATCCAACTACAAATGTGACTACATTTTTGGAAAGCTGTAGCTTAGCAAATTCTGTTGCTTCTGCGTATGGTAACTACCCTCTCTCTAATATACCCTGTACACTTTAATATTGGGTAATGACTTTTTTGATTTAAATTTGGAAAATTTGTGATATATGGGATTCAGCAGCAGCTATTGATATGGTTCTTAACAAGAGATATCTCGTCCTCTATTTTTATTCCATTCGACTTTCTGTTTTACGACAAATTTATAATTTCCACCGTTTTTCTACGCTTTCTTTATGATCTTTAGGTGATAAAAACGTTACCTTTGCTAAGAACTTTGTTACCTCACAAAAAACTACACAAGAAATTGAAGCAAGTCTTTTGAATGGTCGCAAATTACTTGGTCCCATTATTGCTGGGGAGATCTTTGCGTATTTAGATAACGAAGATTTGCACGACATGTGAGTTATTTGCAACAATACCATGTATGTTCACATTGATGAAATTCAACATTTATTTTTAAAGATATCCATTGTTTTCGATAATACATCGTATCTGTGAGAAGGAGGTACCTCCACAAGCCATTGTAGATACGCTCCGTAATCATCCGGACTTAAGGTAAGTACACGAGAGTTGAACATGTTTAACATTTGGAATAATGTATATTTTATCAGCAATTTCTCAGTCACCCAATTGCAAAGAGATGAGAGTCCGGTATCCATATCCGCAGACGGTATTCTTGAGAATATAGCTGACACAGTTCCCGAGTACACAACTGCTTCGTTAAATGGCACTACTTTTGATCAGGTGGATAATGAAGAAATTTATTGTGACGCTGAAGACGAGAAGCAAGGCTTTTGGAAACCATATTTTCATTATTTTCAAACTGAAAATAACTCGAAGGAGTTAGAAGAGTTTCTTCATAAATCGAAGACCGCAACTGGAGCTATTGATGAGCCCAAGCCTGATAGTGGTGGCATAGAAATTTCCTTTGAAATGGGCTCAGAAAAGGATAAGCCGGAAATTTGTCTTGAGATTAAAGAATCTATGGAATGTCCATCGTTTGCGGCAAGCGATATAACAGAGCCTGGCAACGTTCTAGTCAGCTCACAATTAATTCCCAATGATAACGTAAATAATGAAAAGTCAGCTTTCATTATGGAATCGCGGTTACAGCCGATCGTAATGTCACAGTCAGGAGAGAATAAAACAGCTGGGGCAAAATCCTCGGCTGCTGTCGGCTTAAATGAGATCATTGAACGGCATGTGAGGCCCTTAAATGAAAAATATAAGGCATTAAGGGTGAGGGTAAAGAGTAAAAATGAAAATGAAAATTCCGATCAGAATATGAATATGAATAAAGACGAAAAACAAAAAACAAAGGCCAAAAATGAGAGCTGTGCGGAGGATGCTAAGCAGGCTGAATCAGCCACTGAGAGTCAAGAGGAGCAGAAAAATGAAACGACAGAATCAGCGAATTCAAAAAAATGTGAAAAACAACAAATACTATATGAACAGGATTCTACGTTCAAAATGCGACTGTTTGATGACGAGCCAAATGTTTCAAACTATTTACAGTTGATCCGCAAGAAGGAAAGTGAAGCCTTGCAGAATGATCAATGCTCAGTTAGAAATTTTAAGGAGACAAGTTTGGAGAAAACGAACGACAGTTACAAAGTTGATTCTGAATCAAAGGATAATTCAATTAAATCAGAAGTGAAGGAGGGAACAATTGTGGAATATCATGATGACAACGAGAAAAGTGTGGAGAGATCAAACAAAGATTCAACTAACAATAGGGATTTTATTAGCAACAGGGATTCAGATACGAAAAAATATTCAAAATGGATAGATATAAAGGACAGCCCATCTGCGGAATTTAAAAAGGTTCCTGAGGGTTACAGATACGATTATAAAATAAGCATTAAATCGAAAAAATGTACATTAGACAAAGTTCCTTATACAAAAGCTTCCTTGGAAGCCCCAAAGATGGATAGTTCCTTTTCTATGGCGAAGTCCGGTTTTCAGGAGGCAGATAACTGGCAGAATTTCAACTTTGTAAACGGTTATAGTCAGCAGGAAATGAAGAAAGGCAAATTGGAAATCCATGAAAAGTTACCGGAATGTCTACTATTCAAGCCTATTACCTTTAAAATCGACACTTACGATTCGAAATACACAATGCAACCTGCTATTCAGGCACCAGATGAGCCCTTGCTGATGCTGCGCTCTACTGATGAATATCCACAGCATTTGGATTTAAAACAAGAAACATATTGTCCAACTCTTAAAAGTGCCGACATTTTTAACTCTCAATCAGAGCACCAGGAAGTTTTCACGAAAAAAGTTTTAGTGGAACCCACAGCTGAACAAAACAATGGCAACGATTTCGGCAATGAAAATAGATCTGATAATCGACAATATGAAGGAGCATTGAATGAAAGACATCAAGAAGGCAATATATCTTTTCATCCCCGATTTTCTGTCGAAGACTTCAAACATCAGGGACCTGCACGACACATAATAATACATAAGAAGTTCAATAAACTAGAGCGCACAGCACCTGCTGTCGTTGGCGAAGACTCTAAAAACTTAAATCAGAACTCTTCTTCCACTGAAGTAAAATCCACATCATGTGAAGATAGCAGCAACGACTCGATTCAACGACCAGCTGGCGGGGAAGAGAGTATTGAGGTAACAAAGGCTGGGTCGGAGATGGTTCGATCCAATTTCGATAGAAATCAACGCATTTGGCAATTCAGTCCTAAGAAAAAACTCAGTCATGGTAAATTTACTCCAAATACAGAAATGGAAGTAGAAAACGCCATTCTTGACGATGTGATACCCAAAACGATTGACAAAAAACTGAATGACAAAACAAAGTTCATTAATTACAAACCTCGGAGGGATCGAGATGATGGCAGCGACAAGAAAAAGAGGGGAAGAAACAATGAAACAAAAAAGGATAGACGTGACGAGAACCGGAATTCACTTGACGAGGATCAGCGTACCTTAGCATTAGAAGCAACTGAAAATCGCGAAGATATTGCATTCATGGAGAAGCTAGAATCGGATGTGGAGAAGGCCATTCTGGAGGAGCAAGTGCCTGCTGCTGTTGAAAGCAAAATAGGTGAAGAAGAAGCAACTCAAAATTTGGACTTAATACATAACAAAAGCGATGAAAATACAAATTTTACGGCATTGGATCAGGATCATACACAACTAAAATATCTTAAGGCGGAACAGGAAGAAACGCTTCTGTTGGAAGCAGAATCCGCAGACGTGAAGCGCAGCAATCAGGAACCGATTGGTATGTCTGAGAGCCTTGATGGAGACAGTGAGAGGGAAACGAAGGCAATTCAAATGGAAGACAAGGCTCAACAATTTTTAGCCAGTAAGATTCACAACGAAAAAGTACCTAAGCCTAGCTCAGAATGGGACTGGTTGTTGGATAATGATAAATTTGACAGCGCACTTGAGGAATTCAAGCAGAACAAAGACGATGCGGCTAAAAAACCAAAACCTCTAGATCTTTCTGACTTTAAGAAAAAATTGCAAACTTATAGATTAGAACGGTCCCAGGAACCAGAACCAGGACGCATGCAAGAGCTTAAAATCGATTCCGATCTATTATGGCCAAATCGAGAACAAGATTCAAACGAGCCGACACGTATAGAAGCACTTGTGAAGAGTGAGGAAGCAACAAAGAATGAAACGCCGGAACAGCTAGTGGAGCCCAGGGCTGAATGGTCCAAGGATGAAGACACCGTGAAGTATACATTTCCCGAACCAACTCCTTTGATGGAGGCTCAAACAAACGTTGAGAAGGCCAAGGATTTAGCTTCTCCAGACACGGATGTTCCAGAGGCTGAGGACACACAGCTTAAAAAAGAATGGCCAAAAGAAAACGTTTCGTACAACATTGAAATAGAACCGAGCGCGGAGGAGAAGATATCATCAATCGAAGAGCCAGAAGAATTGAAAGATCCCAGGAAACGTAGAAAGCAAAAATCTCAAGAGATGTATGATATAGCCAGACAACAATTTTGGCAAGCGCAAGATGAGCACGAAAACAAGACCAAACGCGATGATTTGCAAGTCAGCGAAATAACCAAACAGCTCACTAAAATTATGACAAAGGGTCAACCAGCCCCTCCGCAGCCAAAAGAGCGACCGGTCGATTATCAGGGCGATGATCCATATATCAAAGAAAATAAAAAAGTGGCCCGGCACTCCTATGGCAATATGCTGGAAGGGGATAGTAAACAGCGCAGCAGGGTTGTGGTTAAGCCATTCCATCCACCGCTCAATCCGCGCGTCCGCATACCGCGGCCACCCTTTGATGTACGAGATCACGAATACCACACCGTGAATTTCCGCCCTCCACCTGATCTACTGCGTACCGTTAATCTGCCGAAGAAGCGAACAACGGTTACGTGCCAGGCAGGTCAGACGGGCACCAGAAGCGTATCAATGTTGCCGCGACCTGTGTTGAAACTACCCCCATTTATGATGCGCTCCTCCGTATTGGCCATAGAGCTAGGATTCGTTGCCGCAATCTTATCGCGCTACAAAAGTGGCCGCAAGTAAGAAACTCAAACAACCAAAAACACACAACAATATTATCTAATTTATCCCGGTCAAAGTGTTCCTTTTGGTAATAAATTTGATATGAAAATAGTTTCTTAGCATTTATTATAACCAGATGTATTCCGATGGAGGGCGGCGTTGAAATACCTGCCGCCCCTCAAGGGACTGCACTGGTCGAAAGGTGTTTAACAGCGGTCGTCCGCGGCGATCTCTCAGTTGCCAAAACTTTGGCAGTTCCAGCTGGGATATGGGCAAAACCTCGGCAAACACATGCCACAGCACAGCTGGCGAACATGGCGGCGTTGTCAGTGATCCTCTGTAGGCATAGAAGTTGCCCCTATCCAAGTTGCCAAGTAGCGAACCAAGCGTGAGGAACGCGGCTGGCGTATAACTGCTGTTAAAGTCGCCCAGGTGCAGTAGCGAGCCAAGGATTTCACTGAGACCAGGTTGATAATGCGGATAGTTGGTCTGCAAAGAACATGCAGGATTAGCGTTTGAAATGTGCTCATATCTAGGATATATCTATTCACTTACGCGGACCACCTTAAAGAGCACAGCCAATACGGCCAGGCCATCGGTCTGATTTCTCGCCTCCTCATCGCTCTGGTAGTTTGTGTTGCGATGCACGATATGCATCTCCAGATCATAGCGACGACCATTAAGCAAATGCTCCGAGCCCTTGCGCTGGGACGAGCCCCAATGGAAATGCACAGCCATGGCCTCATAGAAGTCTCCCAAAAGACCGCCGGTGAGATAGGGACGCTCGCCCAACACCGTTGTGGGCACTCTGAATTCAACTGTGAAAATAACTGGATATTCTTTGAAAATGTAATGCATATTTCCGGCTGCCTTGTACATGCCTGTATGTCCATTATTCCGGACACTCAGAAGCTCATCGAAGGGCTCCTCGTAGTGACCAAAGTTCAGGGGCGGCAAGCTAATGGGTATTGCTTTGCGTGAATTAAGTGCTATGGGCGACTGATAGGAGCCGCCACATTGTGGATAAATGTGTCGCCATTGCTGTGGCTCATCATAGCTGAAGCGTAGACCCTCCGGCAGCAAATCTAAGCGGCAAAAAGTTGTGATAAAAAATCTTCTGATACATTTTACGAAAAGAATAAAAATATATAGCTTAAGCCTTCAACCTAAATCCCCGATAGCACTGGCTTCTTCGGCTAAGACAATGATTCGAATGAATCATTGAATGACTGGCCCACTCAGACAATCAGACCGGCATCCATATGGATGTAAATAGCGAGTAAATGATGATCTGTGTTTAGGACCAGTTGGGTAATCCCTGGGTATTCAAGCACCACAATGGCTAACTGTTTTGACTCAGTTCCCAACACGTACAGTCAAAAGTGTACAATAATAATTGTACAATTTGTGGGGAAAATGGCCAAAAAGGCTATGATATTTACGCCATCTTATATAATCATTGTAAACAATAACATTGCTCTGACATCTGCCATGGTCTTTGTGAAGCATTTGTGCATGCGATTTTAATTATTGTTATTATTTACAAGCCACTGGCTTGTTTGCTATCCATTAGATGATGTGTGTGTGTGTGTGTGTGTGTGTGCTCTGCTCCGGCATCAATTTGACAGTTTTATGTTACAGTTTAGAGATGGCTCATAAATTTGGCCAAAACTGCCGTTACAGATCGTAAAACCCATCGTTAACTCTTATAACACACATATGCCATAGATTTTCATATGGCGGAAGCATTGTTGCATCTTCAAAATTTTGATTGACAATCGGAGATATGTATTCTTTGGACACACTTGGTTGATTTGCAGATAGAGTTGTTAAAACATAATAATACCCACTTGCTGAGAACGGCAACAGAAATAGCAAACGCTGATAGAAATCGCCAATTGTCGGAAAATGCATTCTTCAAGAATCGCGCACACGCACACGCACACGCACTAAAATTTACAATTGTCTATGCGTACATGTACATGAATACATTAATTGATATGTGCAATTGTTGGACCCACGCACTACCCAACAAAGATGCTCACGCACGTTGCTCTGCAGACTGAGCCGAGCTCACGGCTGGCTTAGACCTTTATACGGAGTCGATGGCTCTGACGGTGGCCCTTCGTCAGAGTTAAGCGCCGCGACGGCGACAGATTTTTGGGACAAGACATCGGCTTTGGAAAGACTTTCAGCTGCGACAAGAGACATAAGTTTCGTATGTTCGATTCGTGCGGATCGAACAAATTAGAGCTTTCAAAGAATTAAAGCCGAGCTAAGTTGGCAAGCAGACACCCACACAAAACATATATTGTGTGTATCTGTACTTATTTATATGCTGCTTCCGAGTACAAGAACAATTCTTGAAGAACTTCTGATTCCAGCGATGACATGCAGCAATAAAATATTACGAAATATCCAAGCAAGATCTTTATTTGTTTAAAACTACGATTACAATTATGTACTAGCCCCGACTTTTCAATGCGCTTACAGACATTTATCACATTTCACAATTTCAACAGCAAGCACCGACTTTATAATGCCCTTATAGACATTTTTCATCTGTAATCAAGTGTGAAATTAATTCAATTTCAAATTTCGACTTTCACATCAATATATGAGGTCATTTGAATGGCTGATTATGTTAACCAAAAACAATAATAATAGTTATAATACTAATAGATATATATAATATAACACTTCCATATGATATATACAAAAAACAATATAATTGCCAGATTTCATCGCGTTAAAAAAGAGCTTCATTATTATATTAAAAGCTTCGCTAACGTTATTTGCTTTGATCTTTTGTTCAGACATTTCTGTTATTATTTTCAACAGATGCCAAAATTTACCTTTTCAAGGCTGCAGTTCTCGAGTGATGCCAATGTTACATTTGTTTATCTTAAAGTCTTGAAATGCTTAGCTTAAATGAAGGTAAGTCACACCAGAAATCTACATATAAATAAACTAAACATTTTACAGAGATAACAAGAGATAATAGCCCCGATTAGTATTGATTTGCTTAGCCATGTTTAAAAAGGTTCTTATCTCCAAATTTTTTGGCTGGCAGCACTTTGTAGAGAAAGCTTTCGCTGTGATTGCATTCATTGGAGACTTGCCAAGAGAATAATGAAGCAGATCAAGTTCAAAGTCGAGCCAAATGTCCGAGAAATACATTGTCTTGAATGTTGTACCGTTTAATTTGTGTGCTCTCTCTCTCTCTCGCTCTTTCTCTCTGTTTATATACTAAAATCCGTTCAATGCAACACATTTAGTTTTATATAAAAATAAAGCTTTTTTAAAAGTGATTTGTTTGGGCTGTGGTAAAGTTAATTCAGAAATACAATATTACTTATATTGATTAATTAACAGAGAAACTTGGACAAGGGCTATAGGCATTTCACCCATTGCTTTTTGTAAATAACTAAATAAATATCTATTTGCATTTGAATGGTTTTTAAGCTGGTCACTCGAGACAAATTTAAAATATTTAACTATTAGCACCTATTCAAAGTATTATGCAACGTTTTTAATTCAACTCTCAGTTGGCCAAACAACTGTACTTTAAACATTGTATGTACATATATTTTTTTTACAATTAATTTCAAATTTCAAATTTCGGTTAGTGTGCGTAATAAAACTCTTATTGATTTTTCGCTCTTTCTCAACGTGCTGCGGAAAACAACAACAGCAACCGGCTCAGCATCAGCTGTTGTTGTACCGTAGTCATCAGCATCGTCGACGCCGATAGCGACGTCGACTGAGACGTTAAGTGGCAGCTCATATTTTGCCAATAAGAATTGTGCGCAGTACTCGACCGCAGCCAATAGAAAAACAAACGTAGTTGCAGGCAGAAGTGATATATGTACATATAAACAAAACGACGCAGTGCAAGCCAAACGGATAAGCGGATAGAGTGTGTGAGAGAGGAGTCGATACAAGTGATGTTCAAGTTATTGAAACAAAAAGTGTAACGTACTGGCATTATAAAATACATATATTGAAAGAAAACGAACAACAATAACAACGCAAAAAAAAAACTCACCAAAAAAAAACTTATCAAAACCAAAGCGCACAAACAACACTCGTAAAACTAAATAACAGAAATGCGCGAGCTTAGGGAGCTGCGACAGCAGCGTCAGGCGTAAGTACAATATGTGAGCGGGGTGAACGGCGCGGCGAGGCAGTGCTGCGGCATAGACGAACGGCACTTTGGCGCGCTATTCCACTGTGTGCGAAGCGTAGACACAATATCAAAATACATATAAATCCAAACTATGCCAATATGTAGGCGCATGCAATGGCAGCGACAGTGACGGCGACGGCGACGGCGACGGCAACGTCGACCGCAAGAACAGTAACAATTTGAGAGGGAGAAGGAAGCGCAAAATAAGCAAACAAAAATTTGGTAACTCGACAACGCCGAATATGACGAGCAAAACACGGAGAACGAAAACAGTTTAAAGCGTAGCCAGAGCTTGCGATTTGTTTTGTTTTGTTTTGTTTCGGCTTTGGCATGTGAGCGCAGATTCTTTTTTTTCTGTATCTTTCGGATACGTTAGCCAAAAGTATGTGCGGTATGTGCGTTTCAAAAAGTATCAAGTCGAGCCGCATGGCTCAACAGAAATTTGCTAAGCATTACAATCGAAATGGCCTTTGCTGAATATAGCAGCAGCAAGATATAAAGTACGTAGTTAGGTCACTTTTTGCAGATCGGCTGTTTCTATAGTTTAGATCAAATTATTTAAATTCAAGCAAGCTTTGAAATTGCCATCAGATAGACACACTAAGTGAACTTTTTAAAAATCATTAAAATTTCAATATCTTGGCGGCGCTAATGCTTCAAAAGTCAACTTATAAAAAGACCTGTTTTTCGTTTCAGTTCCAACCTCATGGCAAAAACGAATCGCCTTGTACTATTGCGCCACGGCGAGAGCGAGTTTAATCTGAAGAATCTATTTTGTGGCTGGCACGATGCGCCGCTTAGTGCGGGTGGTAAGCTTGCGAAAATAATAACAAATATGTTTTTTTTTTTTTTTATACCCTTTCAGTGAGTATAATAGTTTTATGTCGGTCTGTTTCCATGCACGCCAATGTCCCGGCTCCTTTGACAATGTTCTTGCACGTCGTCCGTAAGGGTATTTAGTATGCGGCATTACGAAAAGTAGCGTTCTTTGTTTTTGTGTGTGCTGATAGTCTACTCGATTTTCACAACAGGCGTGGAACAGGCGCGCAGCATCGCTGCAGCCAATCTGAAAAGCGCCGGCATGGAATTCGATAAGGTTTACTGCTCGAAGCTGAGTCGCTCCAAGCGTACCGCCGATTTGATATTGAGCGAATTGGAATGCTCCTTTTTGCCAATTGTATCAGACTGGCGGCTCAATGAGCGGCACTATGGCAATTTGACGGGCGTTAACAAACGGGAACTGGCCAATAAGTATGGCGAGAAGCAGGTACAGCATTGGCGACGCAACTACGACGGCCTGCCGCCTCCAATCGAGACCTCCAATCTCTACTTTTACGAGATCTGCAATAGTTCCGACTTTCAAAATGTGCCGATCGATGAATTTCCTCTCACCGAGTCTATGCGCATGTGCGTGGATCGCGTCAGTCCCGTCTGGGAGGAGATCAAAAAAGATGTGCTCAAAGGCACACGCGTCTTGGCCGTCGTTCATGGAACTGTGGCTCGAGCCCTGATTAAGCACGTTGAAGGTGCGTAACGTGGTTCGTACGATCTGAACAGTTAGCTGTACGATTTGCTTTTATTTCCTTAGGCCTGTCTGAAGAGCAAATCGAAAAGGTCAACATTCCCAATAGTGTGCCAATTGTCTACGAGTTCAATATGGCCACGGGTCAGCTCATTGGTGAGAGCAAATACTTGGGCGATGTCAAGTATATTGAAGAAATGAAGCAAAAAGTGGCAGCTATTGGCGATTGAAAACTACATATTTTTTAAATAAACCTAAGTTTTTAGCAATAAGTTTACATATATGTACATTATTTATCAACCCACTTTTTTTTAGTTAAATACAAACTTTTACAAGTTGTCTTTTATTAAAGTAGAATTATTTTTTAATGATAACAGATGATAAGCGCATCACAAGTAGATAAGCAGTTTGCTTGTCTAAGATTTGTAAGATTTTATGATCCTAGCTGAAAGATACGTGAGCAATTACTTCCTATTTTCTGGGATTTATTGTTTTGTTTTGTTTATTTTTATTGAATATTTTTAATTTAAATGCATTTAGTAATACTTTCAGTTGCTGACACGACCCCGAAATTAGAAGGGTCTATCAGTAGTAATTCTGTTCGTTGTAATTGTACAGAGAGTTCAGATTGTTGGGCAGTATATAGATATCTTCAGGGCGGCCATTGAACACAAAGGGGCGCTTCAGAGAGGTCAACTTTGAGTCCTGTTGCGGTGCCGGCAATGCTGCCAGGCCAAAGCTCTGCTGGCCATGTCCGTAGCCAGCAGCCGGAGCCGGTGGCATGGGTCGATACGGATTGCTGGGTGTGGGCGGGCGCATATTAAAGCTACCGCCGAACCCAGGCGTGAATGGTGCCAAGTCGCTTGGCGCGCCATGCATCTGATAAATTCCTGAGGGCTTGCCATTGGACAAGAAGTTGACGGGCAGATTGAAGACCGATCCAAAGGTGGAGAATGTGGGCATGGGCTGGTATGTCAGCAGCGGCGAGAAGCTATTGCCAAACGGAGTGGGTGCTAGGTTGGTGGGCACAAACATGTATGGAGTGGGTGGCAGGCGAACATAATATATGGGCGAGTTGCGAGACGAATGGGACGAGGGCGGACGACGTTCGCCGGCTGCGCGCGACATGACCACATCTTCCAGGTTATTACTCGAGTCCGGATACGAGGGGTAGAACATGTCGGGCGCTATGTACAGAGGAAAGGGTATGAGCAGCGGCTGTGCGTAGCCAATAAATGGCAGCATCTTGGGCATGGGCAAGCCCGGCGCAGCTGGAGCCATACTTTCATATGGATTGATGGGTGCGGCGGCTGCAGCTGAGGCGGCTGCCGTGTACGGATTCCAGGCATAGTTTGAGGATGAGGCCGGCAATCGCGAATCCTGCTTGAACTCGTGCAACAATTGATACGGATCATCCTCCTCTTCGCTCTTGATATCCTGTTGCTCGGCAGGCAGATCCGGCTCCTGCGCATATTGCTGGCCAGCTGCGGTATTGTGGCTTGTTGTCTGCTGTTGCTGCGACGACTGCGCTTGTTTTGACTGCGTCTGCTTCTTGACTAGCGGCGAAAGATTGGCGGCATACGAGGGGTAGATCAGGAGCAAGGGCAGCAGTATGCGCAGACACGTTATCCACATGTGAGTTGACATTACGAAAGGTTTGCTGCAAGGAGAATTTTTTTTTTAAATAATATATGGGCGAAACACTTATTTTTCCAAAATTACACAAACTAATTATAAAGTTGTTATTTATGCATATTTAAATTGCTGTTAAGTTTATTTAGTTTTGGATAGAATAAGATCAGATAAAATGGATCACAATTTTCACAATGATTTTAAAAGAAAATACAAAAAACTGTTCACGATTTTCATACACCAATAAGTACTTTTGACTGTACGAGCAGGAGCTTAATCCTGTCAGGCTGCACACAAGCAAAAGAACGGTTGGACTGCACCGCAGTGGCGTTGAACTGGCAATGGGTATGAGAGCGTTAAGAATCTGCGCTTTATATTGGCTAAGACGAGACTGGCGCAGTCGACGTCGCCGCCGCCGCCGCGCATGCGCAGAACTAGCCATGAGGCGAGTTGGCCCAAGTAGACAGGCTGCTGTTTCTGCTGCTGCTGCTGCTGCTGCTGCTGTTCTTAGCTGATTGCATTGGCAAAGCAGCTTACATTATTCCGTCTGATTGTGAGATCTGCTTAGATATCTGGGCTCGCTGCCAACTGATAAATCGGCTAATTGCTGCCAGCCCAAACGTTAGCATTTGTACACAAATATAATGATAATTACCCTCAAGTGTCAATGGCCCCCGCGGCAGCACTACCAAGTGCCAAGCTCGCATTTTCGACATGCACATGCAATTGCAAAAATATTTAAAAAAGAAAGCAAAAAATATGCCAGAAATGTTAATTGCGGGATCGGATGTCTGACTGCCTTGTAACCAGCGCCCAGCACAAACACCCGCGATTATGTATTTTAATTTTTATGACACTGATGTAGCAGAGGGGGCATGAGTAAGTGGCGGGTAATAGAACGCTCATTAGTCAATGATATCCACAAAGCATTCTGCTTAGCACCAAGCTTAAGCACCTGTATCTGTAACTGCAGCTCCGCCCCACTCAGCCCAGTCACGAGCAGCTGTTGCATAATTGGGCATAATTGTGCGATTACATCAATGTACATGCGCATGTACATATGTCCATAGATACATGCATGCACACATGCAGCGTAGTGTACATCTTTTTTGTCTGCATAATTCTTAGTTAATGCCAGTCATAGCTGCATATTAAGCCCTTGTCTTGGACCTTGCCCTGGGCCAATTCTCTGCTTGCCAGCCAGAGAGAGCCTCATATAATTATGTTGATTTGATAGACGGGCAGGTAAACATGGATGGGCGCTCCCTGAATTGCACCACTTGAATGTCTGCTAATATTAATAATCTAATATAAATAATTTGTTTATTTGTCAATGCCAGCGGCGTTGGCGCCGGCGCTGTCGCCGTTGCTGGCGTTGCTCTCCTACAGATTAGGGCAATAATAAATTACATAGCTAATTAAGCGGAGACTGTAACTGCAACTGGAGACAACCACGCAGATGCAAAGATACAGATACAGCTAAAGATACCTCTGGTACACGTATGTGCTTGGATGCCGCAGATTGCGCTGCGTATAGAACAGGCTGGACAAGGGGCGCAAAGAGGGTTTTTATGTGCAGAGACTGCAAGAACAACAATAATGAACGGGTAAGCCAGGCTAGGCCAGGTTAAAGTGATGCCCGCGCTACTGTTGCCACTGCCACGACGCAGGCGACGCGCCAACGTAATTAGCCTTGGAATGTCCTTGTGCACGTGACTATTTCCGGACAGCGGGCTTTTTGTGCTGCTGCGTATAGTAGCCAGCCAGCACTAGATGCTAAATATAAACACGCGTGCCTGCGCATCTTTTAACTTGGGCACACTTTCCTAACGAAGCCCATGTGTCGCACTAGGTGTAAATGCCGGCAATTGGAACGTACATAAACGTAAACGTAAACAACTATCAGATATCAGGAACTAGGGTTCATTAACACCGCGCTGGCGACGGCAACGGTTGACAACTGGACGTACACATACTTAGGCCAGTTACTTCTTGAGTTCATCTTAAATCATTATCATCATCATTATCATCATCATCATCATCAGCAGCAGCAGCAGCAGCAGCAGCAGCAGCAGCAGTAGAGGCGGCATCAACAGTAGCCAGCACCAGTCCAAGCAGCAGGGGAGTAGGCAGCTCATTTCAAGTAAACTACTTTTGTTTTTGTACATCAAACTTTGATCGCGAAATGCGAGTAGCAAAATCAATAAAAATGAATAATAAATATAACTGGGTCAGACAGCGGCACGATCAAATCTACATATATGTATCTGAATTATACAAAAACCCTTTTAGGCTTCGCGTTCTACAAACAAATTGATTCTGTAAACACAATACGCAAAAGTGTCCATGCAATTTGTATCTTTCGTATGTCGCAATACCCTTTTAATTAATAATCACAATGCTAATCACTAATTAGCTATTTTCATTATAATAAAAAATGTGATTTCAATGACTTGCCAACTCATCAAAATATTATATAACACGTGTATGTTATTAGATTATTGGATAACAAATATACCTTGCCAGTGTAGGGTATAGGAGCAAAAGTTCAACTCTATTGCCGAATAATTGAAACACTTCGATTGCACTACAGAAGTCGCAAAACACGCGCCAGCACTCGGCTACTTCTTTAACAGCGAACAGGTGATTTTTTTTTTTTGCTGCCTGCCATCCAGGGCAACCACTTAGCGGGGTTTGTTGTTTTTGTAACTATTTACGGCGTTTTCATTGACATAATTATCGTTTGTTTATTGGTCATAGAATTGGTTGAAAAGAATAAAGAGAGCGTTGTCAAAGAGTTCAGAAGCCTCATTGCGCCGCCGGCAGGCAACATGACGAGGTGGCCGAGTGGTTAAGGCGTTGGACTGCTAATCCAATGTGCTCTGCACGCGTGGGTTCGAATCCCATCCTCGTCGCAATGGCTTTTTTTGTCAAATTTATATGTTGGTATTTTTAATGCTTTACTATTAGATTAATTTTATTGCTATTTAATATTATCAATAAAAGACATTTCCGCTTTTCTTTTCAACTACCTTACTAATTTGATTTGAAATTAAAAAAAAAACTCGACGAGGATGGGATTCGAACCCACGCGTGCAGAGCACATTGGATTAGCAGTCCAACGCCTTAACCTCTCGGCCACCTCGTCATATGCGACCTTGGCACCCAGTTGCTCTTTTCATGTACAGCTTAGTTGATACGCAAGCAGTGCGAAAATTTAAAATGTATATATTTCTATTAGGAATAGCACAATACATAAAGTTGATTTTTGTATTTAAACATTTATATCAATTTAATATGCATTTACTCAAAAACAATGTCCATTTTATAAATCAAGATTTGCAATAAATTATGTATGCACTGCTTGCTATAGTTTCCGATTGTAGTACACTGCTTTATACACTACTGAACTGCTTTTTATAGGTTAAGACTGCATATATGCCGACTACATCAACTAGAACCTTAGGACTACCCCCGACACGTGACGAGGTGGCCGAGTGGTTAAGGCGTTGGACTGCTAATCCAATGTGCTCTGCACGCGTGGGTTCGAATCCCATCCTCGTCGAAATACTTTTTTGTATTTTTTATGTGTTAATTAAATGCTGTTATTTTAAAACCGAATTAAATGCCTTACTAAACAAAGAATTAACTTATTTTATAGCCATTAAAAAAGATCTAAGCTTAAATTTCAATCTATAAACCAACTGCGGCTACATAATTTTAAATCGCTTTTAAAGGAGAGATGCTTATCTCACTTCAATTGAATCTAAAGTTTTTATGACCATACCAGGTCGCGGCTGTTGCGCCACAGGGTACGTTTAATGACCAGCCCAGGCAGTAATATAAACGAAATGAAAATAGATACATTGATAACAAGTTAAGTGTCAACAAGATGTGGATGTGGGGAAGCAGCTTAGTGGATGTATTCGCCAGAATTAAGGTTTATTGACATTGAGCGTGAGAGGGTCCCCAAGTTGCTGCCGTTGCGTCAAGGTCGTCGAGGCATTGGTCAAGCTGGAATCCACAACAATTGAGAAGAATTTCAGAGCCGTAGGCTCAGGTATTAAAACCGGCTAAAAAGGCAATATTTAATGCACAATAACAAAATTAAAAGCCAATTGAAATAATGAGTACTGTTGGTGCGGCTTCAAATAGTAAAACTCACCAAAGCAATTATGTTCATTTCAAATGATTTCTTTTTCATTCAATTGCTGCGACTAATTAATCTATTTAAAACAATTGCCAACAAATACAAATATGAAATAAAAATGTTTAAATTGCTTGTATTACTCGTTGTATTGTTTAGTTTTGCCAACTCGTTTTCGCGTAATAAAACATATTTCTTGTTCGCTAATTGCGAAAAGCCAAAGAAGTTTTGTGGCTACATTTTCCTCCTCCGACGTGTTGAAATCTCCTGCAATTATAAATCTGCAAAGGCCATTAAACTTAGCTATCAATCGCTTGCTCCAATTGTCAGGAAATTGGAAAGTTTTCTGTTTATAGTGCGGATATAAACTGATTGAGATATAGTGCACAATTCGTTAATGGCATCTGATGTGGGAGGTGTGAAAGTGGCCACTATATATGCCGAAGCGAAATCCATCTGGGCCTCAACTCTTAAATTTGAAAACATAAATAATCTCTGACCATAATATTTCTCTCCACCTGCTGGATGCGTTCAAATTACTGTTTGACTTGAATCACCTCGTTGCCGGGCCACAGATTCTACTTAACTCAATGCACAGCAGCCCAGTTTCGACGACGACGACGACGACGACGAGCAGAGCGCAGAGCTTATTCAGTGCAGGGCACGCTTCGGCGCCCAGTTTAACCTTTTTACTTGTGGTCACTTGGCACTTTCACAAAAAACAACAAAGACAACAACAAATATAATAATAATAGAATAAATAAATGTATGCACAAAGTGCAGTTGATGCCTGACTCGGTCATACCCTGTAGTATAAAATTGTAATATGTGTTCTCAACTGATTGTGGCACATCTCTAATATATTCCAATTCGAATTAAATAGTATTAGTGGCTTACTTCATAACGTGGTTTATGCAAATTGAGTGCTTTACATCTTGAGTTCTAACTGTGCTAAGATCGCAGCATACCCCATTTTTAAGTATCAGCTATAGGGCAGGGCAAATTCATGCGATGGGCAAATATTGTATTTGTGGCTCTTGTTGCTGCTGCAAATTAAGCGTTGCTCTTTTCCTTTCGTTGCATTTCCTTTCGTCTGCTCTACAAATATTTAACTTTCAATGAAAGTCAGAGTCAGAGTAATTGGCGTCCATCGCTGACCCCAATCGAGTGTATGCCATTACTCAGAAAATTGACACAAAAAAAGACGGATCGAGATTTTTAGCATTGCATAAGCCGCCAAAGATGACAACTTCATTCCGAGTGCACAGCGCGAAAGTCGGGTGGCAATTAAATGGCGTTGGCCACATGCCAAGCGCCAAGCGCCAAGCGCCAAACGCCAAACGCCTCAAATTCAAGCTGAGACCCAAAAGCAAAGACAACGACAACGACTAAGACAGAGGCTAGTTAGGCTGATTCAGCTTAATCGCTTGCCGGCGAATGAGTTTAATGAACTTGCGAATTTATCGACAATAAAATGTGAAACTACTCATAATTAGGCACACATATTTATGAACATATCAACTCTTTAGAGTGTCGTACAGATGGCCCAAGTCGTGGGTGGGTGTTCCACGCCATCAACTTTAATTCTGGCTAATGAAAACGTTAGACATCTAACTGGCCGGCAGACTGTCAGACTGAAACAGTTGTACGAAAAAAAGAGAACATTTTTCATGCACTAGTCAAACACGCAAGCCCTGCCTGTCATTTATTGCAGCAGCTCGAATTCGTGCTGTGGACAGCAGCAGCATCGACCAGGCGACGCGTCGTCTTCTTGATTAGTTCTACGCCCAGCCCGACTTATGAGAGTCTTATACAGCTGGCATTGCCATTGCCATTGTCATTGTCTCGTGCTTCTGACTATCTATCTATATTGCTTCCGTCAGCATTAAACATATTACTCTTAATAATTCCCAGCTTAGCTCACACGGAGCGCTACGCTGATGCAGATATGGGATAGCATAGCTAGCTGCTGCTGGCGTTTACAGCTCGTTCGTGATTTGTGTTGTCTAATCGTTGGCAATTATGCCAGCGCCAGCTAGAACTTGTTGTTCTTGTACCTACCAGATGCGTGCAGTTTGTTAGATTAGACTATCCAGCAGATATATTTATATGTATGGTATCTTCCTTCTGCGTCTGGTGCTCGGCCTGATGCTGGTGCTATGCGAGATTTTACGCACTTCAACACACACTTTTGTGTACATTGGTTACGCGTAATTGCTGAAAGGGGAAGCTGATGCTGATGCTGATGCTGACGGCAAGGCTAATTAATATTTAAAGGTGTTTTGATTGCCATTCCATTGGGGCTTGGAGTGCGGCTTGCGGACCTCGTCCCGGTGTCTGGCATTGGTAAACAAATGGCAAATGATATATTTGCGGTTATGTCATTTGTTTGTACAGAGCGCGGGCACAACAAAACAAAAGGTTGCACTTAATTTTGATGGGCTCTCTGATATAGTAGTATGCGGACATATGTAGCTTAGAAGGTTAGAAAAGATGGCCAATTAGTGTTGCGTTAGTTGGTGAAAGATGAGAAAGTACGCTCAGTAAATGGGTTTACATAATACATTGTAATTACACATTTAAATGTCAAACTTGCTTTTCCTGCTTATTTTAATTAGCTGCTCTAAAACTGGATGGCACCAAAAGAAATGGAAGTTGGCTATAAATTTTGCTAATTACATAGACAGACTGGGTCAAAGCTTGGCAGTCAACTTAAGCTCTGGCAAAGGTCAGCACAGAGCTCCACTAACCTGGCCAATAAGCCAAATCCGAAACACAGACACCAAACGTCAACACATCACGCAATGGCGTTTAAAAAGAGCTCACACACATTAGGCCGGCTGGTAACGCCTGTGGCGCCAATTAGAATACGCTAAAAACAATAACAAAAGACGGGGAAAAGCGCAAAAGGCGAACCCTTTAAGCGGCACACGCACATTGTATTACCCAGCTCAGCTCAGCTCCAACTTCGGCTCCAGCTGTGTGGCATGCGGTGGCCTGTCAATAACAACCTGATTTCCACAGCAGCTTCGTGTTACCCAGCGGCCTTTGTTGTCGTAGGTTCATTTGTAACTAATTTGTGCACAAATCGGAAAGACAAAGGCGGTTAGCAACGCCCAGGGAGACAGACGAGAGCCAAAGCCAGTCGAACAGTGGCCAGTTGGTAATTTAATCAAAATCTAAGTATATGACTGAACGGGCTGAACGGGCTGGATGATATAGAGTTTCCAGCGTGCTCTGACACTTTCCAACTGGCGGGCCGACTGGCGGCTCTGACGGCTACTCTGGCGGCAATTGAAATGAATCAATTCGCCTGTTCGGCCCGTTGAATTTGTCAAGCAAATGGCAAAGCAAAACCCGCAAAGTGCAATCGCAAACTGTAACAGTAAGCGGGCAAACAATAAAGAAGCAAATTGATGCACTTCGTTCGGCTCGCTAGCGTTGGCTCATCATCAAGATCGTTGTCGGCTGTGTTCAGGCGTCAGTTGCCAGCCTCGGACCTCACACACAACGCAACAAGTTGAGCCGGCAAGTGAACGCTCACTCTTACAGCCGAGCATTCGACCAAGTCCAAGTTTATGACGTAGCACCACGACGACGACGACGTCGTAGACGACAGCGCTGACGCCGACTGCGGCAGCGTCGGGCAAACACAGCACACTGATTTTGGTTTAAAGAAAGAAAAAAAAAAACAAATTACACATAGTCCGCAGATCTCATTTATTTGCCGCTCTTCGAGGCGTCCACAACGTCAAAAACTAACGCTGCGCGCTTAGCTACGTATAAGGTTTAAGATTTCTAAGGCTGACGACGCGTCGGGAATATAGTGCCAGGAGCATATGGAAAACGCGCATCAAATATAATTTCCAAATCAAATCGTGATAATAAACAGCTAATAAAACAATTTCAAGATTCCCAGTGCAAAAGAAACAATACGCAAGGGTCGAATAATTTAGGAAGAATTTGAATATTCGAGGGGCGTAGTCATAAATTATGCGCTTTTAAGTACACATTAAATTTCGCATCAAGCATTAACTGCGCATCGAATTGGCAAATAAATTAAATAAACACAAACGCAAACGCAAACGCAGCTGCAGCTGCAGCCGAAGCCATTTGAAGTGAGTGCAATTTAAATAAATGCCATTAAAATGCTCATCAATTTGCATAAACAAATAACCATTTGTGCAGTTGACAGCTGCTAGAAATTTATTAATTATACTTTGTGCATATGCATGAATGCGGCACAGCAGGCAAGTTCGTTGCCTAAGTCTTTCGTTCTGCGAGCAGTTTTCACTCTTGCGACTTGCGACTTAATTAGTCGAGTTCAACAAATGATATAGGCATAAAACAAAGAGGACCTTGACTGGTTTAAAGTACGTTAATAATATACAAACAATCTTTCATATTAGAAAAAAAAAAATAGTAAAACAAGAAAGATCGTCTAGTGAATAGATCATTAAAAAAAATCAGTGATAGCCAGAGGCTGGAGGTTCCGTGAGATTTTCTGAGCTTGTTTTCAAAATTCTTGTTATTAGTGCAAAATTGTAGTTTCAATATGTAAAAGTTAGCTTGGCAGTGTTGTTCTTCCAACTGCGAGCGAGAGATCGCTGCCTGCTCAATATCAATAATTCTTGATATCAAATTACATGGATAGCATGGCGAACACTCCCACAACCTGCCAAACCAAAGAAAGCTAAAAAGGCGTTGGCTTTTCTTTCCGCCCTGCTCATATTTCATGCGGGTCTTGCTCTGGCAGCGTTCTATGTTGCCAGCTAATTATTTGCGAACTTTCTGCAATTTATCAACTGTGTTCAACTGTTATCTTTTTCTTGACTTCTTCTTCTTCTTCTTTCGCCGCAAGGTCAATAGAGGGCGCCACACGCCAAATTTCAGAATCGCCAGCGGCGAACTTCGTTAGAAACAAGGTATTAGGCTAATCTAAGGTAGATACTACTAAATCGTTATTATTTATGATACGTATCTTTAATTTGCATAATCAGGCAGGTGGGGGCGCAACCTCCCTGCCCCAAACATGTTAACGTTATCGCGCTTGTCTCGATTTGAAATTGATGCCGTTTAGGCTGCCAGTGCCGCCGGTTTTTTGTTTCTCTTCGATTTTATTTGGCTTTTGCTTTTTTTTTTTTATTGATCAATTTATTTTTTACTTGCTCATTAATCACTCAGGCGTTGAAATGCGCCGCCAGATGGCGCTCGCCATGCTCATTAGCGTAATTGCTCAGCAGGCGTCGACGGCGACAGCGACTGCGACGGCGGCAGCGACGTCGGCGTTCGCGCTTTGATTAGCGTGCATTAAATGCTTTCATTTAAGTAAATCAAATCAAGACTCTCGAAATCTGTTTTTATAATATTTTTATTTTTTTGGTTTGCGTCTGGAACGTGAGAAACTTTACAATAAAGTGGCAAACATTTTATGAAAAAAATATTTCACGCTTTGATGCGCACAGCCGATTTACTTATTATTGAATTATTCGGCAACTGTGACTTGCAAAAAAAAAAATGCTTGCCATTGCTTGATTTGTATCTGTAATGCTCGACTTTGGCTATTATTTATATATATTTTTTTTTGGTAGCCATTAGTCCATCAATCAAATCTCAAAACAATTGCGATTTGAATGCAGGGCGTGGGCGCTTGATCCCCAATTTGTGGACATTTTTGTAAACCTGCCTTGACATATATACATACATCTTTCTCCTCTTAATTTTTGCAGCATGCCTTCTCTGTCGCACGCACATTACGCTCTGGCCGCGCTGCTGGCACTGCTCGCCCTGGCCACGCCCCGGCCGGGCAGCGCTTACTCGTACAGCATGCGCATGCCGAGCGGCACAGATGCTGCCGGCACCGGCACCGGCACCGGCACGCCTCCACGTTTGATCAGCAAGCTGTTGGTGCAATCACCGGCGCTGGACAACATTTACATGGACTATCTGGTCACCTCGAAGCCGCTGAATCTGCGCAAATACAACAAAAACGGCAGCAAAACAAAGAAAACCAAGAAGGATTCGAAAATCTATTTCATACCCATACCACCGCTACCGTACCGCTATATACCCGGTGTTGGCTACGACTATCAGCCCATGAAAATCAAGCCCATTCTGCAGGAGACACCCAGCTCGACCACATCTTCACCCAAGCTGACCACGGATAAGAATCGCGAACGCGAACCCGCTCACAGCTCGATTCCAACCACAGTGACTCCTACGACGACCACGCAGAGCAAGCTGCTGCGCGTGCAGCACCACAAGGACTACTACTTCAATGGACGCCCCTTCCGATTGCAGGTGGCGCGTGCCGATCGCAAGTCAGCGCTGACGCCTCTTAATCTTAAATCGAAATTCTATTACAATAAAAACATAATTTATTGATTAAATGAATACAGTACGAGTTTTGTTTTCAACTAACCAAAAAAAAATGCCTGTGGCAATTATTCAGATATCAGATTTCAATAAGCTGGCCAAGAGTTCCACTCCCTGACTCTTGAAAATTTGCTGCCAGCTTGGCAACCTAAATAGGTGGCATTTCGATCTAGGCTTATGTCCCAGACAATTATAAATGTTATAGTATAATCATGTAGCTGACGGGGAGCAGGGCATGTACTTAACAAATCGCCTTTAAACGGCATCATTATGGCTCAGATTGCCCGGCAATTGTGATCACGTGTGGACTGCCTTCTGCATACACATATCCGACGAGTTATAAGCAAATCATAACTTAAAAACCATTTAGGTAAAGTAATTACCGCCGGCGTCCACACAGCATCCATTCGAGCGTTGTGCAATAAATAATGGAATGATGACAACTTTGAGATTCATTTTGGCCGCAAGATATGGAAGTTGGCGAAAAACGAAATAAGGGCAATTAGAAAAAAATTTGTTGTGTGTGGTGATGTGTGGCGCTTTCACTCCAAGAAACTGGCCAAAAAAAAAAAAAAAAAAAACTCGTGTAAATAGAATTCATTTAAAAAGCGCGTGAGAAAACTGTGCGCAATTAAATAATAAACAGTAGGCAAGTTTCTAAGCGGAAAATGTGGCGTGGCATGGGGCACGTTGCCACAACAGGGCGCCAAGCAACAGATTTATTGAACAAATGAATTCCCATACCCCGTACTGACCCAACAGTCTCATTGAAGGGCCCCACACAAGCACACACGAACGCAGCAGGCGGACTCATTTTGGGATTTTGTTAAAGATTCCCAAAGAATAGCATTACGCATAAGACGCATAAATATATAATTATATTTTTGTTGTTCCTCTATTTGTAAGCTGCAAAATGAGCGACAAGGACTCGCCCCCGCCCCCATCCTATGTATGCAACATGCAGCTGAATGTGGCGCCTTCGCAACGGCCAAAGGTTCGGGCTGTATGCGGACCTGAATACAAGCCCCGCAGCACTGAATCTGAGCCGTCGCAAGGTGTCTGCGTGGTGGCCCAAAATGTCACCGTTAAGTTTTGCATATCCAACGACAATTTCATTGCCCAAGTCTATCCCAATTGCATGACCATAGCCGAGGTCAAGCAGGATCTATCGCGCAGATTCGAAGTGGACCCGGAGCTGCTGATTGTCAAGCAAGGTGGTCGTGTGCTCTGCAATACAACACCCATTCATTCGACAATTTGTGACGAGTTTGGCATACACGAGTTTCAGTTGGATCTCAGCGAGCCAAATATTTCGGATAGCAACGATCCACCCACATTGAGTCTCAGCGTGTACTACGAGTGAGTATTGTCATAATATAATAAACGATTTTTTAGTATGCATCTATGCACTGTATAGAAAATATCGTTTGCCCGACTACCTAACTGTGCATATATCCGGCGAGGATACGGAAGATGGCCAGCCCAAAAATATTATCGTCGAGATTGAGAACGCTGCGATTGTTAAGCCATTTCTGTGCGGCTACAAGGACAAGATAAGTGGCAAAATATTTTTGGATGCATTTACACAAACTGGACCGTATTTTGATAAGTGGAAGTATAGACGCTATCGTTCACGCGACACGCAGACCTGGGAGCACAAGGAGAAGACACTGGTAAGCGGCCGCTGGGCAATGGTAAACAAATCTTTTGTGCTTAACTTAAAACCTTTAATCTTAGAATACAGCACATGAGCAGTCCGTGCAATGCTTTCTGGATGACAATAACATTAGATACGTGTCCACGGCCACGGATTTTGTGATCATACCCGGCAAATATCAGACCTATGCGCAAAAAGAACGTGCGGAGCGCAAGCTCGAGAAGATACTGTTGATACAGCGCAACTGGCGACGCTGGATACTGTGGAAGTACATACATATACGTGCCAAGGAGTATCGGTAGGTAGATCGGGCACAGCGATCAAAACTCTATGAATATTGTATGGTTCTTGTTATTGTCACCAGCCGCCTGGTGATGAATCGCGTGGATGAGGATAAGCAGTATGAAGAGTGCGTGGAGCAGCGGGTGGAACGCAATGAACTAATCAAACAATTTCCACGCACCACTGATGATTTTGATTTGCTCTTTGCGGAAATCTCGCGCTGGAAACGGGCGGAACTTAAACGCATCGCAGCCAACTATGAGGGACCAGCACGTATTTCCGAGGTCAACATTCTGCTCGACAAGGAAATCCGTTTGCTGAACGGTGTGGAGCGACAGCGGCGTCTTGTTTACCTGGCCATGGAGGATTTTCGCAATGATCAACTTTTGAAGAAAATGGGAAAGCCAATCGAGTGGATTGGCTACAAGGATACCAAAATACATTTAGATTTGTTGCGTACGCAGCGCGTGCGATTTCTAACTGAAATCTACAAGGATTTACGTAATACGGAGGATAAGGAGAAGCGTCTGGAGCTGTTAGGGCGTGTCATGGAGCTGCTTATGGAGGAAACGTGTTACCCAAGCTTTCCTGAGGTAAGTGCTTGAGTAGTAGAGAAGCCAATAACTACTAAAATAATACATCTCTAGCTTTTTGATCTGTTTGATCGAGAAAAAAATCTGCTAATTTACACCAAGTCTTGCGATGTGGAAATTCTACGCAAGCGCCAGAACATATTATTCTTTGAGCTGATTAAGTTCCAAAAACGCGACGTACCATCCAGTAAGTCTATATCAATACACAGATGTATTCACAAAATTCAACGAATTCCTATATCCTGTCGCAGAGGTGCCTTCGCGTATGTGCATCGTCTGCAAAAAGGTCAAGCCCCTTTCCCAGTTTGCGGTACGCACGCGCCAGAGTCATGTGGATACATGCAAGCATTGCTACTACCTAAAGGTAGGTTAAAAGTTCATTATTTTGCTGGGCTACTAATGCGAATTCCTTGCAGTTGGTGGCCACAGAGAACACAGTTTATCAATCGATTCTGCGCTGCATTCAGCGCGACGAGCGCAAACGCAAATGCGCATCATCATTTGCCTTTGTCTTACAGCAGGACGATGTGCGGCACATTATAGACAAAATCTGGCATGGCCACTCGGCGCTGAGCAAGTCGGAAAATCTGAATGAATTGCGGTTAGTTCAATTTGAGAGTTGATTAAGATAATTGTACTTAACATATATTTAACATACATTTTGAGATAGATTACCTCGCTGGAACAAGAGCGACGACTGGTCCCCATGGAACTGTGTATGCCTGACGGAGCGTGAGACGCGCGATCATTACAAGATCGAGGATATGGAAAAGGTTTACGATCCTAAGTTTATATTGCACGTTGGCAATTGTCATATGTTGGCACGCAATTTGTTCCACACGTTGGCAACTGTGGCCACAGAGTTCCAAGAGACAGGACAATGGTGGAAGGTAGGCATGAATAAGCAGCGCAGCAGCAACCTAGATGCGGTATAAATGGTATCAATTGGGCAACAAAATATCAAAAACAAAAAAAAAAACAAAAAAAAAACGTTAAATATTTAGTCAAATTAAAAGTTTTATCCGAGCATATACGAACTATTTTCACTTACTGTCCGGCCATTCTGTATCTTATATGCAGCTGTTATTAAATTTGAATAGTTTACTTTAATTCAGCGCCTAATTATAAAATTACAATAATCAAACAATTCAAATTTTGATATAACTGAAACTATTTGCTACTAACAATGGCCTTAAACTTCGCCTCCAAATACTGAACACGTTTCAGTAATTTGTCACTGGTGCTAAACTCATTGTAGGGCACAGGTATGATTTGATAGCCACTCTTTTCCAGCAGATCGAACGCTAGGTTCGTTGTGCCACTTGCACTGCGATGCGTTCCATGGCATATGTCATGGAAGTCAATTACCATTAAAGCGATTCTAAATGCATTAAACAAGGATATTAAAATCAGGTGCGTATAAGGGTCACATATTGTAGTAACTACCTAATGACATCTGGATTATTACTATCCAGGGGAAGTGGATTTCGTTTTGCATCGAATTGGCATACAGCATCTGAAGTTTAGATTATAGAAAGTTTCTTTCAGCAAAATGCTTGGACCCACTTACCAATTAAGAAACCCATTTTGCTGTCAACCGAGCCCTGCACATGATTATTGGAAGGCAACAGGCTCTTTAACGCGTCTAACATTCCGTTGACAAGAATCTGTTTAGACTTTGTGTGCGCCATAGGCACATTGTAGGCAGGACTATCGGCAGGCAGCAAAGCGCCCTTATAGTCGCTGGCGCACAGTTGCGCATAGCTGTTAAGGTTCAGCAGCCTCATTTTGGATGTTGGCGTTAACCCGGCCTTTTCACTCTCCAATTTAGCTAGGAAGTCCGCCCTGCAAGAAAGAACTAGCTGGATTAGTCCGTTTAAGTAAAGCACTTGCAACAACAACCTCAGCACCGACTCTAATTGACTGTGCTCCACAAGCCCCAGCATTGTCAGTGACCAAACATAGTTCAGCCAATCCAATTGCTTCGTGAAATCCTCGCGAACAATTGATTTCGCCAGCTTTTTTCGCACATCCTCCAAATGTGCACTTTTGAAGTTTAGCTGTGCCGCTGTTAAGAAGTAAGCACTAAGATCCTGAGGTCGGCAGACTTCACTGTTCTTCAACAGCCATTGCGTCAACGATTCTAATATGTCTGTAATTTAAGTAGTTTGATTAGTAGTTAACTCAAATTAAGACCGATTTGCACTTACCCAAATCCCGATAGCGCATTATGCCCAGACTCGTCAGCACAGAGCCCACAACGGCCGATTTTTCAGAATTCTTTGGCAATGCAGCCTGCACATCTGCACACACTTTTGCACCGAGAACAGAGTCTTGAAAGTTCAGCGTGGACATGGCATACAGCACATCGGCAGCTTGCTTCAGATCCAACTGCTCCGAGGCGCTGCTAATGTTAAACGCTAATGAACGTAGCAATGGGGTGCTTCGGCGTTTGCGCTGCGCCAGGGTGCTCATCACCTTAACCATTTGCGG